CCCCACCAAAACTAAGCACCTGCCTGGGTATTTTATACCATCGGACACTCCACCCCCACAACTCCCAATCGGTGATGGGGCAGTTGTGGAGAGAGTGGAGAGTTTCCCATACCTGGGCAGTGTGCTTATGACTGGCTCCAGTTTAACAGCAGAGGTCTCACTCCGAATCAGTCGAGCGGCAATATCTTTTCATCGGTTGCGTAACGCTGTGTGGAAGCTACCTGGTCTGTCGCTCCGCACTAAGCTTCAGGTCTTCTCGGCCACGGTCAAGTCCCTCCCTTCTCTACGCTTGCGAAACGTGGACCCCCCTGGTAGAACATCTTCGCCGGTTAGAAACATTTAGGCTGGCCTGCCTACGATCCGTCCTGGGTTTAACCAGACTGGATTGTGTGAGGAGCTCACAAATCCTTGAAAGATCTGGGCAGGGTCCCATCGGTGAGCTCCTCCGGCAGGCAAGGCTGCGATGGCTGGGTCATGTAGCCCGCATGCCCAGCCACCGCATGCCGAAATAGCTTTTGTTTGGCCGGATTGAGGGGGCTAAGCGGGCGCGGCACGGGCTAGAGAAGAGATGGAGTGATGTGGTACAGGAGGACGTGGAGCTGAGTGGACTTGCCGATGACTGGTACCAGCGGTGTCAAGATCGGCCTCTGTGGAGGAGGCTCGTGAAGGATGCTACTGGGCAGTTGGAGGCAGTCGCCCTGCAACAACAACGGAGGGCGGAGGAGCGACGCTCACAACAACGAGCGGAACGCCAGGTGGCTAAAGCACAGCAGGTTGGCACAGTAGGGGGCACAGGTGGTGCATCAGCCAGTCATCTCAGTCAGTCGACCCGTGGCACCTGGGTCTGCCCAGTGACCTCCTGCCAGCGGGCGTTCGACACTTCACGTGGCCTCACGGTGCACATAGCCTGGCACAAGCGTCGTGGTGACGTCACCGCCACTTAGTGGCGAATGGCGGTTGTTGTTGTTAGTCCATATGTGTGCTTTATTCACTTGCTCAGGGCCTATGATACCATCATTAGCCCTGGGCTCTGGGTTGCTCCTCGTACTTTTCGAGTCCCTGACCCTCTGCTTACCATCCTTAAGGACCTTCATGATGGTGAGCGGCCCCACATCAAACTATGTGACCGTGAATCAGAGCCACTCCCTGTACATCTTGGGGTGCGACAGGGATGTCCACTGCCTCCCACATTCTTTTACGTATATTTGGACCATGTACTTTGTTAAGCTTTCAATGCCTCTACCGGAAGAATTCACATCTGGTACAGATACAATGGGAGGCTCATCGATGCCCGGGTGCGGTCAATCGATGGCTCCCTATTGATCAACCACGTTATGTATGCCGATGATCTGGTAATTATTGCTCACTCAGAAGAGGAGTTGGACGCGCTGCTGCTCAACCTGAAGCTTGCCACGAAGATGTGGGGCCTTACCATCAGCCCCACCAAAACTAAGCACTTGCCTGGGTATTTTGTACCATCGGACAATCCACCCCCATAACTCACAATTGCTGATGGGCCAGTTGTGGAGAGTGCAGAGTTTCCCATACCTGCCCAGTGTACTCATGACCGTCTCCGGTTTAACACCAGAGGTCTCCCTCTGAATCAGTTGAGCGGCATTATCTTTTCATCGGCTGTGTAACACTGTGTTGAAGCTACCTGGTCTCTCACTCCGCACGAAGCTCCACGTCGTCTCGCCCACGGTCATTCCCTCCCTTCTCTACACTTGCGAAACTTGGACCCCCCTAATGCAACATTTTCGCCGGTTACACACATTTAAGCTGGCCTGCCTACGATCCATCCTGGGTTTAACCAGGCTGGATTGTGTGATGAGCTCACAAATACTTGAATGATCTGGACAAAGTCCCATTGGTGACCTCCTCCGCCAGGCAAGGCTGCATTGGCTGGGCCATGTAGCCTGCATGGCCAGGCAAGGCTGCGTTGGCTGGGCCATGTAGCCTGCATGCCCAGCCACCGCATCCCTAAACACCTTTTGTTCCGCCGGATCGAGGTCTCTAAACGGGCGCTGCACAGGCTAGAGAAGAGATGGAGTGATGTACTACAGGACGATATGCAGCTGAGTGGACTTGTCGATGACTGGTACCAGCGGTGCCAGTCATCTCAGTCGACCTGTGCCATCTGGGTCTGCCTCGTTACCTGCCAGCAGGTGTTCGACACTTCACGCGGCCTCAAGGTGCACATAGCCTACCACAAGCGTTGTGGTGACGTCACTGCCACTTAGTGGCGAATGGCGGCTGTTGTTTTTCAGTCTATGTATGTATGTGTAAGTCGATATATGTGTGTAACTCTGTGTGTTTGAGTCGATTTGTGTGTGTAACTACATGTGTCTCTCAAGTCGATGTCTGTGTGTGTGAGGCCATATGTGTTTGCGTGAGTGTAAGTCAGTGGGTTTCTATTTGTATGGGTCCATGTCTGTTTGTAAGTTCATGTGTGTGTCTGCCTTTTTCGCCCGGGCAACGCCGGGTAGTAATCGCTAGTATATGAATAAGTATAGACGTGTAAGTCACGTGTTACTGTGCCTCGATGCTGACGTGTGCCGTATTTTCGCGCTTATAGCCCGCATACGCATATACCCCGCAAAAATAGCGTTTTGTGTAAAACAAATTTCAGATAGCCCGCACCTCCATATACCCCGCATGCATTCAAATCTTTATCGTAGTTACCGCAGCTAAATTTCATCATATTAATACGAAGTTTACATTTGTAATACATTTCACTATCGATTGTTAACATTAAAATCATAACGTGCACAAAGAAAACAAACTAACTGGAAACGAGTGAACGTAAAACAGTAAATAAGTAACAAAAGTAAATATCCAATAAATAAGTAACACATAACTGGTAGATAAGTAAGTAAGTTTTAGCACTGGTAGATTGCGCACTGCGCAGACAATAGCGGCACTCCGGTAACGCGTTGCCTCGCCACCAACCCCCCCCCCACCTCTCTCCCCGCAGCTCTCCTGTAGCCGGTAAACAAAGTGCGCCCACTTCAAACATTGTCGGTTCATTGTACAAACAATTTTAATAATTGAAAACGTGATAACATGTGCAATTTTGGGGCGAGTAGTTTATTCAGCAGTGCTTTAATCAAAGGTAAGTGTTGCATAGTGGATAGTCCTACCATGAAAAAATTAAACGAGTTATGACATGTCACACTTTAAAAAATTGGGATAGCCTGCACCTCCATATACCCCGCAGGGTCTTGTTTTGTTTGTAAAAAGTGGTATACCCTGTGGGTTATATGCAGGAAAATACGGTAGATGGTGTTTATGTAATTTTTTCTGTCTGCAGCTATCGCTTCCTCTGTCGCTTCCTCTGCAGAATTTTTCTGATGGAGCAAAGGCACTCGGCGCAGCTCGGTACAACAAGGCAACAATGCGACCGGTGTGCATACAGCACGGATCATACTGGAAATTTGACACAGCACCAGAGAACTCACACAGGAGAGAAGCCCTTCAAGTGCAGTGTGTGTGGGAAGGCGTTTTCACGGTCGTCTGTTCTTAAAAAACACCAGAGAACACACACAGGAGAGAAACTCTTTAAGTGCACTCTGTGTGGCAAGGCGTTTTCAGATTCATATAATCTTGTATCACACCAGAGAACACACACGGGAGAGAAACCCTTCAGGTGCACTCTGTGCGGGAAGGCTTTTGCACAGTCACCACATCTTCAAATACACCAGAGAACACACACGGGAGAGAAACCCTTCAAATGCACTCTGTGTGGGAAGGCGTTTGCACAGTCACCACATCTTCAACTACACCAGAGAACACACACAGGAGAGAAACCCTTCAAGTGCACTCTGTGCAGGAAGGCGTTTGCACAGTCATACAATCTTGTAATACACCAGAGAATACACACGGGAGAAAAACCCTTCAGGTGCACTCTGTGCGGGAAGGCGTTTGCACTTTCATCTACTCTTGTAAAACACCAGAGAACACACATGGCAGAGAAACCCTTCAAGTGCAGTGTGTGTGGGAAGGCGTTTGCACAGTTATCTACTCTTGTAGCACACCAGAGAACACACACCGGAGAGAAACCCTTCAGGTGCATTCCGTGCGGGAAGGCGTTTGCATTTTCACCAAATCTTCAAGTACACCAGAGAACACAAAAGCATCAGAAGATCCACAAGGAGTGGAGTCTGAAATCAGCTTGTGAAAGTCAAAGTTCCGCAATGAGCCCATCCCTCATGAAACAAGAACCGGAAGAAAATCCCAGCTTGAACGCTTTTAAAGGTATCGAGGTGAAATATGAAGAGGTGAAGGTGAAAGGTGATGAAGTGATGGTGAAGAGCGAAGAAGTGATGGTGAAGAGCGAAGAAGTGAAGGTAAAATGTGAAGATGACGATTCAACTCCAAAATCGGACCTTCACATCGATGGAGGCAACGTGAAGCAGGAGGAGACTTCTGACTGTGAGGCAGAGCGAGGCAACTCCCAGCAGTTTGTGGAAGTGGAGGTGTGGGTGGACTTCCTCCGAGACAATACAAAGTCAAATGGAGACCCGGTAGATGTGTAAGCTTGAGACGATGTCGCTCCAGTAGATGCACCTTTGTCACAGGTTTTGAATGACAAGAATGTGAAGTTGAACACTCAATTCCTTGGTTAAACCTGCAGGGTAAGAGTGGCCAGTCTTTGTGGACCTGTGGGTTGGGTACATCTCTAACCAGGAGCGAGAACCAATAAGCTCCCAAGCATTCACTATGTTCTAATACAGTGGTACCTCGGTATACGTCCTTAATTCGTTCCAGAAGGTAGGAAGACTTACACCGAAAATGACGAATACCAAACGAATTTTTCCCATAAATAAAGGGAAAGGAAATGATTCGTTCCAGAGTATAATAAATTATATTTTATATGCCATATTATACATTAATGGGGTTAAAATAATTTAGACACTAATTACTAAAATGCATACGTAAATTAAAATAAATGCATAAGTAAATTAAAGTAAATTGAAATAAAAATTAAATAGAACATCATACTCATAACCAAAGAGTATGGATCCTTGCAGTCACGAAAGCTTTAAATCTAAAATAGAACATCACTTTACCTTGCTGAGGGGAGTTGATAGCCTACGAGGATGGTGGTGAGAAGGGGAGGAGATGTTATTTTATGGAAGGAGAGTCCCCTTCCATTAAAACTTCAGCAAGCTGATATTCTGGGTTTTTTTTCTCTTTTCTGCGTTTTTTTTCTTGACATGGACCTGGTTGAGGCTCACCAGGTTTGAGTTTTACTAAAAACCTGTCCATTGAAGTCTGTTTTTGCCTTCTAAGAATGTTCCTGAAAGTGTGACATTGTCTTGTCATTCCACACAATACTGTTACGGCTTGTAACTTAGATATGGCATCTCAGTTGTGGAGTTTGTAGGTAATCTTCTTTGGTTCTTTCGGTAAAGTCACGTAGAATGAGAATAAAATAATAAATTGATAAAATAAAATAACACAATAATATTCTCACGACGTTTCGGCCACAACACAAGCGGCCTTCATCAGGTGAAGGGAGCGAGACTGTCTGGTAGGACAGCGCTGGAGTGAGAGAGCCACGTTCAGATCACGGCTTTTAAGCTGTGTGAGAGGAACAAAGAGCCTTGACGAAGGAATTAGCATAAAATTTAGCATTGAAAAGGCTGAATGATTAGCTTGTGACTGGTCACAGAAATAGCTATGTTAAAAGTTAAAGCATACACATCCGCAGAGGCACCCATTGTTAAAAGGAATTAGCATAGAATTTAGCATTGAAATAGCTAAATTAAGGCATTCGCTTGTAACTGCTACAGAAATAGTTACGTTGAAGTCAGAGCATACACATTCACCGAGGCACTTAGTACAAATCAAAACAGGAGAATTTAGCATTGAAATAACTAGGCGAATTTAGCATTGAAATAACTGGGTGATTTGCTAGTGACTGGTCACAGAAATGACTACAAATCTGAGCTATTCACAGTACTATATAGTGAACCAATAAAAACTAAAATATAAATTACCTTCATGTTATCAATAAACTCTATATTCTCCAATCAGCTAAGCTACCAACCATAAGTCGTTATATATCACAATGCTATATGGCGAACTCGTCCGTCTGAATGGGGCCCGTAGCTATCCGTGGTACGGAAATTTGAGGGTAAGAATCCACCCATTTTTTCGCCATATAGCATTGTGATATATAACGACTTATGGTTGGTAGCTTAGCTGATTGGAGAATATAGAGTTTATTGATAACATGAAGGTAATTTATATTTTAGTTTTTATTGGTTCACTATATAGTACTGTGAATAGCTCAGATTTGTAGTCATTTCTGTGACCAGTCACTAGCAAATCACCCAGTTATTTCAATGCTAAATTCGCCTAGTTATTTAAATGCTAAATTCTCCTGTTTTGATTTGTACTAAGTGCCTCGGTGAATGTGTATGCTCTGACTTCAACGTAACTATTTCTGTAGCAGTTACAAGCGAATGCCTTAATTTAGCTATTTCAATGCTAAATTCTATGCTAATTCCTTTTAACAATGGGTGCCTCTGCGGATGTGTATGCTTTAACTTTTAACATAGCTATTTCTGTGACCAGTCACAAGCTAATCATTCAGCCTTTTCAATGCTAAATTTTATGCTAATTCCTTCGTCAAGGCTCTTTGTTCCTCTCACACAGCTTAAAAGCCGTGATCTGAACGTGGCTCTCTCACTCCAGCGCTGTCCTACCAGACAGTCTCGCTCCCTTCACCTGATGAAGGCCGCTTGTGTTGTGGCCGAAACGTCGTGAGAATATTATTGTGTTATTTTATCAATTTATTATTTTATTCTCATTCTACGTGACTTTACCGAAAGAACCAAAGAAGATGAATCATTGCAGTCACGAAAGCTTTAAATCGAAATTTGTAGGTAATGTTTAGAATTTGGTCAATTTTGACCCAGATGCCAGCATGCAATGGCCTACTCGTTTTGAATGGTGCAATAGTTTGTTGTACATACAATGTTAAGCAGACGGTGCGTATTTTTGTAAATAGCTTCTTGTGAATACGATGTAACCTGATGCAGCATATTTCAGTGCAGTAATTAAATTTTGTTAAAATAACTCAATCATTTATAATGAATACTTGTCTGATTGTGCGTACATGTAACATTTTGTCTGAGGGTCAAACATTGATTAAGTGATGTTAGGACAAAGTGTGTGTTTTGGAAGTAACCTGTACAGATAACTCAGGTGAGACCCGTTGTTTTTGTGATACAGGTCAAAGGGTATTTTTGTGTTTGCAGGAAGCGTCTGCCTCTGGAACAACTCATTGTCTTTGCAATAGGGAGCACACTCGGATCATTCATCAGTTACAAGGCATACCACTTAAAAGTTACACGTAGAGGAGATACATTCTCTACAACACGAATTATAATTTTGTGTTACGTGTTGACGTAGATTTTGTCTAACTAGGACTAGAAATGCTCATTGCTGATTAACGTCTGGATGTTCGTAACCATCGGTTGAAGCAAGCCCGGCTGCTCTTGAGGCGCTGTGCACCAATAAGGGTCCACAGGTGGCTTGCACTGAATCAATGATGCACTCTCAGAAGGCTGTGTTAGTTATAGTTTGTGTAAAACAGTCCTGTGTGTACACACTCAGTGTACACACACATACAGTGTACACACATACACAGTGTACACGTTGTTGTTGCTGAGCTCACACACCCAAGGGGTCTCTGTTCACGGGAGGGAGCAATGGAAAATGAATCTAAATCAAAATAAAACTCCAACCCCGCTCTATGACGTCACCACTCAGCATTACCTCATCGGCGTGAAACGCCAGGGGAGGTGTTCCTTGCTAGTGACGTCATGTCACCAAGGTACTCACCCCACCCCATCCACCGCGCGCTTGGGCGTGACGTCACCTCTGCCTGGGCCACCTCCGTTCTCTGTTCAAGTACAATCCTAATTTGGGCAAAGCCACGCTCAGTGGCTGGCGGCTCATTAACATAATGTCTTCGTGAAAGCCGTCGCGAGTTTATTGCGACGAGTTCGGCACCCACGCCCCATCCCTCCACGTAGGGGCTGGGCTCATTAACATAATTTATTTAAGTCAAGACCCGCTCGTTGTGGTAAAGGAGTGTCTTGTACCGATCAAGTGACGTCAAAAAACGAAAGAGTAATCCCTGCAATCACGTAAGCGCCAAATCAAGTTTGACGTCATGTCACCACCTGCTGCCGCGTGACCTCGCGAGGTAAATGAGGCTGCCGCTCCGCCCGTGCACTGAAATTCGAGGTAAGAAATTCTCATCTGCGGTTGTTGTGGTGGTTGTTGTTGTTTACCGAGGTAGAGCCTCGCTCTCTCTCGTAGGGATGTCAACTGAGTAGCAGCGAACATGGAAGCGATGTCCAGGTTGGAACTTTACAACGCGGGGCCTTGCCTCCTGCCCTCGCCTGATCGCGTTCGCTTCAATTCTCTTGCTTAAGCTTAATTTGTCTTCACCCCGTTGCTAGGCCTAGCCTCGCGGGGCCTAGCCTGGAAGAACGTAATCAACGGGCCTAGCCACGCGGGGCCTAGCCACGCGGGGCCTAGCCACGCGGGGCCTAGCCACGCGGGGCCTAGCCACGCGGGGCCTAGCCACGCGGGGCCTAGCCACGCGGGGCCTAGCCACGCGGGGCCTAGCCACGCGGGGCCTAGCCACGCGGGGCCTAGCCACGCGGGGCCTAGCCACGCGGGGCCTAGCCACGCGGGGCCTAGCCACGCGGGGCCTAGCCACGCGGGGCCTAGCCACGCGGGGCCTAGCCACGCGGGGCCTAGCCACGCGGGGCCTAGCCACATTTGTCTTCACCCCGTTGCTAGGCCTAGCCACGCGGGGCCTAGCCTGGAAGAACGTAATCAACCAGGCTATGCGTTAATTGTGTGTTGACCGACTCTCTGTGTTGCATTGCATTACATTTACAAATTTTACTGAGTTTGTTTGATTAAGTGTGCTTTCTCTCTGTGTGTGTCCTCGTGTTGTCGCGCTTTTATTTCCTGCAGTCACCAAACCTCCAAATCTCTCATTGACACAAGGCCGTAATTATAATATATTATAATTGTTATAATATAATCATTATAATATATTATAATAATATGTAATAATATATTATAATAATTATATTTATTGGGGGGGTGACATCCCCTCCCCAATGTTGACTCCATGGCTACGGCCTTGCATTGACTTGTTAATTTCTCTACACCCCCCCTCTCTCTCTGCCCCCCTCTATGCAAGGCCTCGACACAGAGGCGTTGTTTCTCTCTGTGTCTCTGTGTTATCGCTTTGTGTCTATGTGTGTGTCTCTCTCTGTGTCTCTCTGTGTCATCTCTCTGTGTCTCTCTGTGTCATCTCTCTGTGTGTCTGTGTGTCATCTCTCTGTGTGTCATCTCTCTCTGTGTGTATGTGTCATCTCTGTGTGTGTGTCTGTGTGTGTCTCTGTGTGTCTGTGTGTCTCTCTGTGTCATCTCTGTGTGTGTCTATGTGTGTCATCTCTCTCTGTGTCTGTCTCTCCGTGTCTCTGTGTTATCGCTTTGTCTATGTGTGTGTCTCTCTCTGTGTCTCTGTGTGTGTCTCTCTCTGTGTGTCTGTGTGTCATCTCTCTCTCTGCTTATGTGTCTGTGTGTGTCTCCGTGTCTGTGTTCTGTCTCTCTCAAATGTATCAATCTGTGTAAGAACGTAATCAAACAGGTGTGGTGTTGACTGTTATGTTAGCCGACGCTCTATGTTGTATTGTATTTCTAAGTGTACTATGTTTGTTCCCTCTTTCACTTGTACCTGACTAGCTTTACTACCCGGCTTCGCCCGGGAATTGGATTTTTGACTTGGATTAATACACGGCCAACGCAGAGGGTGGGGGGGGAGATAGGTGACGTCAGCATGCACACTGCGTGACGCTGCCGCATTCGGGTGACATGACATATATGTGACGTCACCGCTCCCTTGCAGTGCAAAATATCCATTATTGCGCCCCCCCCCCCCCCCCCACAAAAAATAACAAAAGTCTATTTTGATTATTTTTGCATTGTGTACAGTTTGGAAACTACCCACATGCCAAATTTGAAGTTTGTTGCTTGTCGTGAAGTATCCTAAACATTTCGAACAGTCACACATTAACAAATTTCCCTTTTATATATAGACTAGCTTTACTACCCGGCTTCGCCCGGGACTTGGATTCACCACACCCGGCCGCCTTTGTCTCCCCAGTGGCGATGTTCACACCACACCAGTTACTCGTTTGAGGCTGAGGCGATCTAGGAGAGGCCCAGGACCGGTTCAAATAATCGTCACCGGTGGTACCCGTGAGCGGGAATCGAACTCGGGTCGCCGGGTTCGTAGCGCGGCGCGTTCACCGCTACATAACAATGCGTTACGCTGCTACATGTGTGGGTCACGTGACAGATTTGAGGTCACAGCTCACTTGCCGTGCAAAAAATATGTGCATTATTGAGCTCCCCTCCCAAAAAAAGTATTTTTTATAATTTTTGCATGGTGTACAGTCTGGAAAGTACCCACCTGGCAAATTTCAAGTTTGTTGCATGTCAGGAAGTACGCTAAACATTTTGAACAGACACATTCACAAATTTCCATTTTATATATATGGAGATGATGATTGCTTGTGTTGCAATCGAAACGTCGTGTGCAGTTATTTAATTATTATGTTCTTTCTACATGACTTTACCGAAAGAACCAAAGAGTATCTTGCTTAAGTTTTAATTTCTCTTCACTTGGCTCGCTACTTTGTAACTTTGTTTTATTTTAAATATTCACAGTTTTTTTTTTCATTTTTTACCAGGCCACGCCCTCGTTGAGCTGCTATACCACTCTTGTTTTCAGAAGCGACCTGCCCACAACAACAACAAGGTGGGGCTTGTCAACAGCGTGGCGGTGTTCACTCTGGACGCGTGGTGCTGTTCACTCTAGACGCGTGGCGGTGTTCACTCGAGATGCGTGGCGGTGTTCACTCTAGACGCGTGGCGGTGTTCACTCTAGACGCGTGGCGGTGTTCACTCTAGACGCGTGGCGGTGTTCACTCGAGACGCGTGGCGGTGTTCACTCGAGACGCGTGGTGGTGTTCACTCTAGACGCGTGGCAGTGTTCACTCTCTACATGTGGAGCGGAAACCGGGGGATCGGGAAGGAATTCCACTCGACCACCGGTAGAGAGAGAGAGAGAGACACGCAGCCTCGGCTGTGTTGATTGATCCTCAATGAATTACTTGGTGGAGTGAGGAAGCATTAATACTGAGCAGGTGAAGGTGGCCAGGCGTGGGTCTGGACACACCACCACCTGTGAACCATGCCAGTGTGTGACAGTGGCGGAGTCAGTGGGGGTGGGGTGGCACGTGCCCCCCGAACGATCCGATCGAAATCCATCATTTCGATCGGATCATCAGGGTTTATTAGTAGCTAGCTTCACTACCCGGCTTTGCCCGGGTCTTGGATTCTTGTCTTGGATTAATTTCATATTCCCTTATTTCACTGAAAAACCCTGAAAATATTGATGCTTGCAAGAAAGAAAAAAGCCGAAACAATCAATTTAACTAAATCGGATGTTTTTCACTGAAGGAAATTTTACCTTAACCCACTTCTATGTAATGTCGATTTTGGCCACTCGGGAAGGGAATGACGTGGCAAGCTGAAAATAGTCACGTTGACTTAGAAATTCCAGAGCATAAGCTGTAAAATTTAATGACGCCAGAGCTCAACGTTGGAGAGTTTTTGCTACTGCACACAAACAAACAGATGTAATTTCTGCTTCATATTTAAAATAGCAGTTGTGTACCCGTTCTTCGCACGGATATGTATTGAAACTCTGAGAAGCCAGTGACTTAATCGGCCAAGAGCGAAGTGTCACCTAAAATCTCCCGGCACGCTGTTAACAGCTCTAGAAGTATGGCGCGTGAAGAGCCATATGGTAGGGGTAAGCATTGCAGAGCGCTTAACTCAGGTGTGTTGCGGGTTGACGCTACACACTCCATGATCATTTCCCCCGCCGCAAAATAGTCTATTTTTATACTTTTTACATTGTGTACAGTATGGAACCTACCCACATGCCAAATTTCAAATGTGTTACATGTTGAGAAGTATGCTAAACATTTCGAACAGACAGTAAAATCTATTAACTCTATTGAGCACGGAGGTTATATCAAAACAGTAGTTTATTTTTGTTTTCCTTTGGAACTCTTTGTAAGAATGGAGTCAGGAAGTTATCACAGCACACGTGCACCTGAAGTCAGAACTGTTCATCCCAGCATTCAAGGACATCTGTGCCTGGCTTCACACCTCTAAGTTTCGATTGAACATGAATTAATGCATTTCTGCATAACACAAATTGATATTATTTTCAACACCCTTTGCTATGTCAGCTGAATTTAGCTTTCATAAATATTCCTTTTGAAGCCAGACAGCCGAAATTGTGTGCTCGGAGTTTTGGGTTAACATTCATTTTGAAGAATAGAGGGCTTCCAGGCATGTTTATGACTATTTGCCCTCTCATTGTGTGCCATAACAGCCCGTGTGATGAATTTGGGACACTTTTTCACTATATCATGAATATATGAATAAGTATAGACATGTAAGTCATGTGTTTCTGTGTGTATGCATTCCTCTGTGCCTCGATACTGACGTGTAGATGGTGTGGATATTCTTTTTTTCTGTCTGCAGCTGTCGCTTCCTCTGCAGAATTGGTCTGATGGAGCAAAGGCACTCGGCGCGGCTCGGTGCAAAAAGGCAACAATGCAACCAGCGTGCAAACAGCACGGATCGTACTGAACATTTGACACAGCACCAGAGAACTCACACAGGAGAGAAACCCTTCAAGTGCAGCGTGTGTGGGAAGGCATTTGCACGTTCATCTACTCTTGTAGAACACCAGAAAACACACACGGGAGAGAAACCCTTCAAGTGCAGTGGGTGTGAGAAGGCGTTTGCACTTCCATCTACTCTTGTAGCACACCAGAGAATACACACGGGAGAGAAACCCTTCAAGTGCAGTGTGTGTGAGAAGGCGTTTGCACAGTCATCTACTCTTGTAATACACCAGAGATCACACACGGGAGAGAAACCCTTCAGGTGCAGTGTGTGTGGGAAGGGGTTTGCACAGTCATCTACCCTTAGAAAACACCAGAGAACACACACGGGAGAGAAACCCTTCAAGTGCAGTGTGTGTGGGAAGGCGTTTGCACGTTCATCAAATCGTCGTGTACACCAGAGAATACACACGGGAGAGAAACCCTTCAAGTGCAGTATGTGTGGGAAGGCATTTCCACAAACATCTGCTCTTAAAAAACACCAGAGAACACACACGGGAGAGAACCCCTTCAAGTGCAGTGTGTGTGGGAAGGCGTTTGCACAGTTATCTACTCTTGTAGCACACCAGAGAACACACACGATAGAGAACCCCTTCAGGTGCATTCCGTGCGGGAAGGCGTTTGCACTTTCACCACATCTTCAAAGACACCAGAAATCACACAAGCATCAGAAGATCCACAAGGAGTGGAGTCTGAAATCAGCTTGTGAAAATCTAAGTGCCGCAATGAGCCCATTCCTCTTGAAACAAGAACCGGAAGAAAATCCCAGCTTGGACACTTTTAAAGGTATCGAGGTGAAATATGAAGAGGTGAATGTGAAATGTGAAGAAGTGATGGTGAAGCGCGAAGAAGTGAAGGTAAAATGTGAAGATGAAGATTCAACTCCAAAATGGGACCTTCACATCGATGGAGGCAACGTGAAGCAGGAGGAGAATTCTGACTGTGAGGCAGAGCGAGGCAACTCCCAGCAGTTTGTGGAAGTGGAGGTGTGGGTGGACTTCCTCCGAGACAATGCAAAGTCAAATAGAGACCCGGTAGATGTGTAAGCTTGAGACGATGTCACTCCAATAGATGAACCTTTGTCACAGGCCTTTAATGACAAGAATGTGAAGTTGAACACTCACTTCCTTGGTTAAACCTGCAGGGTAAGAGTGGCCAGTCTGTGGACCTGTGGGTTGGGTAGATCTTTAACCAGGAGCGAGAGCCAATAAGCTCCCAAGCATTCACTATGTTCTAATATGTTCTAATGATTCCATTTATATGGTGCTTGCTTAATCACCTCGGCAATTCGGAGTTTTGTATCGTATCTCGTTTCAGACACTCGAAAAGCATCCCCAAGTAGCAGCTGCCCCTGTGTGGCACAAGGGGGTGGCCCTGCACTGGCCTGCATGTGAACAAGAGCCTGTCAGTAGGGGGTGATCATTGACGTGCCATCTCAGTTGTGGAGTTTGTAGGTAATGTTTAGAATTTGCTCAATTTTGACCCAGACGCCAGCCTGCAATGGCCTACTCGTTTTGAATGGTACAATAGTATGTTGTACATGAACTGTTAAGCAGACGGTGCGTATGTTTGTAAATAGCTTCTTGTTAATACGATGTAACCTGTTGCAGTATATTTCATTGCAGTAATTCAATTTTGTTAACATGCCTGTCAATAATTTAGAATGAATACTTGTCTGATTGTGTGCGTACATGTAACATTTTGTCTATAAGGGTCAAACGTTGAATAAGTGATGTTAGGACAAAGTGTATTTTGGAAGTAACCTGTACAGATAACTCAGGTGAGACCCGTTGTGCTTGTGATACAGGTCAAAGGGTACTTTTGTGTTTTCAGGAAGCGTCTGCCTCTGGAGCAACTCATTGTCTTTGCAATAGGGAGCACACTCGGATCATTCATCAGTTACAAGGCATACCACTTAAAAGTTATTATAGAGGAGATACATTCTCTACAACACGTAATTTTGCATTACGTGTTGACGTAGATTTTGTCTAACTAAGACGAGAAATGCTCCTTGCTGATTAACGTCTGGATGTTCGTAACCATCGGTTGATGCAAGCCCGGCTGCTCTTGAGACGCTGTAAACCAATCAGGGTCCACAGGTGGCTTGCACCGAATCAATGATGCACTCCCAGAAGGCTGTGCTAGTTATAGTTTGTGTAAAACATTCCTTTGTTTCGTGGAGAGATCGATAAATGAAAGATGTCGTGTCTGCTGATCTGCTTCATAGCAATAATAATAAACTTCCACCACTTGTGACTTGCGTCTTTCTTTATTACTTGCGACTGCTCGGCTTCACACCCTCTTCCAAGATGGTCTCTCTTCCGCACCGCGGCACACGCTCACTGCTTCCCTCGCCCCCGCGTTCCCCGCACCCCGCTGGTTGGCGGTGTCGGAGACCACCTGCTCACTGTCCTCGAGGCTGCCACGTGGTCGGTGGCTGACGAGGTGGAGGAGACGCAGTCCGGACCCAGGCTTCCACACCGCACCCCGAGTCCATCACTCGCCTCCCCTCATCTCTCTCGGCGGAGCAAAGCCCCGCCTCTAACCACGCCCCCTCAGAAGCTTCCCGATGGTTCCCGCATACCCACCGCGAGCTCCGCCCGTGAATTTTGGCCCAGATGGAACCCATAGCCCTGATTGGCTATCGCCGATGAGGCAACGCCTATGCAGCCTTCCGTCACCCGTAGGTGTGCTCTCATTACATCACCACCACCCCCCCGAAGAAAAAAACCAAGCCATCCCGGCTAGGAAAAGGTAAGGCCAGGTAATGGAGAGCAAATCCGAAGATACTGACGAGCACAACAACAAGCATAAAACGAGGACGAAGAACGCTGCATAGCCGAGCATAACACAAGAATTTAACGAAATCGACCGGACTTGGAATGGGTCCGCAACGCCGGACCATCCCCAACGTTGACGTGCGGCCCTGTGGTGGTACCTGCTATCACTACAGTAGTATATACTGACTATAGCAGTATTTATCGACTCTATAGCACAAAGTACTCACCTGACGGAGTTCCGTGGTGAGGCCTAGTCCCGTGCAGAGCCCGTGGCCTCGCCTGGATTGTCCAGCCGGAGGAGCTGACACATTGCCAGAGTGGGGGCTGGGCCGCTACCCCCACCCCCCCCTACCATCCCCCCGCCAGAGCTACAATAATACTACCATAATACTATCTAAGCGCTATAATATTAGTATGTATTGAGCCTACAGTAGTAAGTGCACACATTGGGGTGGGGAGAGAAGAGGACATGACACTTGGATGAATTTACCTCAGTGTTGCGTGTATTTTTTTAGTATTTTGAACGCGAAGGAGAAATCCCCCCACCCTCCACCGATGACGCGCATGTCTTGCTAGGGGCAATCCCCGTGCAGCTTGAGCGGGGGAATTAAATAAATAAAATAGCACTACATTGTTAATTAAACTACTTTAAAGTTTACGGATGGGAAAACGGAATAGCCTATGCCCACCGCAGGGCTTAGGGCGTGCTGCCTGGCAATTTTTTTTCAGCGTAAACCCCATTTGAGAGCCAAATTCCTCGCAAGCGTGCCGTACGCAGACTTTTATATATATATAAGACTAAGGCTAAACACAACCAAGAAATGCACCTTTTGTTGAAAAATAAAGCTATGAAAATTGGGCCAATCTTGCCAAAAAACGGCTTAAGTTATATGCCGATTTGCTTTTTTAATTGAAATTTTCATGGTGAAATGTCCCACTTTTAACGTAATATATAGCATACTAATGCTAAACAAACGGGAGGAATTCACTTATTAGAAAATGTAGCTATGAAAATTTGGCTCATTTTGGCAAAAAACTGCATCGGAGCCCTAACCCTAACTACCCCAACCCAGAACCCTGACACTAACCCCTAAACATAAACCCTAACCCGTAACCCTAACCCAAAACCTCTAACCCAGGGGTGGGCACATTTTTTGACTAGCGGGCCACAATGGGTTCTAAAATTTGACAGAGGGGCCGGGCCAGGAACAGATGGATGGAGTGTTTGTGTGAACTAATATAAATGACACGTTAAAAATCATCACATGAAAGGATTTGGCCTTTAACAGGTGGCAAAGCATTTATTTGCAAGGCAATTTAACAAATTGCACGCACACGAATACAAAAACATGCCGTAACGTGACTGATCAAACATCATGAAAACATTTGAGGTCTGCGCCCAAACCAACGACCTCGCTTGAACTTCTTTACGATCTACATCAGGGGTCGGGAACCTTTTTTACTAAGAGAGCCATGAAAGCAAAAAATTTGGAAATTTATTTCAGTGAGAGCCATATAATATATTTTAAAAGTGAATTCAACTAAATGTCAGTATAATAAGCCTCTGAATTTATTCTTTTAAATAATGTTGTTATAACACTCACCATTAATGCGACTTCTGGTGCTGCATGGATTTGCTGATGTCTTTGTAGTCGGGTTGGTACTTGGTGAGGTTAAGCTTCATGCAAGCGTTGAGGCTTTCATCCGTTAAACGTGATCGTAGGTTGGACTTGATGTTTTTAAGATGTGAGAATGACTGCTCACATGCATACGTAGGCCAGTATCATCCAATTAAAATAATGGACAATTGCTCCTGCAGCCCTGAACAGGACATGCGCAGTGAAAAATTGATGGATGGATTAAAACAAGTGAGAATATTTTGTTTTATCTGCGAGCCATATGCAATCATCAAAAGAGCCACATCTGGCTCGCGAGCCATAGGTTCCCGACCCCTGCCCTAATCCCTAACGCTAACCCCTATGCCTTTAAACGCATCTCAGCGAGATGAGTTGAATCGTAAATGGCTCGACTCTGTCGAGCAGAGTCGAAGGGCATACGGCCACTTCAAGGTTACCAAGGCTCTCCATATCTAACGTTGACTCCACCGCGGTGTACAACTGTGCATCAGCAGCACATTGATGGAAACTTGAGGTCATCTATCGGAGAGACATGTTGAAGATGGGGAGGGCCCCAGGACAAATCCCTGTGGTACGCCACCTCCACACAGCACAGGTAACGACTGTTCATCACCCAGCTTGACGAACTGTGACCGACCATGTCGGCATGACCCAGTCCACCCCAGTGCTGTACCGAATACACCGAACCTTGCCCTTAGCCGCCCGATGAGGTCGTTGGTGTCGAAGGCGGCCGAGAGATAGTGGCCAGCCAACGCTGCAGCTTCACCGGTCATCCATGACCTTGTCGAGGTCATCGGCGACCTTTAGTAGAGCCTCCTCAGTGCTGTGAAAGTCCCGGTGTGCTGCCTGTCGGGAGCGATGTTGGTCAGTAACCACTGCGGACAAGGGCACTACAATGACCTTTGTACTCAGGTCTGAGATCGGGCGATAGTTTACGAGATCACAATGGCTCAAACCAATATCCTTCAGGAGCAGTTTCACGGCCAACACCAATAACGATTCTCCGAACGTTTTTTTAAGATCGACTCAGCCTGCAATGAGTGCCTGGTGCGATGTGTGAACATGGCCACTTGATCAACCCAGGCGACTAGGCGTGGTGTTGGCTACCCACCCACTCGTGTGCCGTGCCGGCCTTCATCGGTGCTGTTGGCTCACAGCACTTGGTCTGGCAGTCGGTTTTGGGTATCCAGCGGTGTTTGTGTATAGGGGCCGTCCATAAATGACGTCACGCACCTAGGGGGGTCAGACATTTGTGACGATGTGTGACGAGGGGCGGGGGGGGGTTTGAGAAACGTCACATCAAAATGCGCAACTATAAATAAATATAAACACGTTCTACTTATACCTTTTAATAAATGTTTTCTCCTACAACATCAACAGTTTAAAGCGATTTGGAGCATGTTTTTTTGGGTGGGGGGGGGGCAGAGCTTTGTGACGTCATATTTGAGGGGGGGTCTGACTATTTGTTGCGCCGTGTGACGATTGGGGGGGAGGGGTCAAAAATCGTCCAAAATCGCGTGACGTCATTTACGGACGGCCCCTTACGAATGAAGCACATTCATATGACGTCATCATTTGCACACGGTGCCCGATTGAATGCTCCAAGGTGTTTGGTGGAATTTTCAAGCGTAATAAAGTTTGGCGAAAAAGTCCTCAACAAGTTGAACGTATTTTGGTTTTACTGATTGTATGTCAATCCGAGAAAATGTTTGGGAGATACAGATCGTGACGAATAGACACTAGTGAATAACATATTTATACTGGTAGGAACGAAGTTGTAAGCTGAGTGTACCAGCCTGCAATAGATTAATGTGTCCGTCCGTCCCCTTTCAAAAGCCCCATACTACCGTATACCGGGAAACAATTCCTCATTTTAAAATGCAATTGTTGTCATTTTTCGGCCCAGCCCTTAACGATTTTATGATACATTGCTCCAAAATGAGCAGATTTCAGTCAATAAGGATTTCACTTCTAGATTTAAAGCTTTCGTGACTGCTAGGATCCATACTCTCTGGTTCTATTGGGTAAAGTGACTTTACCCAATAGAACCAGAGAATAAGGATTTCACCATTCCATTCCTCTACAGAGGTTAATTTGTCCGAAGAACCCTCAACGATTTTGAGGGCAAAAAGGTGGGAAGACGCTCTCAATTTGCACAATTTTACATAACAATGTCATAAAATTGCGCAAAATTCCAATGTTCCTACCAGCCCACCCTGCAGGGACCTGTTATAGAGAGATGCGATGTAAGTCGCTCTGAGACACCCCAGTGTGTAAAGGGTGCTTCATCAACACAGCGGTCCACAGCCCCCGGACCACACACCGGGAGGTGAGCGGTGAGTCCACGCGTGGCCCGCCCCCAATATTTTATTTACCACATCCGTCCGCGCCTCTTTCCCGCACTACTGAGCACTTGTCTCAGTCACGTGGTGTTGGTAAGCCCACAAAGCTAACCCTAGTGGCCAAAACGAGTAAAACAAAAACAAACGTCCCTGGAGAGCTTCTTTGAAAAGGGGGAAAGAATCTCGATTTGAAGTTTTCGTGACTGCAGGGATCCATACTTTTACCTACGTGACTTTACCCAATAGAACCAAAGAGTATGGATCCTAACAGTCACGAAAGCTTTAAATCTAGAAGGGATCCATACTCATTGGTTCTTTCGGTAAAGTCACGTAGGTAGAAAATAAAATAAATCACGTCGTGATTTAATTGATTTTATACCTACGTGACTTTACCAAAATAACCAAAAAGGGGTAAAGATCCAATGATGAGCCCACCCCCTCCCCCCCGGTCCGTGAACAAATTGTCTTCCTCGAAGCCGGTCCCTGCTGACAAAAAGGTTTGGGACCGCTGCATCAACAGCCATCATTACAATTTTAAACGCTTTCTATTAACTCACTCTGTTGTTGTTGTATCCTCAAATCTTGTAACTCAATTTTAACCCACTTCCCAATGTGGTATCGACTGCAAACTTGGTAAACTTATGTCATACTGATGACAATACTATAGTCTATCATAAAAAAACAGATATTTTTTTAAAACATTATTTTGTATATGTTCTGTTTCGGCATGGGTCTAATTGTCCACGCTCAACTGACGTTGGCTGTAAATCACCACGGTCCCTTACGTTGTGGCAAGCTTCGGGGCCACTTCCTGGAGTCGTGGCATTACTAGTACGGTACATTTCATTAAAGCGTGTTATTAAAAAAGATTTTAAAAATATTTTTCATAACAGGTCCCTGCAGGGTGGGCGGGTAGGAACATTGTAATTTTGCGCATTTTTATTTTTACACCCCAACAGCACGAGATTTCACTTCGTTAAAGTATTGAAAGGGGACGGACGGACGGACACATTAATCTATTGCAGGCTGGTACACTCAGTTTACAACTTCGTTCCTACCAGTATTACTGATTTATGTTGTAACCAGAAAATCGTGAAAAAAAGTCGTAAATTAATGAAGTCGAGCACACTTTGTCGTGGGGTCAGTCAACATTCTCCACGTGTTGAGCGGCGACCGTGCAGGTCGACAGGGATGGACTGACATCACATCCCGGTATGAGCACGCCTGCGTGTCAGCGCTCTGGAGCCGAGGCACACCCGGCGTGCCGAGGCCTTGGTGCGACGTTGGCTCAGTGCAGGCCAAACGTCGTCGAGGGGGAAACTTCGGCACGTCGCCCGACACGGCCTGCAGCCTCCTCATCACCTCGCTGGACATCACGAAGCCGACCCCGGCGCACGAAGTGTCCCCGTCGAAGTGCTTGCTGCCGGCGTCGCGGACGACATGCGAGTCCGTGACCACGCTGCCCAGGAGGAGAGGGCTGTCGCCACCTTGAGCAGTTGCCAAGAGGTAGTCGAGGATGTTGTCCACGTTCACAAACATCTCCTCCTCGTTGCCCTCCTCCTCGTCGTCCTCGAACGCGTAGGCCACGCGGCTGCGTCTGCAGATGCTGATCCAACGTAGCCAGTTCTTGTCCTCGAGGGCGAGGCTGTAGAAGTCGTCCGGGAATTCCCACTGCAGAATGTCTCGCTGGACGGAATCTTCCAGGTCCACGGACTTCTGGACGTGGAGGAGGCCGAAGAGGAGGCCGAGGAGAAGGCCGAGGAGGAGGCCGAGGAGGAGTCCCCGCAGCACGCGGGTGACCTCGCCCTCGAGTCAGACGCCCCTCTCGTGACCCCAGGCGCTGCGCACGGCTCCTCGGCCCGGCTCTTGGCAAGCAGGAGGAGGTTCGGCGTCGCGTCTTCAAAGCTCTCGAGCTTCTCTTGGTGGTTGTGGTCCATTGGGAGAAAGTGCCAGTCGCGGATTAATTCTTGACGAGACAGAGAATAGAACACAGCGTGCAATCTTGAGCGGCGCAAGAAGGGCATGGGTTCAATTACCAACTCGGGCACCTTACTGTGAAGTTTGTACGTTCTCCTCGTTACGCACCTCCTATTAGCATGGTTGACTACGTACAGTGGGAAGAAAGTATAACATACATACATGCAGTGAATAAGTGTGTGCGTGTGAGATCAGTCTGTCCTGGTTATAAGGGGCACCTTTCTCTTGTTGAGTCGGCGTGTTGAGGAGCGGTAGCGTGGAGGTTGGCGCACTGCGCTACGAACCCACTTACCCGAGTTCGATTCCCGCTCAAGGCCAACATCGGTGACGATCATCTTAACCGGTCCTGGCCCCACCCCGAGCACACACCCACGAAGCGTCCCAGCGGGGGATCGCCTGGCACAACGCGTTTTCATCCCAAGGGTCCCTCCCGCGGTTTTCCGGTGCCAGGAGATTGGCCGACCCTCGCGGGCCAGGTCACATTGCGGTGCCCCTAAATTGGCTTAAAATTGTTATGGGGGCACGAAGGTTCACCGGGCCAGCCGCAACGAGTCAGACACGACGTCGGGGAGGGGGCTGGGGTGAAACTTTAAGCGAGCAGACAATGAGGTCAGGGGATCCCAGCGCCACAGACCAAATGCCCACCTGGCAGGTTGCGTATTCGCCAGGCCGGGACACCCTTCCAGATTAGACAGGCCGAGTCAGGACTTAACGAGTACAGGCGCACGTAAGATAGGTCGAGAAGTAACCGGCGCTACGAAAAGCCACAGGCAGGCGCACCATTGTCATTGGCTGCGCGGGATAATGTAATCCCGGATTTTGTTTGAAGTCAAGGGGCATAAAAAAGGGGAGCCAAACACCGTTCAGAGATCTTCCCACAGCTTGGTCACCGTCCTGCCTCCTCGAGCCGCCCACGGCATCCGTGTGATGCCGGCGAGTGCCGCTACGAGGCAGCGATGGGCGAGGCGTTTCCGTCATCCTCCCTCCGACTCCCACAGCGTCCGTGCGACGCCGCGAGGTACGTGGTAGGGCGTGCGAGTATTTGGGGACTTGGGTAGCAGTAGGCGAGGCTAAGCTCGCAGAATATTCCCTCCGGGCAGCGCTGGGTTTGCGCCGTGAACAAACGTTGAGCACAGAGCCGGCGCTGTAGCCACGTCCCTCAGAGGGCTCCGGCGCGGGGGGCCGATCAACTGGTTGGCGGGGGGCCCGGCGGGAGCCGACCGACGCGGTGGAGGAGGGAGTGGAGGTAGCGGACGTCGCAACTCCTCTACCGCACGGGCCTCCCCTAGGTCGACTCAGCCCAAAAATTAGTACCTGGTGCTGTGTGTATACACATCGCCACTTGGGAGACAAAGGCGGCTGGGCGTGGTGCTGGCCACTCACTCCCTCGTGTGCCATGCCGGCCTTTATAGGTGCTGCTCGCTAACAGCGCTTTGCCCCAACAGTCTGTTAAGGTTACACGGCGGGGAGCTTTGTCTTTGAGATGGAAGAGGGTGGGGGGGAGACGGCGGGAGATGCCACAGAAGGAGACACAAGGGGGGGTGTCACGGTAACTTAAAACTCGACTCTTTATTGATCTCCACAATCCCCTTCACAGACCTCGGGCCCCCTTACCCCGCGACAGTCACACGAACGGAATAACCCACGTAAAAAAAAAACCCACAACCATGATGACGATGCAGCCACCAACAACCTCCTCAACCACCGCCGCCACCACTCACTCACGATGGCGGCAGCTACCCAACACCCGCAGCCTCTTCTGCCTACTCGACAATCCTCACCTCATCAACACCCCCCCCCCCTCCCCCCCCCACCCCCCCCCCCACCCCCCCCCCCCCCCCCCCCCCCCCTACTGCCCGGCCGTTTGCCTCCGGAGTCCGGAGTGGACGAGGGCTCCGGAATCCGGAGTCAGTCAAGGGGGTGCAGCACCACGGGCAGCGCACGACGCCCAGGGTCCCGGGATTCCGGACTTCCCAGGATTCCAGGGATTCTGGATTCACAGGATTCTTGACTCCCGGGATTCTGGATTCCAGACTCCCACCCAGGCTCCTAGTAGGGGCGGTCGCGATGCTCGTGGCGGTAGTCACTTCTGCAGGAGGAAACGGACACACGAGTCAACAACCACGACAGCCACCAAACACCACAATCCCCCACCCACCAATAACAACACTCGCCATTCACCACTAAGTGACGGTGAAGTCACCAGGGCACCTGTGCCAGGGCCAGGTGCACTTTGAGGCCACGTGAAGTGTCGAAGGCTCGCTGCTTACAGGTCACGGGACAGTCCCAGCAGGTGCAATGGATCGGCTGACTGAGATGACCGGGATAAGCACCACCACCTGTACCCCCCCCCACCACTGTGCCAGCTTGCTGCATTTTAGCCGCCCGGCGCGCCGCTCGTTGTTGTGAGCGCTCCTCTGCCCCCCGTCGTTGCTGGAAGGCGACTGCCTCCGACTGCCCGGTAGCAGCAGCGTCCTTCACGAGCCTCCTCCAAAGAGGCCGAATCTGACACCGCTGGTACCGGTCATTGCCAAGTCCACTTGGCTCCACATTCTCCGATTCCACATCAGTCCATCTTTCCTCCAGCCTGTGTAGTGCCCATTTAGTCTCCTCTATGCGGCAAAACAAAAGCTGCTTGGGTATGCAGTGGCGAGGCATGCGGGCTACATGACCCAGCCAACGCAGCCCACTGATGGGAATGTGTCCAGATCTTTCAAGAATTGTGTAAACTCCTCACACAATCCAGCCTGCTGGTTAAACCCAGGGTGGATCCGTAGGCAGGCCAGCCTCAATGTTTCTCACCGGCGCAGATGTTCCATTAGAGGGGTCCACGTTTCATGAGAATAGAGAAAGGGAGGGCATGACTGTGGCCGAGAAGACCCGAAGCTTCGTGCGGAGCGACAGACCAAGGGTAGCTTGCACAGCCGATGAAACGATAATAGCCACCTGACTGATTCGGAGTGAGACCTCTTGCTGTCAAACTGGAGCTGGTCATAAGCACACAGGCCAGGTATGGGAACTCTACACAACGACTCCCATCACCAATGGGGAGCCGAGGGGGTGGAGTGTTTTGTGGTGGCACAAAACACCCAGGCAGGTTGCTTAGATTTGGTGGGGCTGAAGGTTAAGACCCCACACCTCTTCTTTGTGGCACACTCCAGGCTCAGCAGCACCACCACAACCACCCCCACCATGCAGCGTGTCCATGCGTGTGTGCAACACACAATGTGGGCAAGGGGAGGGTCCTCACTCACCGGCCGTCCATCTTGCCAGGACCCCCACCGCCCATCCAGCCTCCGCGGCCCCCCCTGAACCCCCCACGATCGCCACCCCCCCGGCCCCCCCGGTCCATGCCACCCCCCCGGCCTCTAAAGCCACCCCCACGGCCCCCCCGGAATCCGTCTCCTGCACACCCAACGCAGAAACGCGCGCACAGTCAGCGAGGGGACACGGACACCTACAGAGAACACAAACGACTCGCACGGACCTCGCGCCACTTACACACTGCGCTAGGTAACTCGTCCGAGGGCGAAGTCGACCAGTTCAGATAATCGCAATCATCAGTGTCACGACCACGAGCAGGAATCAAACCCCCCGCCCCCGCTCTGCCGGGTTCTTAGGACAGCAGACTAACCGCTGCACCGCCACTCTACACAACACACGGCACTCCCGTGGCATTATAGGCGCAAAGACAAAGATCCCCGTGTAGCCTTAACAGACTGTAGGGGCAAGTGCTGTTAGCGAGCACCTATGAAGGCCGGCATGGCACACGAGGGGGTGGGTGGCCAGCACCACGCCCGGCCGCCTTTGTCTCCCCAGTGGTAGAAATGTTTACTACACAGTGCACCAGCTACTCATTTCAGGCTGAGTCGACTAGGGGAGGCTCAGGACCGGTTCCGATAATCGTCACCGGTGTTGGCCACGAGCGGGAACCAAACCCGGGTCGCCAGGTTCGTAGCGCAGCGTAGCGCTAACCGCTACACCACCGCACACACACACACGTGAGTATCCCACACACACACAAACACACACACGTGAGTATCCCACACACACACAAACACACACACACGTGAGTATCCCACACACACACAAACACACACACACGTGAGTATCCCACACACACACAAACACACACACACGTGAGTATCCCACACACACACAAACACACACACGTGAGTATCCCACACACACACAAACACACACACGTGAGTATCCCACACACACACAAACACACACACGTGAGTATCCCACACACACACAAACACACAAACGTGAGTATCCCACACACACACAAACACACACACGTGAGTATCCCACACACACACAAACACACACACGTGAGTATCCCACACACACACAAACACACACACGTGAGTATCCCACACACACACAAACACACACACGTGAGTATCCCACACACACACAAACACACACACGTGAGTATCCCACACACACACGTGAGTATCCTACACACACACACGTGAGTATCCTACACACACACACACGTGAGTATCCTACACACACACACACGTGAGTATCCTACACACACACACACGTGAGTATCCTACACACACACACACGTGAGTATCCTACACACACACACACGTGAGTATCCTACACACACACACACGTGAGTATCCTACACACACACACACACGTGAGTATCCTACACACACACACACACGTGAGTATCCTACACACACACACGTGAGTATCCTACACACACACACACACGTGAGTATCCTACACACACACACACACGTGAGTATCCTACACACACACGTGAGTATCCTACACACACACACACGTGAGTATCCTACACACACACACACGTGAGTATCCTACACACACACACGTGAGTATCCTACACACACACACGTGAGTATCCTACACACACACACGTGAGTATCCTACACACACACGCGAGTATCCCACACACACACACGCGAGTATCCTACACACACACGCGAGTATCCCACACACACACGCGAGTATCCCACACACACACACGTGAGTATCCCACACACACACGTGAGTATCCCACACACACACACGTGAGTATCCCACACACACACACGTGAGTATCCCACACACACACGTGAGTATCCCACACACACACACACACGTGAGTATCCCACACACACACACACACGTATCACACACACGTATCCCACACACACGTATCACACACACACACACACGTGAGTATCACACACACACACGCGTGAGTCTGTCGTAGCTGTTGGTACCTCCGCCCGGGGAGCTGCCCCCGTCTGGACGGGGAGCCTTGCACTTGTTGCACTCGTTCCTCCACGCAAAGTTCTGGTTGCCACACGACCTGCAGCAGGAGCAGCAGCAGCAGGAGAGAGGGGGGGCCATCAACCCTGGAGTTCACGGAAGGGAACCCCCAAACACACGCAGCCTGCACCCCGAGTCGCTCCCCCCCCACCCCCGAGTCGCCCCTGTGTTTGTTGTTGCCGTGTGTTTGTTGTTGCCGTGTGTTTGCGGTTGCCGTGTGTTTGCGGTTGCCGTGTGTTTGCGGTTGCCGTGTTTGCGGTTGCCGTGTGGTTGACGTTGCCGTGTGGTTGACGTTGCCGTGTGGTTGACGTTGCCGTGTGGTTGTGGTTGCCGTGTGGTTGACGTTGCCGTGTGGTTGACGTTGCCGTGTGGTTGACGTTGCCGTGTGGTTGTGGTTGCCGTGTGGTTGACGTTGCCGTGTGGTTGACGTTGCCGTGTGGTTGCGGTTGCCGTGTGGTTGACGTTGCCGTGTTTCAAGTTGCCGTGTGGTTGTGGTTGCCGTGTGGTTGTGGTTGCCGTGTGTTTCACGTTGCCGTGTGGTTGTGGTTGCCGTGTGGGTGACGTTGCCGTGTGTTTCACGTTGCCGTGTGGTTGACGTTGCCGTGTGGTTGTGGTTGCCGTGTGGTTGACGTTGCCGTGTGGTTGTGGTTGCCGTGTGGTTGACGTTGCCGGCGGTTACTCACGGGTTGGGGCAGTCCCAGTCTCCAGCTCTCTGACCCCCGTTGGGGCCTCCAGGACCCCCTCCCCCTCCTCCACGGCCCCCGTAGCCTCCACCCCCCCCTCGGTCCCCACCCCCGCGGTCCCCACCCCCGCGGCCTGGGGAGACGGCGCCACACAAAAACACTCACACTCACCACCGCTCTCACCACCACCGCAACCACCAGCACTCAGCACGCAACCCCTCCAACCCCCTCACCTCCCCCACCCCTCCCAATCAACTCAGAATCTGCGTTCATCCGGTAAAAATCTGAGGAGCTCTCAAGCTCTTTTTGGTGGTGTTTCACGATGGCCGACTCACCTCTACCGCGCCAGTTGGAGCCAAAGTCGGAGCGGCGAGTGGCAAACGACACCTTGATCTTGCCTCCGTTGAACTCCTTGCCTGCACCACCACAATCACCACCACAATCACCATCACAATCACCACCACAATCACCACCACAACACTTTGATCTTGCCTCCGTTGAACTCCTTGCCTGCACCACCACAATCACCACCACAATCACCATCACAATCATCACCACAATCACCACCACAACCACCATCACAACCACCATCACAATCACCACAACACCTTGATCTTGCCTCCGTTGAACTCCTTGCCTGCACCACCACAATCACCACCACAATCACCATCACAATCATCACCACAATCACCACCACAACCACCATCACAACCACCATCACAATCACCACAACACCTTGATCTTGCCTCCGTTGAACTCCTTGCCTGCACCACCACAATCACCATCACACTCACCGTCACAATCACCATCACAATCACCATCACAATCACCATCACAACCACCATCACAATCACCACAACACCTTGATCTTGCCTCCGTTGAACTCCTTGCCTGCACCACCACAATCACCATCACAATCACCATCACAACCACCATCACAATCACCATCACAACCACCATCACAATCACCACCACAACACCTTGATCTTGCCTCCGTTGAACTCCTTGCCTGCACCACCACAATCACCATCACAATCACCATCACAACCACCATCACAATCACCATCACAACCACCATCACAATCACCACCACAACACCTTGATCTTGCCTCCGTTGAACTCCTTGCCTGCACCACCACAATCACCATCACAATCACCATCACAACCACCATCACAATCACCATCACAACCACCATCACAATCACCACCACAACACCTTGATCTTGCCTCCGTTGAACTCCTTGCCTGCACCACCACAATCACCATCACAATCACCATCACAACCACCATCACAACCACCATCACAATCACCACCACAACACCTTGATCTTGCCTCCGTTGAACTCCTTGCCTGCACCACCACAATCACCATCACAATCACCATCACAATCACCATCACAATCACCATCACAACCACCATCACAACCACCACAACACCTTGATCTTGCCTCCGTTGAACTCCTTGCCTGCACCACCACAATCACCATCACAATCACCATCACAATCACCATCACAACCACCATCACAACCACCATCACAACCACCATCACAACCACCACAACACCTTGATCTTGCCTCCGTTGAACTCCTTGCCTGCACCACCACAATCACCACCACAATCACCATCACAATCACCATCACAACCACCATCACAATCACCACAACACCTTGATCTTGCCTCCGTTGAACTCCTTGCCTGCACCACCACAATCACCACCACAATCACCACCACATCCACCATCACAATCACCACCACAACCACCATCACAATCACCACCACAACACCTTGATCTTGCCTCCGTTGAACTCCTTGCCTGCACCACCACAATCACCATCACAATCACCATCACAATCACCACCACAACCACCATCACCACCACAACATCTTGATCTTGCCTCCGTTGAACTCCTTGCCTGCACCACCACAATCACCATCACAATCACCATCACAATCACCACCACAATCACCACCACAATCACCACCACAATCACCACCACAATCACCACCACAACACCTTGATCTTGCCTCCGTTGAACTCCTTGCCTGCACCACCACAATCACCACCACAATCACCACCACAATCACCACCACCACCACAACCACCACAACCACCATCACAACCACACGCCTGTAAACATGCCTATACGCATGCTAGTGCACTGCCATTCACCACCAAGTGGCGGTGACTACACCACGGGGCTTGTGCCAGGCTGTGCACGTTAAAGCCACGTGAAGCGTCAAATGCCCGCTGGCAGGTCACGGGTACAGACCCAGGTGCCATAGGTTGACTGAGATGACTGGCTGATGCACCACCTGTGCTCCCTACACTAGCGCGCACACAACACGCACGTGCCTGCACACACACAACACACACGCACGTGCCTGCACACACAACACACACGCACGTGCCTGCACACACAACACACACGCACGTGCCTGCACACACAACACACACGCACGTGCCTGCACACACACAACACACACGCACGTGTGCGTTCATCTCACCGTCGAACCAGTCGATGGCGGCCTTGGCGGAAGGGGGGTCGTCAAAGGAGACGGTGGCCTCCCCCTTGGGCTTGCCGGTCTCACGGTCTGTGTAGATGTTGATCATGGGGCTACCCGTGCGCTTGTTGATCTGTCACGCACACACACAGAGACCTTGACTACACACAGAGAGACGTTGACTAAGAGACTCAAGAGACCCACAAATCTAGAGCCACGGCCTCCACCTTCCCACCTCCTCCACCTTCCCACCTCCACTCCCCCCTCCTCCTCCCACTCCCACCTCCTCCTCCCACTCCCACCTCCTCCTTCCACCTCCCACTCCCACCTCCTCCTTCCACCTCCCACCTCCTCCTTCCACCTCCCACCTCCTCCTCCCTCCTCCTCCCACTCCCACCTCCACTCCCCTCTCCCACTCCCCCCTCCACCTCCTCCTTCCACTCCCCCCTCCTCCTCCACCTCCCACTCTCACCACCTCCTTCCACCTCCCACGTCCACCTAGCTCCCCCTTCCTCCTCCTCCATCTCACCTTGATGATGCCGATCTGCTTGAAGAACTCCGCCACTTGCTCCACGGTGACCTCGTCGCCCATGCCCTGGACGAAGATGGTGTTGTTGTCTGCGTTATCCTGGTCTGTGGGGGGGGTGGGGGGGGGAGCGATGAGAAATCTGTCCACAACCACCGCTCAACCACAACAACCGCCACCGCCAACAACAACCAGTAACCAACAACCGCTCAGCAGCGGAAGAATGGCGGCGCAATCGCTGCCCCTCAAAGCGTGGGGCCCAGGGCAGCCACCGCCCCCAATCCACACCCCCACCCCTGCCTCTCCCCAACCGGACTTTCGACCACCTCCCCGCCCCTCCATCCCCCCCTTCTCCTCCCCACCAATTTAAGCTTAACCAGCTTAGGGCAAAGTCAGTCTGCAGAACTTCTTTCGCACAGTAGCCAACCGTGCGGATCTCACCATAATCCGGGACACTGCTCATCCTCGTCCTCCCCTAAACGACTGAAAACTAAACCTTATTTTATTTTTTACCGGGTGTAAGGTATCAACCAATAGCTCAGCCGAAGTGGTGGCTCATCATCATCATCATCACCACCGCGTGGAAATTGATAGCAGCAGCCAAAACACTCCTGAACGTGTGGGAGATGTCGATTCCACATGTGGAGGGGGAAAACCGGGAAGATCCGGAAACAAAATCCACGTTAGTGACCCATCACGGGGAAAGAGACGCAATCTCAAACTATACAGGTGTCGTCAGGATCGGGATCGAACCCACGACCTCCTGTATACCAGGTGAGGTGGTTAACATCTCCTAGTCAGCGTGATGATGATGAGGCATGCAAGGTATCGTCAGGGTCAGGATCAAACCCAGGACCTAATGTATAACAGGCGAGGTAGTAGGATTGAGTCCACGACCTCCTGCATACCTGGCGAGGTATCCATATCCATCAGAGGACCTGCCAATATATGCAAAGTAGGTGTGTCTTTGGCTGCAAAGGGGGACGTCTCTGCCCATATATCGTCAATCGAACCACAAGACGGCGAATCGATTCCGCTCGAAGTCTATCACGAACGCATCCACATCGGAAGAGCATCGATTCATCGAGGGTTAAACGCCCCCCCCCCCCCCCCCCGCTGTTTTCGATTGGCCGCCGTCTGCACGAATCGCATTACAGCAGCCGCCGTTCAGCTCTCTATACGTGCGTGTGTACGATTAACTTCTTTCGCACCGTACAAAGCCGTGTTCAATTGGAGGCACCCTAGCAAGCGGCGGTGGACGTCACTATGGCACCCGTGCCAAGCTGGGTGCACCGAGGCTATCGCATGAAGTGTCGAAGGCTAGCCGCTGGCAGGTGACGGAACAGACCCTGCAGGTGCCATGGGTTTGACTGCTGTGCCAGGCTAGGTGCAGGAGGCGGTGGTCACGGGACAAACCCAGGTGCCATGGGTTGACCGACAGACGCACCACTTGGTGCTATCCCAACTGTGCCAACTCATTGCGTTTTATCCGCCCGGCGCTCCGCTCTTTGTGAGCGTCGCTCCTCTGCCCTCCGCTGTTGTTGTTTGGAGGGCGACTGCCTTGGACTTGCAGTGCAGCATCCGTTGTAACTGCCCACTATTAAACTTAAAACTAAACTGTTTTCATTTTACAAGGTGGTAAGGTCAACTGAGCTACACAGCTCTTTCAGAAGCAACCTGGCTGTCAAAAATTATATCTCAAAGAACATGCTCATCATGTGCACATTTAAAGCAACCAAATACTCTTAAAGTGTAGAGATGTTAATTCTAAATTTGAAGGGGAAAAAAAATCCATGCAACCAAAAGGAGATTGAGACACGCAAACTCAAAATATACCGGTGTTAAGTCGGGATCTCACCCACAACCTCCTGTACACCAGGCGAGGTAGCTAACATCTCCGAGCCACTGTGGTGTCAGGGTCTGGGGTCGAACCTAGACCTCCTGTATAACAGGCGAGGCCAGTCAACATCTCTAGGCCACGGCGAGTTTGAGCTCTCGCTCTAGGAGACCCGAGAAAAAAACCGGTCGGTCCATCTTCGGTCGCCAGGGCTGAGGTGGCATTGGGTCACAACTTCCTCTTTTTGTAACGGAGCGGTCTGCGTGAAGGCTGACGTGATACCACCACCACCCATCCACCCTCACCCACACAGGGAGGGGGAAAACCAGCACCACCAATACCACTATCATCACCACAACGGGCAGTCCCTCCTAACCCGGCGTTGCCTCAACGCACTACACCACTCATTGGGGGAGTGTCGCGCCACCCCGGCTAAACGCGAGGGGGTTTGTGTTGTGGCGCGGCCGTGCGCCCATCCGTCGGGTGGCCAATGTTAACCCCATGCATCACCCCGTCCGCTCGTAATGATGCAGTACAACGGAGACTCGGTGGAGCTTGAATCCGTGATATCTGTACTGGAGCTGGAATCCGTGATCTCTGTACTGGAGCTGGAATCTGATTTCTGTACTGGAGCTTGAATCCGTGATTTCTGTACTGGAGCTGTGATCTCTGTACTAGAGCTGGAGTCTGATCTCTGTACAGAGGCTTGAATCCGTGACCTCTGTACTGGAGCTTGAATCTGTGATCTCTGTACTGGAGCTGGAGTCTGATCTCTGTACTGGAGCTGGAGTCTGATCTCTGTACTGGAGCTGGAATCCGTGATCTCTGTACTGGAGCTGGAATCCGTGATCTCTGTACTGGAGCTGGAATCCGTGATCTCTGTACTGGAGCTGGAATCCGTGATCTCTGTACTGGAGCTGGAATCCGTGATCTCTGTACTGGAGCTGGAATCCGTGATCTCTGTACTGGAGCTGGAATCCGTGATCTCTGTACTGGAGCTGGAATCCGTGATCTCTGTACTGGAGCTGGAATCCGTGATCTCTGTACTGGAGCTGGAATCCGTGATCTCTGTACTGGAGCTGGAATCCGTGATCTCTGTACTGGAGCTGGAATCCGTGATCTCTGTACTGGAGCTGGAATCCGTGATCTCTGTACTGGAGCTGGAATCCGTGATCTCTGTACTGGAGCTGGAATCCGTGATCTCTGTACTGGAGCTGGAATCCGTGATCTCTGTACTGGAGCTGGAATCCGTGATCGCTGTACTGGAGCTGGAATCCGTGATCTCTGTACTGGAGCTGGAATCCGTGATCTCTGTACAGGAGCTGGAATCCGTGATCTCTGTACTGGTGCTGGAGTAGGATCTCTGTACTCGAGCTGGAATCCGTGATCTCTGTACTGGAGTTGGAATCCGTGATCTCTGTACTGGAGCTGGAATCCGTGATCTCTGTACTGGAGCTGGAGTAGGATCTCTGTACTGGAGTTGGAATCCGTGATCTCTGTACTGGAATCCATGATCTCTGTACCACTTGAATCCGTGATCTCTGTACTGGAGCTGTGATCTCTGTGCTGGAGCTGGAGTCTGATCTCTGTACTAGAGCTGGAGTCCGTGAATTCTACACTGGGAACTTTAGTCTAAATTCTGTTCAGAAGCTGGACACCAAAGCGTGGGGATCCCACATCTGTTGCGTATTATCAGCGCCCCCGTGTCAACTACTCACCAAGTCAAGACACCTCCCACCCCCAACCAACAAAGAATGAGTGCACACAAAGTAATTGTAAACAGTCCTTCCCTCTACCTACTACCCCTCCAGAGGATTCCCTACCAACACTGCAGTCCCAACTCGCATACCACACTGGGCGAGAACAAAAATTATAACCCTCGATCTCACTGTTCTTTTTGTACTGTTTAGTTCTTTCGGTAAAAGTTACGTAGTTAAAAATAAAATCACGACTTTGATTGCAACACAAGCAATCATCAGATGGGAAAACCAGAGCAAGAAAAAAACATCTTTTCAGTAAAAATTGTTTTCTCTTGCTGTGGTTTTCACACCTGATGATGATTGCTTGTGTTGCAATCAAAACGTCATGATGTTTTTATTTGATTTCTAACGACGTGACTTTACCGAAAGGACCAGAGAGTATGGATTCCTGCAGTCACGAAAGCTTCAAATCAAGATTGTTCCTTTTGTGGCGGGGCTGCCGTGGTGTCGAGCCGGCGATACCGACTGCTCTGCAGCTGTCGAGACATCGTACAGAATGGACAGGCGGTACCAATCCACGTGCTGCTGCACGGCACTCTGCTGGCAGAGGCCTTGGCTTACTCCTTGACGGCCAACCCAACCCACCGGAATGAAGGAGATGGAACAGATGGGAGATTAGTCCACACTGTGCTGTACCGCCCTCTCCTGGCAGAAGCCTGGGGCTACGGCTCCTCGACACCCAGCCACGAGTTAGTGTTTAACAGATAGAGAACAGTCCACACATTGCGCTCTACCACCTTCCGGAAGAAGCCAGGGGCTACGGCTTACTCCTCAAAGCAGCCAGGGGTTGAGGGAGTCTCCCAACACCTCTGCGGCGATCCACCAACCCCAGGCGCTGCTGCCTCAACGGCTGGGGGTCAGAGGCAGGAGTGCGCCACCGCCGCCCCGGCAAGCCGGCGTTGCACCACCCCACCCCCGCCCCACTGCAGTGATGTCTCGGACATCGCTACCCAACTAGGAAGCCAAATAGGAACCAAAGTAGCCCCCCCAACCTAACACCACCGCGCCTCTCCCCAACACACCGGCACCACAGAAGGCAGTAGTTAGTAGTAGTAACTCTGGTTCACTTACCACTGGGTTTACCGTATCCGCTATGGTCACCAGCGCTGTAGTCGGTGCGACAAGAGGACACGGCAGACAAAAGTGAAGCACTCTCCATGGGAGGGGGTGGGGGGGGACTGTGGCACCGAAAATAAAACCACAACCACCCCACCCACCACCGCCGAGGAGCGGTCAACCGCTCCACCCTTCGCTTGCTCCACCACCCCCGGCTCCACCACCACCGCTGCCACACCGGGGGGAGCCGATGATACCTCCCCCCCCCCCCCCCCGGCTCTCTCCTGCATTTTGTTTAAGCTGCGTGGCTCGTCGCTGTCGTGTGGTGGTGGTGGTGGTGGTGTGGGCGGTCTTGACGCTGCTGTCGTCAACCACCACCACCACTACCGGCAGTACGGGGTCAAAGCACCCACAGGTGGCGGCGGCGGTGGCATTGGCGCCCGACTGTGTCGACGTCCTCCACTAAAGTTGCGGCGACGTCACCACGGCGCCTGCGCCAGGCCCTCACGTGACGCGTCGAAGGCTCGCTTGCTGCTGGCAGGTCACGGGACAAGACCCTGCAGGTGCCGTGGGTTGACTGCTGTGCCAGGCTAGGCGCAGCTGGAGGTCACGGGACAAGACCCTGCAGGTGCCGTGGGTTGAGCGACCGCTCTACCTTTCAGAGCGCCCACCCACCACCACCCCACGCGCGCGCTGTGGGCGCGAACGCTGCCGGTACAGAACCCCGCGCTAACGTCTGTCGTCCGATCGCTGGTCATCCACCACCTCCCCACCTGCCATTTGTCAGCCTCGAGGCCGATTCCCCCCACGCCCCCCTGTGAACCTCCGGCCACGAGGATTCGGCTGCAGCACCACCACCGCCACAACCACCGCTCGTCCACGGCAGCGGTGGGTGGCCCAATCTCTGTTGTGGTTGTTCCCATTGTTAGCTCTTCTGCTGTTAACAGTGAAACTGAAACCTGGCACCTGAACGCCGATCGTTGCCTAGATACCCACCACCTCTAACACCACTCGAGCATGGCAGTGGGTAGAACCCCATCTCTGTCGTTGGGAGTTGTCGGCGTTGTTGTGAAGTGACACCGAAACCTGACATTTTGACCGCCGATTTGCTGGTAGAACCCACGTGCGTCCTTGTTGGCGTTGTTATTGTTGTTGCCGTTCAGTGACACTGAAACCGGACACCCGGGCGCCAATTGTTGGCTAGACACCACCTTTCCCACCACGGTGGTCGGAAAATCCATCTCGTCGTGTCGTTGTTGCGAGTTGTTAACGGTGACAATGAAACCTGACACCCGATCGATCGTCCTACTGTTGTCTATACACCACCACTACCACCACCCAACCATCGTGGAGGGTTGTTGGCATTGTTGTTGGCATTTAAGTTGTTGGTGTCAACGGTGACACTGAAAAACCTGACACCAGACCGATGTTTGTTGGCTATCCACCAACTCCCACCATCACCATCACCCCACCTGCCTGACACCACAAACTGAAAACCTCTGCCTCTCCCTCAGCACACCCCTCACGCTACTTTGACCAAAAACCCAGAAGGAGAGGGGGGGCGCTAGCAACTACTGCCGTGGTTGTTCTGTGGGGGAGGGATGGGGGGGGGCAACGCAACTCGGCTTGATGGGGGGGGGGGGGGGGGGGGGGCGTGACTACAAAAGCTGTGGTGGCAGCATTGCTTCGATTTGCTTTGATATTCCCTGCCTCTCCCCAACTCTCTCCCTGTGTGTGGCCATTTGCACTCCTGCTCAGTTTTGTTGCGTCTGCCTTTGTGTGTTGGGGGGGGGGAGGGGATGGGGGGGGGGGGGAGAGTTTGTAACCTGCAGTGTACAAATGCATCGCAAACATTAACACTTCCACTTTCCGTCACAAGCCATCCAACCACAGCACAGGGGTCCAACCACTTCCACCACAGCCACAGCTCATGCCAGAGGTTACGGACAAGACGCACGCACACTCGCAGTGACACTCGCAGGCACGGACACAAGCACACGGGATTGACAGGGACGGTGACATTCACTGAGCCGATCCATTGGGTCTCGCTTGGAGGATATCCATCGTAAGCAGATCAACTCGAGGGCTGCACCTCCTCCTCCTCTTCCACCTCCACCACCTCTTCCACCTCCACCACCACCTCCACCATCTCACCTCTTGTACCGTGTACTACCACGCAGGCACCCAAGGCACCACCACAACTTTTACAGACCACCAACACTCAGATAGCACTCGGTAACGACACCCACGGACCGGACCACCTCCCCGCAACCCTTCCCCCCCCCACCCTCTTCGCCACTCAGCACGACACCTCACGGAGGCCTCCACCCACCCCTAGAGAGACCACCACCTCGTACGGGTGTCAAACTTCTTGTGTCGTGATGAATCAGGAGCCCTCCAACCACCCTGACCACCACCGTCCTGACACCCCTCACCATGACCACCACCTTGAACCACCTTGAGACCAAGAGACGTCCACACTCCTCATTCGGCCCCGAGATGGGGGCGTTTGGCCGAGCATGCTCACGTGCAGTCACTCGCCACCACCACCACCACCCCTAGTACCACCACCACCCCTAGTACCACCACCACCCCTAGTACCACCACCACCCCTAGTACCACCACCACCCGTAGTACCACCACCACCCCTAGCACCACCACCACCCCTCCTAGCACCACCACCACCCCTAGCACCACCACCACCCCTAGCACCACCACCACCCCTAGCACCACCACCACCAAGTGCTGCCTCAGCAGCCTTCCGTGTGAACTGAGAGTGGCTCTTTGTTACACCTCTACAACCAACACCAACCGAGCAACCTCCCTCTGGGATACCACCCAACACAAACAAGCGCCCTGGTCACACGTGGCCACCACTTACGGAGCCAAACCGGAGGGTCGAGGGACCCCCCACCCTCCATCTTCCACGGAGATGGCATCGGTGACGGACGGGTGACCCGGCCTGCCTACCACTCGCTCGCTAAAACCTCTTCACTCCCCCAGCAGCAACGCTGGACCAACCGTGCCCTCACCCACACCCTCACCCACCATCCCTGGAGTCCCCCTCAAATGATCACTCACCACCACCACCAGGCAGGCGCTGCCTCAGCAGATTTCCCCGTGTGAGCTGTGAGTGGCTCTGTTACACCGCCTCTTCAACACCAGCCGACCAACCAACCTCTGGGATATGCCGACCAACCAACTTGGGTCACACACCAGCCCCTGACCAGCCTACTGCTCAACTCGACCTCTCGTCTCTCCCCGCCCCCGCCGGCAGCAACAATGAACCACCATCACCCTCCTCGCCCACAAACACCCTTCAAGGGATGACTCAACAAACACCACCACCATCACCACCACCCAGCGCACTCAATTAAAGGCAGACAGAAACAGTGCCTGGCAGCCTTAACGCCGGACATGAGACAAGGGGGTGGCTGGCGCGCGTTCTCCGTTCCCTGCGCTGCGTGCGTGTGCGAGGGAGACTTCCGATGATGGCTACTCGTGTTTTCGTCTTCTTTTGAATTTTCTACCGGGGGCAAGGCCTCAACACTGGAGCGACCCCTGGCCATTGCACGTAACGACAGCAGCTCGACCACCATCATCGTCGTCATCGGGCGGAAATTTATAGCGGCAGCGAAAGTAACTCTTAAAAATGCGTAGATGCGTTGATTCTAAAATGTGAAGGGGGGAAAAAAATCCACGCAGTGATCACCACGGGGGGAAAGATTGAAATGAGCAAACTCCAAATATACCTCCTGTATACCAGGCGAGGTCGTCAACATCTCTTACCCACCGTGGTGTCAGGGTCAGGATCGAACCCACAACCTCCTGCGTACCAGGCAAGGTAGTCAACACCTCCTAGCCACCGTGGTATCAGGGTCAGGATCGAACCCACGGCCTCCTGTATACCAGGCGAGGTAGTCAACATCTCCTCCGAGCCACCGTGGTGTCAGGGTCAGGATCGAAGCAACGACCTCCTGCGTACCAGGCGAGGTAGTCAACACCTCCTAGCCACCGTGGTGTCAGGGTCAGGATCGAACCCACGACCTCCTGTATACCAGGCGAGGTATTCAACATTTTTTCCTCGCCATCGTGGCGCGTTAGGGGTCCCTGGACCCACCTGCCACCGCCAAAGCGCTCCCCCCCACCAAGGTGGGCAGCAGTGCTGTCAGCGAGTAGCGCCTACGACGGCAGGCACACGCCGCCCCCCCCCCACGGCCGTCTTTGTCTCTCCCCAGTGGGCGATGCACACCACACACACCGCTATGTACACCCGGGGGAGGGGGTTACTCATTTGAGGGCCAAGCGGACTCCTAGGAGAGAGGGCCTTGAGACCTTGACCGGTCATCGGGAATCTAACAGGGTGGCAGGGTCCCTCCGGGGAAAATTATTGATTCAGATTCTGTCTCTGTCCGGGTGGGGATGGGTGGGAGGTTGGAGTCTTGAGGCACGAGCAGCGTTGGAAACGGAGACCACCACCACCACCATCATCAATACCATCACCACCACCACACAGTCAGTAGGATTGATCGCCGGAGCTGAGACCAAGGGACTCATTATCGGGGTCCTGAGGCAGGAATCGCCGGGGAATTCCTCGTCCAGATCCTACCAGATTTGTATCTGGATCTTACAGATTCTGTGGGGATCCTACAGATTGTATGCGGATCCGACAGATATTGTGTCCGAATCCTCCAGACTGTATACAGATCCTATAGATTTTATGCAAATCCTTCAGATTCTGTATGGATCCAGATCCTACAGATTGCATGCGGACCCCACAGATTGAGTGTGGATCTCACAGATTGCGTGCGGATCCCACAGACTGCATCCGGATCCTATGGGCACCATGAACCCAAAACCCCGTGGCTGCCTCTGCCGTGCGGCGCCGACCCTGAGTCTCTGTCTCAGCTCCGTCACCAACAAGCCCGGCACGCCAGCGAGAGTGGGGTGTGCGAGTGGGGTGTGCGAGTGGGGTGTGCGAGTGGGGTGTGCGAGTGGGGTGTGCGAGCATTGTGTAGCGCGAGTGGGGTGTGCGAGTGGGGTGTGCGAGTGGGGTGTGCGAGTGGGGTGTGCGAGTGGGGTGTGCGAGCATTGTGTAGCGCGAGTGGGGTGTGCGAGCATCGTGTAGCGTGAGTGTAGTGTGTATGGAGTGTACAGCGAGTAGTGTGTGGAGTGCGTAGTGTTAGTAGCGCGAGTAGTGTCGCGAGTGGCGCACGAGTAGTGTGAGAGTGTGATGCGAGTGTGGTGAGAGTGTGATGCGAGTGTGGTGAGAGTGTGATGCGAGTGTGGTGTGAGTAGTGTGAGAGTGTGATGCGAGTGTGGTGTGAGTAGTGTGATAGTGTGTGAGTAGTGTGATAGTGTGAGAGTAGTGTGATAGTGTGTGAGTAGTGTGATAGTGTGAGAGTAGTGTGATAGTGTGAGAGTAGTGTGATAGTGTGAGGGTAGTGTGATAGTGTGAGAGTGTGATGCGAGTGTGGTGTGAGATAGTAGTGCGAGTGTGGTGTGAGATAGTGTGAGATAGTGTGAGTAGTGTGAGAGTAGTGTGATAGTGTGAGAGTGTGATGCGAGTGTGGTGTGAGATAGTAGTGCGAGGGGACTGCAGCGTGCGAGTCTGGTGTGTGAAGCGCAAGTGGTGCGTGTGCGCAAAGTGCGAGGCGTGAGCGTGAGCGTGGGGGGTAGTGGGTGTAGTGTCTGCCCACGCCACCGGTCATCACGGTGCGGGTGGGTGGGTGGGTGCCTACCTCATGCCACCTCCGCCGCGCCCGCCCCGGCCACCACCTCGCTCGTACCCCCCACCACCACCACCTCGCTCGTACCCTCCGCGGTCGTACCCACCGCCACCGCCGCCACGGCCACCAAAGCCTCCTCCTCCTCCTCCTCGCCCGCGGTATCCCCCGTCCTGCCCGTACCCTCCCCCTCCTCCACCTGCAGTGGCAGCAGCAGCAGCAGCAGCAGAAAATACGGTCAGACTGAGCGCCCAACCACCACCACCACCACCACAAGCCGTCGTCACGACAGCCCCATCGCCCCCCCCCCACCCCCATCACCACCCCCCCCACCACCCCCCCCATCACCCCCCCCCATCACCCCCCCCCCATCACCCCCCCCATCACCCTCCCCATCACCCTCCCCATCACCCGCCCCATCACCCGCCCCATCACCCCCCCCATCACCCGCCACCACCCCCCCATCACCCTCTACCACCACCCCCCCATCACCCTCTACCACCACCCCCCCATCACCCTCTACCACCACCCCCCCCATCACCCGCCACCACCCCCCCCCATCACCCCCCCATCACCCCCCCCCATCACCCCCCCCACCACCCCCCCCATCACCCGCCACCACCCCCCCCATCACCCTCTACCACCCCCCCCATCACCCGCGACCACCCCCCCCCCATCACCCTCTACCACCACCCCCCCATCACCCTCTACCACCACCCCCCCCATCACCCGCCACCACCCCCCCCATCACCCCCCCATCACCCCCCCCCCATCACCCCCCACCACCCCCCCCATCACCCTCTACCACCCCCCCCATCACCCGCGACCACCCCCCCCCCATCACCCTCTACCACCACCCCCCCATCACCCTTCACCACCACCCCCCCATCACCCTCCACCCCCCCCATCACAATCCACCACCACCCCCCCCATCACCCTCCACCACCACCCCCATCACCCACCACAACCCACCAACCTATCAGCAAGCAGCAGCACCTATACACAAAGATCCCCCGAGTAGCCTCTAGCAGACTGTAAGGGCAAGTGCTATCAGCAAGCAGCAGCGCCTATACACAAAGATCCCGAGTAGCCTCGAGCAGACCATACGGGCAAATGCTGTTAGGCAAGAGTAGCAGCAGCAATACACAAAGATCCCCCATGTAGTCTAACACTGTACAGCAAGTGCTGTCGTGAGCAGCAGCACCTACACACAGACAAAGATCCCCCATGCAGCCTCTAACAGACTGTAGGGGCAAGTGCTGCTAGTAGCAGCACCTACACACAAAGATCCCCCATGCAGCCTCTAACAGACTGTAGGGGCAAGTGCTGCTAGTAGCAGCACCTACACACAGACAAAGATCCCCCATGCAGCCTCTAACAGACTGTAGGGGCAAGTGCTGCTAGTAGCAGTACCTACACACAGACAAAGATCCCCCATGCAGCCTCTAACAGACTGTAGGGGCAAGTGCTGCTAGTAGCAGTACCTACACACAAAGATCCCCCATGCAGCCTCTAACAGACTGTAGGGGCAAGTGCTGCTAGTAGCAGTACCTACACACAAAGATCCCCCATGCAGCCTCTAACAGACTGTAGGGGCAAGTGCTGCTAGTAGCAGTACCTACACACAAAGATCCCCCATGCAGCCTCTAACAGACTGTAGGGGCAAGTGCTGCTAGTAGCAGTACCTACACACAGACAAAGATCCCCCATGCAGCCTCTAACAGACTGTAGGGGCAAGTGCTGCTAGTAGCAGTACCTACACACAAAGATCCCCCGCGTAGCCTCTAGCAAGCTGTAGGGGCAAGTGCTGTTAGTAGCGAGCAGCAGCACCTACACAAAGATCCCCGGCGTAGCCTCTAGCAAGCTGTAGGGGCAAGTGCTGTTAGTAGCGAGCAGCAGCACCTAGACACAAAGATCCCCCGCGTAGCCTCTAGCAGGCTGTAGGGGCAAGTGCTGCTAGTAGCAGTACCTACACACAAAGATCCCCCATGCAGCCTCTAACAGACTGTAGGGGTAAGTGCTGTTAGTAGCGAGCAGCAGCACCTAAACAAAGATCCCCCGCGTAGCCTCTAGCAAGCTGTAGGGGCAAGTGCTGTTAGTAGCGAGCAGCAGCACCTACACAAAGATCCCCGGCGTAGCCTCTAGCAAGCTGTAGGGGCAAGTGCTGTTAGTAGCGAGCAGCAGCACCTAGACACAAAGATCCCCCGCGTAGCCTCTAGCAAGCTGTAGGGGCAAGTGCTGTTTGTAGCGAGCAGCAGCACCTAGACACAAAGATCCCCCGTGTAGCCTCTAGCAGGCTGTAGGGGACAAGACCACACCAGCCAACTCATTTGAGGCCTAGTCGACCTAGGAGGGGGTGGGGCAAGACCCACCAGGACCGGTTTTAGACAACTGCCCAAGCGGGAATCCAACTCGGGACTGTGCTGCATTGATAGGCGAAGCAAACAAATTCTAGAGCGGGGGCGGAAGCCAATGAACGTGGCCTCGGTTTTTGTCGGCATTTTAGTCAAATAACAGACAGCGACCCCTGGTTCATGTGACACACATAGGGCCCTGGCCTTGCTGAATTATCAAATATTCCGAATGATATGGGACCTTTCTTACCAGCATTAAAAAAATATTTTCACCCTGTTTCTGGCAATTAAACAGTGTTGTCAAGATGAATAAGGATTCTGCTTGGCGTTTTAACATCTTGACACCTGTTTAATTGCTAGAGAGGGTAAAACCTATTGTTACATTACAAATTATGGACAATGGCACTCCCCAGGGGCTCCTTCAGTACACCGGTACACGTTTGATTAAACCCACTACATTTACAATTCTGTGTTGGAGAGTAAACTTACAACATTTACAATTCTATGTTGGAGAGTAAACCCACTACATTTACAATTCTGTGGAGATTAAATCCACTACATTTACAATTCTGTGTTGGAGAGTAAACCCACTACATTTACAATTCTGTGTTGGAGAGAAAACCCACTACATTTACAATTCTGTGTTGGAGAGAAAACCCACCACATTTACAATTCTGTGTTGGAGAGTAAACCCACTACATTTACAATTCTGTGTTGGAGAGTAAACCCACTACATTTACAATTCTGTGGAGATTAAATCCACCACATTTACAACTCTGTTAGAGAGTAAACCCACTACATTTACAATTCTGTGTTGGAGAGCAAACCCACTACAAATTTTGATTTAAAGCTTTCGTGACTGCAGTAATTCATATACTTAGCTCTTTCGGTAAAGTCACGTTGAAGGGAAACAAAATAATAAAATATATAAAACAATAAAAGTTCTCACGACGTTGACCATAACACAAACGGTCGTCATCAGGTGTGTCGGTTTGCATTAATTTATTTTTTAAACGGTGTACTTATTTATTTATTAAAACGTCAGCGCCACGCACAGCGATTTGGCAGTTTATTTAGAAGGACTAGTCCATCTATGTTCTGAAAAGAAGAGGGGGGGGGACGAAAAATTAATGTATGCCGTCTGAAAGCCACTGTAAGCGTGAACAATCAATTAAGACCTCAAATGGTTTATCAAATCTTTCCAATGATTGCTAAGCCAGAATCCATCTTCTCGATTTAAATTGTCTCTGTGCTTGTATATGTGGATAGCCTCATGAACGAATCTGTCATGGTAGCCAGATGGCTTACAAAGAACCTCTGTCTTGGAAAAGTCAATGTCATGTGAGCCTACTGAATTATAACAATGATCTGCCACGGCCGAGGTGTTGGTCCTACCGTGTTTAAGGTCTGTGTTCACGAATGCGGTCCGAGACATGGCGTTTGGTTTCTCCAATGTAACTACTACCACAGAGGCAACTTAGTTTGTAGACACCAGGGTACTGTATGTCCGGAATCACATCTTTTACAGACAGAACCAGATCACGGATTTTATGTAATGTGTTGAAATGGACCTGGATCTTGTGTTTATTCAAGATTTTGGAGATCTTTTTTGTGATCCCTATCAACTCCCCCACCTACAAACTGGCTCGTTTTTTGTCTGAAATCCTGCGTCCTTTCACTGGAAAAACCACCTCTGCGGTACAAAATTCTATCACCTGGTATCAACAATCAAAGGTATTTCCCTGTCCCCAGACAACCTGCTTGTCAGTTTTGATGTAATTTCCTTATTCACCAAGGTTCCTGTACCTGACACCATCGCAATCATTGAAGACTTGGCTCATCGAGGACTAAACACTGAGATACCCCCCCTGGTAAAACACTGTTTAACCAATACATACTTCACTTGGAATGGAACTTTCTACAAACAAACTGAGGGCACCCCAATGGGCTCCTCCCTATCTCCGGTTATAGCTAACATTTTCATGGAGAAATTTGAGACTGACGCCATCCAGACTACCACTCTGCGCCCAACCTTATGGAAGAGGTACGTGGATGACACTTTTGTCATCTGGCTAACATGGTCGGCCTGCTCTAGACCAATTCTTCGACCACATCAATTCCATACACCCAGCCATCAGATTTACCATGGAAGTCGAAAAAGATGGCAAGCTATCTTTTTTGGATGTCCTAATTAAAAAGAGACCTGATGGTTCAATGAGCCACTGTCTACAGGAAAGCTACCCATATGGATGCTTATCTGAAACCGGATTCCCACCACCATCCATCACAGAAGAATTCTCTCATTAAGACTCTGTATCATAGAGCCCAATGCATATCCGACCAGGAACACATAGGCAGTAAACTCAAGCACGTACACCAAGCTCTTAAGGCTAATGGTTACTCCGACTATACAATCCGCAAAGCTATCACTCAAACCATGAAGGACCCTCTTGAGGAGCCTTTCAAAACCATCACTTTACCCTACATTGCGGGGATCACAAAAAAGATCTCCAAAATCTTGAATAAACACAAGATCCAGGTCCGTTTCAACACATTACATAAAATCCGTGATCTGGTTCCGTCTGTAAAAGATGTGATTCTGGACATACAGTACCCTGGTGTCTACAAACTAAGTTGCCTCTGTGGTAGTAGTTACATTGGAGAAACCAAACGCCATGTCTCGGACCGCATTCGTGAACACAAAGCAGACCTTAAACACGGTAGGACCAACACCTCAGCCGTGGCAGATCATTTTTATAATTCAGTAGGCTCACATGACATTGACTTTTCCAAGACAGAGGTTCTTTGTAAGCCATCTGGCTACCATGAGAGATTCGTTCATGAGGCTATCCACATATACAAGCACAGAGACAATTTAAACCGAGAAGATGGATTCTGGCTTAGCAATCATTGGAAAGATTTGATAAACCATTTCAGGTCTTGGTTGTTCACGCTTACAGTGGCTTTCAGACAGCATACATTAATTTTTCGTCTCCCCCCTCCTCTTTTCAGAACATAGATGGACTAAGTCCTTCTAAATAAACTGCCAAATCACTGCGCGTGGCGCTGACGTTTTATAAGTACACCGTTTTTAAAATAAATAAATGCAAACCTACACGCCCGATGACGACCGTTTGTGTTATGGTCGAAACATCGTGAGAATTTTTATTGTTTTAAATTTTTTATTTTATTTTATTGTTTCCCTTCAACGTGACTTTACCGAAAGAGCTAAGAATATAAACCCACTAACATTTAGAATTCTCTCCAACACACCGGTGTGCAGAACTGCTAACACCAATGGGAAAATTGCTTTTGACGTACGTGACGAGGTACGCGCGAGCTTTTCCAGCAACGCAGCGATCGATTACACGTCAAGGAGCGTCCGAACGTAGGATCCCACAGCGCGCGGCGCGGCGACCGTCCTCTGCCGAGACGGCACAGAAGCCGCCGTCGCGTTGACGCCCCCTCGGACTCACCGTAGCTGCCGCCCTGCCCACCTCCTCCTCCTCCGTAGCCTCCCGACTGCCCCCCTCCTCCATAGCCTCCCGACGACTGCCCCCCTCCTCCATAGCCTCCCGACGACTGCCCCCCTCCTCCATAGCCTCCCGACGACTGCCCCCCTCCTCCATAGCCTCCCGACGACTGCCCCCCTCCTCCGTAGCCTCCCGACGACTGCTGCTGACTCTGGTAGCCGGCTGTGGCCGTCTGGCCGCTGCTGCCGCCTCCGCTGCTGTAGCCGGACGCCTGCTGGTCATAGCTGCTGCTGGACCCCCCTCCGTAGCTGAGGGAGGGAGAGAGGGAGAGAGGGAGGGAGGGTTCATAACACAAAGATGGCCCAGATGGCCCTCGCATATATACACACACCCACACCTACAAAGGACAAAGATCCCCTGTATAGTCTTCAAACACACTTCTGGGGCAAGTGCTGTTATTGAGCACCTATGAAGGCCAGGACGGCACACGAGGGGGTGGGTGGCCAGCACCACACCCGACCGCCTTTGTCTCCCGAGTAGCGATGTTCACACATCGCACCAGGTAGTCAATTGAGGTCGAGTCGACCTAGGGGAGGCCCAGGACCGGTTCAGATAATCGTCACTGACGTTGATGGCCGTGAGCGGGAATCAAACTCAGGTGGGCAGGTTCATAGCACAGCGTGCGAACCACTCCACTACTGCTCCCCACACACTGACCCCACACACTGACCCCCCCCACACACTGACCCCCCCCCCACACACTGACCCCCCCCACACACTGACCCCCCCCCCCCACACACTGACTCCCCCCACACACTGACCCCCCCCACACACTGACCCCCCCCCACACACTGACCCCCCCAACACGCACACACTGACCCCCCCCAAACGCACACACAACACCCCCCAAACGCACACACAACACCCCCCACAAACACACAACACCCAGACACTCACCCAGACACTCACACAACGCAACAACCACCGTACCTGCCAGCAGGAGTGCTCTGCTGCTGTCCACTGCTGTAGCCGCTCCCGTAGCTGCCCTGCTGCTGCTGCCCCCCGGCCTGCTGCCCATAGGATCCGGCCGAGGAAGCGCCGGAGTCGTAGCCGCTGCTGCTGTAGCCCTGCGCAGACTGGGTGCCCCCGTAGGAGCTGCTGCCAGTATAACCTGAGACACATGCAGGATGGGACGGCCACACACTGTAAGCTCTCCCATAGGTTAGTAGCCCCTGGGGCTCCCACAGGGTTCAGTGTTAGTAGCCCCAGGGGCTCCCACAGGGCTGAGTGTTAGTAGCCCCAGGGGCTCCCACAGGGCTGAGTGTAGTAGCCCCAGGGGCTCCCACAGGGCTGAGTGTTAGTAGCCCCAGGGGCTCCCACAGGGCTGAGTGTTAGTAGGATCAGGGGCTCCCACATGGCTGAGTGTTAGTAGCGCAGGGGCTCCCACAGGGCTGAGTGTTAGTAGCCCCAGGGGCTCCCACAGGGCTGAGTGTTAGTAGCCCCAGGGGCTCCCACAGGGCTGAGTGTTAGTAGCCCCAGGGGCTCCCACAGGGCTGAGTGTTAGTAGCCCCAGGGGCTCCCACAGGGCTGAGTGTTAGTAGCCCCAGGGGCTCCCACAGGGCTGAGTGTTAGTAGCCCCAGGGGCTCCCACAGGGCTGAGTGTTAGTAGCCCCAGGGGCTCCCACAGGGCTGAGTGTTAGTAGCCCCAGGGGCTCCCACATGGCTGAGTGTTAGTAGCCCCAGGGGCTCCCACAGGGCTGAGTGTTAGTAGCCCCAGGGGCTCCCACAGGGCTGAGTGTTAGTAGCCCCAGGGGCTCCCACAGGGCTGAGTGTTAGTAGCCCCAGGGGCTCCCACAGGGCTGAGTGTTAGTAGGATCAGGGGCTCCCACAGGGCTGAGTGTTAGTAGCCCCAGGAGCTCCCACAGGGCTGTCAGCCTCTCACCTGCGTAGCTCTGCTGGTTGTAGGCTCCCCCAGTGGTGGCGGTCTGCTGTTGGCCCTGAGCCGAGTAGGAGGTGGAGTCAGTGGGCTGAGCATAGCTCCCATAGCTCTGCTGAGTCACACCACCACCGCCACACAAAAGACAAAGATCCCCCATATAGCCTTAACACAGTTGGGGCAAGTGTTGTGAGCGAGCAGCACCGATGAAGGCCAGCACTGTGGCACACGAGGGGGTGGGTGGCCAGCACCACTCAGGGCCCCAGGGACTCGGGGGAGAGCGGCTTTCCCTGTACTCTTTGGTTCTTTCGGTAAGTCACGTAGATAGAAAAATATATTTTTTATAATTTTAAAATACGCTTTTATGAAATGTACTAGTAATGGCAGAACTCCACGACTCTAGGAAGTGGCCCCGAAGCTTGCAATGGCGTAAGGGACCGTGGCCAATTACAGCCAACGTCAGTTGAGCGTGGGCAATTAGATTCATGCCGAAACATAACACGTAAAAAATGTTTAAAAAGTACAGTAAAACCTTGGATTGCGAGCATAATTCGTTACGGAACCGTGTATGTAATCCAAAGCACTCGTATATCAAAGCACTAGTACATCAGTTGTGATCACGTGACGCTCAGCAGACAAAGCGTCCACACGTGCACTGCTCGTAATGCAAGACCTGGCTCGTTTATCAAATTAATATTTATTTAGAATTTTTGCTCGTCTTGCAAAACACTCGCAGACCAAGTTACTCGCAATCCAAGGATTTACTGTATATATTTTTTATGATAGAATATAGTGTTGTCATCAGTATGACATGAGTATACCAAGTTTGCAGTCGATACCACATTGGGAAGTGGGTTAAAATTGAGTTACAAGATTTGAGAATACAATGACAGTTAAATGAAAGCGTATAAATAATATACCACGACGTTTCGATCACAACACAAGCAATCGTCATCAGGTGGGACAGCCACTTCAGCAGTTGTCTTCTTGCTGTGGCTCTTCCACCTGATGACAACTGCTTGTGTTGCGATGGAAACGTCTTGGTCTATTATTTTTCTACCTACGTGACTTTACCGAAAGAACCAAAGAGTATGGATTCCTGCAGTCACGAAAGCTTCGAATCAAGGCTTTTCCTGTAACTTAACATTCAAAACAGAAAATCTGTTGTCCAATCGGATTACTCTGTAATAATTATCCAATCTTGATTTGCAGGGAAAGCCTTGATTCGAAGCTTTCATGACTGCAGGAATCCATACTCTTTGGTTCTTTCGGTAAAGCCAAGTAGGTAGTGCTGAGTCTATGGGCTGTGTTGAGTCTATGGGCTGTGTTGAGTCTATGGGAAGTGTTGAGTCTATGGGCTGTGTTGAGTCTATGGGCAGTGCTGAGTCTACGGGCTGTGTTGAGTCTATGGGCCGTGTTGAGTCTATGGGCAGTGTTGAGTCTATGGCTAGTGTTGAGTATATGGGTAGTGCTGAGTCTATGGGCAGTGCTGAATCTATGGGCAGTGTTGAGTCTATGGGCAGTGCTGAATCTATGGGCAGTGCTGAATCTATGGGCAGTGCTGAGTCTATGGGCAGTGTTGAGTCAATGGGCAATGCTGAGTCTATGGGTAGTGCTGAGTCTATGGGTAGTGCTAAATCTATGGGCAGTGTTGAGTCTATGGATAGTGCTGAGTCTATGGGGCAGTGTTGAGTCTATGGGGCAGTGCTGAATCTATGGGCAGTGCTGAGTCTATGGGCAGTGTTGAGTCTATGGCTAGTGCTGAGTCTATGGGCAGTGTTGAGTCTATGGGCAATGCTGAGTCTATGGGCAGTGTTGAGTCTATGGGGCAGTGCTGAATCTATGGGCAGTGCTGAGTCTATGGGCAGTGTTGAGTCTATGGGCAGTACTGAGTCTATGGTGCAGTGCTGAGTCTATGGGCAGTGCTGAGTCTATGGGCAGTGCTGAGTCTATGGGCAGTGCTGAGTCTATGGGCAGTGTTGAGTCTATGGCTAGTGCTGAATCTATGGGCAGTGTTGAGTCTATGGGCAGTGTTGAGTCTATGGGCAGTGTTGAGTCTATGGGCAGTGTTGAGTCTATGGCTAGTGTTGAGTCTATGGGCAGTGCTGAGTCTATGGGCAGTGCTGAGTCTATGGGCAGTGATGAGTCTATGGGCAGTGCTGAATCTATGGGCAGTGCTGAGTCTGTGGGCAGTGTTGAGTCTATGGGCAGTGTTGAGTCTATGGGCAGTGTTGAGTCTATGGGTAGTGCTGAGTCTATGGGTAGTGCTAAATCTATGGGCAGTGTTGAGTCTATGGCTAGTGCTGAGTCTATGGGGCAGTGTTGAGTCTATGGGGCAGTGCTGAATCTATGGGCAGTGCTGAGTCTATGGGCAGTGTTGAGTCTATGGCTAGTGCTGAGTCTATGGGCAGTGTTGAGTCTATGGGCAATGCTGAGTCTATGGGCAGTGTTGAGTCTATGGGGCAGTGCTGAATCTATGGACAGTGCTGAGTCTATGGGCAGTGTTGAGTCTATGGCTAGTGCTGAGTCTATGGGCAGTGTTGAGTCTATGGGCAGTACTGAGTCTATGGTGCAGTGCTGAGTCTATGGGCAGTGCTGAGTCTATGGGCAGTGCTGAGTCTATGGGCAGTGCTGAGTCTATGGGCAGTGCTGAGTCTATGGGCAGTGTTGAGTCTATGGGCAGTGTTGAGTCTATGGGCAGTGCTGAGTCTATGGGCAGTGCTCTTTGGTCCTTTCGGTAAAGTCAAATCCAGATTAAAGTCACGTAGGTATCAATTAAAAGAAAATAAATCACGACGTTTCGGGCACAACACAAGCGTCCGTCATCAAGTGTGAAAGCATGGTCTTATTTAAAACAGAAAGCACGAGTTTTTTCTTTTAAAACAGTCTGCCTCAGCAGCAGACCAATCTTGCCCACCTGATGATGGACGCTTGTATTGCGCCCGAAACGTCGTGACTTATTTTATTTTCTACCTACGTGACTTCACCGAAAGAACCAGTAATAATTATCCACTTGTATCATAATTGTTAATTTTATTGTAATTTCAAGAAGAGTCTTTGATATTCGATTTTGCTTAAGATTTTCGTGGATGCTTGCGAGTGTAATTTTTGTAGCATTTTCACACTTTTGAGATATTCCGAAACAAAAGGCGCTTTTTATAAAGTAGAGGTTATTATATTATACTATTATTGATGATGATCCCTACACTCACCTGGCCGGTTTGTCCATACTGCGCCTGGGCACCGCTGTACGCTCCATACCTGTCCACACACAGCCCGCAGTTACACCTCACCACTCACTCGCCTCCTACTCACCACTCTCTCGCCTCCTACTCACCACTCTCTCGCCTCCTACTCACCACTCACCGACCTCCTACTCACCACTCACCCGCCTCCTACTCACCCCCCCCCCCCTCCTCATCACCCCCCTCCTCCTCTTCATCCCCCCCTCCTCATCACCCCCCACCTCTTCACCTCCACTCCTCTTCACCCCCCCTCCTCTTCACCCCCCCTCCTCTTCACCCCCCCTCCTCATCACCCCCCTCCTCATCACCCCCCCTCCTCCTCATCTCCCCCCCCCTCCTCATCACCCCTCCTCCTCATCACCCCCCCCCTCCTCACCCCCCCTCCTCCTCACCCCCCTCCACCTCCTCACCCCCCTCCACCTCCTCACCCCCCTCTCCCCCCACTAAATATGTACAGTAGAAAAATCTGATGAGCTTTAAAGCTCTTTACCCACAGACACCCGGTACTCACCCCTGCCCTGCTCCCCCACTTGCCCCACCTCCCCCTCCTCCGCTGCCGCCGCCGCCACCGCCGCTGCTGCTGTAGGCTCCGTAATCTGAGTTGGGAGGGGGTGAGGGAAGACAAAGGCGGCCCTGAGTCCAACACCACAAAGACAAAGCTCGCCCAGGTAGCCTCTAGCGGGGCAAGTGCAGCGAGCAGCAATGGCTATGATACGAAGCTCCCTGAGGTAGCCTCTAGCGGGGGGGGGGGCTGTTGGGGCAAGTGCTGTCACAGACACAAAGCTCCCCTAGGCAGCCTAGCGGACTGGATGGGCATGTGCACTTCGTGAGTAGAAGCAGCAGCTGTTTGATTTGTACTAGGTGCCTCGGTGAATGTATATGCTCTGACTTTAACATAGCTATTTCTGTGACCAGTTACAAGCTAATCACTCAGCTATTTCAATGCTAAATTATATGCTAATTCCTTTGTCAAGGCGCTTTTGTTTCTTCTCACACAGCTTAAAGGTCGTGATCTGAGCGTGGCTTTTTTCACTCCAGCGCTGTCCTCCAGACAGTCTCGTCCCTTCACCTGATGAAGGCCGCTTGTGTTGTGGCCGAAACGTCGTGATTTTTGTTATTTTATTTTTTACCTACGTGACTTTACCTAATAGAACCAAAGAGTATGGATCCTAGCAGTCACGAAAGCTTCAAATCTAGAAAAGACAAAGCTCCCCCAGGTAGCCTCGAGCGGGGGGGGGCTGTTGGGGCAAGTGCTGTCACAGACACAAAGCTCCCCCAGGTAGCCTAGCGGACTGGATGGGCAAGTGCACTTCGTGAGAAGCAGCAGCTGTGATACAAAGACAAAGCTCCCCCAGGTAGCCTCTAGCGGGCTGGTATAGCCCTGTGAGCAAGTACAGTCAGAAAGCAGCAGCAGCTTTGAAGGCCGGAACTGTGGAACTTGGAGGGGGTGGGTGGGCCAGCACCACCACAAACCCCTTGTTCGGCCGCCTTTGTCTCTCCCGTAGATATAAACGCAAAGATCCCAGCATCGCCTTCACAGAATGTTTTACCACCACCATGGTCACCATTACCCCCACCATCATCACCACTATCACCACCATCAAAACCACCAACATCACCACTATCATCACCATCATCAAAACCACCATCAACATCACCACTATCATCACCATCACAACCACCGTCAACATCACCATTATCATCAACATCACCACCAACATCACCATCACCACTATCATCAACATCACAACCACCATCAACATCACCACTATTATCATCACCACTATTATTAACATCACAACCACCATCAACATCACCACTATCATCAACATCACAACCACCATCAACATCACCACTATTATCACCATCACAACCACCAACACCCACCATCAAAATCATCACCATCACCTACCATCAACATCACCACTATTATCACCATCACAACCACCAACACCCACCATCAAAATCATCACCATCACCTACCATCAACATAACCACCGCCATCATCAACCACCGCCACCCGAATCGTGGGCCATAGACTAAGCACTTCTTTATCGGATTTTAAAAACATCGCCGTTTACAGGCAGCTTAACGAATTAAACATCCACGATTTTAAATAACCGCTTCATATCAATCGAATCTTTCGTGTATATATTTTTTAAATGAGTTTACATAAAATATTTAACGTTCAACGACTTTAGGGCCGGGTTGAGGCCTATTAAAGCGAGCGCGAATGGCGCGCGGCGCTACGGGGTTTCCCGGGCTGACCCAGCCCCCGCCGGTAGGGGACGCCAGCAGGGGCGAGCCATCGCCGCCATCCGATGGGACTCCCCTAAGATAAAAGAAACAAATCTCCGAGCATCGAGCTCCGCGAAAGCGATTTTTGCCGAAACCCGCTGCGGCAACCGACGCCGTATGCGGCGGTGCCATCGCAGCGAGTCCCGCGATGTAATGGAGGGGAGGATGGCTGCGGATGGACGAAATCGCCTCACCAGTCGACATGGCGGCTGCTTGCTGCTTCGTTCTTCCTCTCAAGGGACGGAGGTTGCGCGCCAAAAAAGAAAGGAAGAGAAGCGGGTCACGTGACGCGTGAGATCCGCCGGTTGGGCGAGTCCATTATAACCGAGTCGCGCGGGGTGAGGGCGGTGTTGGGCGAGTCTATCATTTATACTGCAGGAATCCGATGAACTATAAAGCTCTTTTTTTGATAGATGTGAACTGTGACGGGTATAGCGAGTCCCTTATGGACAGAGTGCAATGGAGTGACCAAGGTGCTATGCTTCTCACCAGGACTAAAGCAGGAAGTTATTTTTCCCCAATTACATTCCTTAAATAATTATCAAATAGAGCAAGTCAAGATCTATAAGTATATTGGGGTCATCCTGGATTCAAAACTGAATTTTGAAGATCACATTGATTATATTGGTAAAAAGACAAAAATAAAAATTGCTTTTCTGTATCGACACAATCACTGCTTCCCCCCTATGTTCCGTATGGAATTGATAAAAGTTACCATACTGCCTCCACTTGATTACTGTGACATCGTGTATAAATCAGCCCCAAGTACTGTACTGAAGAAGCTTGATTCCATCTATCACTCGGCCTTAAGATTTGCATTGAACTGCCCATATAGGACTCACCACTGTGATCTCTACATTGGGTCAAACTTAACATCTCTTAATGTACGACGGCTTGTGCACCAGATCTTATTTATTCACGATGTACTTACAAAAAAAATCCGCAGACTACCTACTGGATCTCCTCTCTGTTTGAAAGAACAAATTTGACCTAAGGTCTTCGCTCATTTACCAGCTTCACATTCCCTATTGCCGTACAAAAACTGGAGGAAGGGTCTTTGCTATTGATGCCCCCAGGGTCTGGAATGCTATTGTCAATAAACTGCAACTTGAATCACTACCAATGAGATCTTCACTCAAAACTGCTCTAGAGGAGTTGTACACCCCTAGCTGCCACTGCTATTCAGTGGCCTAAAATAAAATAAAATGTTTCGGTCCGGATGACCGCTGCAAAGTATTATCTGTATTTTGATTTAGTGTGCTGATCTTAAAGGTGCGTTGAAAAATTTGATACTCTGATGCTCCTGTTGTTGTGGAGTGACTCATGCAGCCAGCTATGGCTGCAGGGTTTGGTGTTACATGTTGTTTATGTAGTTTATCGTGAAAATCCGGTCACACTTCCTGTGATTACTGTTACATTGCTTTTATGGCTTTATTTTGGTGATTTCGAAAAGTTTTTTGGTTTGGCCATGTTTGTTTGTTGTAGTACGGAGTTAGACTGATGGCCTTAATCTAAGTTGTCTTGTGGTTGTTGTTGTTGTTTGACTTGCATCCCACTGGGATTTTTGCACACAGCGTTGGTGTACGGTGCTTTTTCTGGAATATTTTGCTGTTTTTTCCTGGATTTTCTGTTTGCACAGTCACATAGTCACTTTAAGATGATTTCTTGTTCATGTTTTTGTTTTTTGTTTGTTGCGGTTGCACCCGATTCAAGAGCCGAATGGCTCACAGGGCTATGCCAAATAAATTAAACTGAAACTGAGTTCATTATCATCGAGTCCCACAGGGGGGCTTGGGCCAGTCCATTGTGACAAAGTCCCACAGGGGGGCTTGGGCCAGTCCATTGTGACAAAGTCCCACAGGGGGGCTTGGACCAGTCCATTGTGACAAAGTCCCACAGGGGGGCAAGCCCGAGTCCATTGTGACAAATTTCTGGTTCCCTATCTCTTAACATTAGCCCATGTTAAAAGATAGGGAACCGGTTCCCTATAATGTAGACTGTAGCCTAGTTATTAATCTGAGTGAGTGTACTGGCAGTCTATAATGAGGACTGTAGCCTGGTTATTAATCTGAGTGAGTGTACTGGCAGTCTATAATGTAGACTGTAGCCTGGTTATTAATCTGAGTGAGTGTACTGGTAGTCTATAATGTAGACTGATGCCTGGTTATTAATCTGAGTGAGTGTACTGACAGTCTATAATGTAGACTGTAGCCTGGTTATTAAACTGGGTGAGTGTACTGGCAGTCTATAATGTAGACTGTAGCCTGGTTATTAATCTGAGTGAGTGTACTGGCAGTCTATAATGAGGACTGTAGCCTGGTTATTAACCTGGGTGAGTGTACTAACAGTCTATAATGTAGACTGTAGCCTGGTTATTAAACTGGTTGAGTGTACTTACAGTCTATAATGTAGACTGTGGCCTGGTTATTAAACTGGTTGAGTGTACTGACAGTCTATAATGTAGACTGTAGCCTGGTTATTAATCTGAGTGAGTGTACTAGCAGTCTATAATGTAGACTGTAGCGTGGTTATTAACCTGAGTGAGTGTACTGGCAGTCTATAATGTAGACTGTAGCCTGGTTATTAAACTGGTTGAGTGTACTGACAGTCTATAATGTAGACTGTAGCCTGGTTATTAATCTGAGTGAGTGTACTAGCAGTCTATAATGTAGACTGTAGCCTGGTTATTAATCTGAGTGAGTGTACTGGCAGTCTATAATAAGGACTGTAGCCTGATTATTAATCTGGCTGAGTGTACTAGCAGTCTATAATGTAGACTGTCGCCTGGTTATTAATCTGAGTGAGTGTACTGGCAGTCTATAATGTAGACTGTAGCCTGGTTAATAAGCTGGGTGAGTGTACTGGCAGTCTATAATGTAGACTGTAGCCTGGTTCTCAACCTGAGTGAGCGTACTGGCAGCCTATAATGTAGACTGTAGCCTGGTTCTTAACCTGAGTAAGTGTACTGGCAGTCTATAATGTAGACTGTAGCCTGGTTATTAATCTGAGTGAGTGTACTAGCAGTCTATAATGTAGGCTGTAGCCTGGTTATTAATCTGAGTGAGTGTACTAGGAGTCTATAATGTAGACTGTAGCCTGGTTATTAACCTGAGTGAGTGTACTGGCAGTCTATAATGTAGACTGTAGCCTGGTTATTAACCTGAGTGAGTGTACTGGCAGTCTATAATGTAGACTGTAGCCTGGTTAATAATCTGAGTGAGTGTACTAGCAGTCTATAATGTAGACTGTAGCCTGGTTCTCAACCTGAGTGAGCGTACTGGCAGTCTATAATGTAGACTGTAGCCTGGTTATTAATCTGAGTGAGTGTACTGGCAGTCTATAATGTAGACTGTAGCCTGGTTATTAATCTGAGTGAGTGTACTGACAGTCTTTAATCTAGACTGTAGCCTGGTTCTTAATCTGAGTGAGCGTACTGGTAGTCTATAATGTAGACTGTAGCCTGGTTATTAATCTGAGTGAGCGTACTGTAGTCTATAATCTAGATTTTAGCTTGGTTATTAACCTGGGTGAGTGTACTGCCAGTCTATAATGTAGACTGTAGCCGGGTTCTTAACCTGAGTGAGTGTACTGGCAGTCTATAATCTAGACTGTAGCCTGGTTCTTAACCTGAGTGAGTGTACTGGCAGTCTATAATGTAGACTGTAGCCTGGTTCTCAACCTGAGTGAGTGTACTGACAGTCTATAATGTAGACTGTAGCCTGGTTATTAATCTGAGTGAGTGTACTGGCAGTCTATAATCTAGACTGTAGCCTGGTTCTTAACCTGAGTGAGCGTCCTGGCAGTCTATAATGTAGACTGTAGCCTGGTTATTAATCTGAGTGAGTGTACTGGTAGTCTATAATGTAGACTGTAGCCTGGTTCTTAATCTGAGTGAGCGTACTGGCAGTCTATTATGTAGACTTATTCTTGGTTCTTTCGGTAATAAAAAAAAATAAGAAACAAAAACCACGACATTTCCATCACAACACAAGCGATCGTCTTCAGGAGGAAAGAGGGGGAAAGTCACCGAAAGCAACCGCTTGTGAAGGTGTAGGGGAGTAATGGATGACATGACGTCATGAGCACCGTGAAGCGGGATGACGTCACGTCACGGGGATTGTCAGGGGGGTACTTAAGGGGGACCCCGTGACGTAGGGGGGTCGCTGTGGGAGCCGGGGGACACCGAGCGTCTGACAAGGAGGCCTCTCCTGCTCGTGACGGGACGGAGTTGGCTGATCCCCTGTCCGGGTTCTACGAGTAGGAGAGCTGAATTCGAGAGAGCCAGGGGAAGTAGGGCTCAGCGAAGTCTCGGAGAGCCGGCCAGAGTTACGAGGGGAGCTGCTGTCCTCGGTCGGGCGGTGTTGGCTGAACCCCCGTCCCAACTCGAGTGAGAGAGCCCAAGAGATAGCTGGGGGTAGGGACCGATAGAGCCGGAGGTCCGAGTGAAGGACCAAGTGTAGGGACACCTATCTCTGGTGTCATTTGTTACCCTTGTGTTAATAAACTGGCATCTTCACCACACAACCAAGGTTTCAATAAACTCGTTTAGAATTTTTTTTTAAAACAATGGTTTTATTAACAACTTCGTTTAACTCACGGTCGAGAAGTGCGTTAATGGCGTCTGAGACACGTGGCGCCTGCTTTTTGTGCGAGCCGATTCCACAGTTATAGAGACCGCGGCGTTTTTGACCTACACAAATATATATAATAAAGCGTCCATACAAAATGTAAATTGCTTGAAAGTAGCGAATTAATTGATAGAGGCATGCATTGTCACCGGATCTGAGTACGTGTGCAAAATGTGGAATTGATTGGACAACGGGAAGTGGACGAGATTTTGATTACAGGATTTGACCCAGACAAACAGAGGAATCAAGTGAAGTAAAACCGCTGAACGAAGGTTTCAAAAATGGGCGTGGCACGAGAGCTCCCGCGGCGCAACGAAGTGGGCGGGGCCTATGTGCCCTGAGGTCAGGGAGCACCCACGTGACGTGCAGTGTCACCAAACGTCTGGGTGTCAGAACGAAGTGGGCGGGGCCTATGTGCCCAGAGGACAGAGAGCACCCACGTGACGTGCAGTGTCACCAAACGTCTGGGTGTCAGAACGAAGTGGACGGGGCAAATGTGCATCACCAGAGAATTAACACTGCCCGTAGACTCAACACTGCTACCCATAGACTCAACACTGCCCATAGATTCAGCACTGCACCATAGACTCAACAATGCCCGTAGACTTTTCACTTCCCTTCGAATTAACACTGCCCACAGACTTAACACTACCCATAGACTCAACACTAGCCATAGACTCAACACTGCCCATAGACTCAACACGGCCCATAGACTCAACACAGCCCATAGACTCAAACCTGCCCGTAGACTCAGCACTGCCCATAGAATCAACACTTCACCATAGACTAACACTGCCCATAAACTCAACACTGCTACCCATAGACTCAGCACTGCCCATAGACTCAACACTGCACCATAGACTCAGCACTGCCCATAGACTCAGCACTGCCCATAGCCTCAGCACTGCTACCCATAGACTCAGCACTGCACCATAGACTCAACGATGCCCATAGACTCAACACTGCCCATAGACTCAGCACTGCCCATAGACGCAGCACTGCCCATAGATTTGAAGTTTTCGTGACTGCAGGGATCCATACTCTTTGGTTCTTTTGGTAAAGTTGCACCTGTGGTGACTGTTACATTGGGGAAACGAAACAACATATCTCGGACCGTGTTCGCGAGCACAAGTCAGATCTGAAACACGGCAGAACCAATACCTCCGCCGTGGCTGACCATTGCTATAACGCTCTGGGCTCTCATGATATCATGATATTGTTTTTTTCCGAGACCAAGGTACTCTGCAAACCTTCGGGCTACTATTAAAGGTTTGTTCATGAAGCCATCCAGATATATAAACATAGACATAACTTCAACCTAGAAGATGGATACAGATTGAGCTGCCCATAGACTCAGCACTGCCCATAGACTCAGCACTGCCCATAGACTCAGCACTGCCCATAGACTCAGCACTGCCCATAGACTCAGAACTGCCCATAGACTCAGCACTGCCCATAGACTCAGCACTGCCCATAGACTCAGCACTGCACCATAGACTCAGCACTGCCCATAGACTCAGCACTGCCCATAGACTCAGCACTGCCCATAGACTCAGCACTGCCCATAGACTCAGCACTGCTCATAGATTCAGCACTGCCCATAGACTCAGCAGTGCCCATAGACTCAGCACTGCCCACAGACTCAGCACTGCCCATAGACTCAGCACTGCCCACAGACTCAGCACTGCCCACAGACTCAGCACTGCCCATAGACTCAGCACTGTCCATAGACTCAGCACTGCTCATAGATTCAGCACTGCCCATAGACTCAGCACTGCCCATAGACTCAACACTGCCCATAGACTCAGCACTGCCCATAGATTCAGCACTGCCCATAGACTCAACACTGCCCATAGACTCAGCACTGCCCATAGACTCAGCAGTGCCCATAGACTCAGCACTGCCCATAGACTCAACACTGCCCATAGACTCAACACTGCCCATAGACTCAGCACTGCCCATAGACTCAGCACTGCCCATAGACTCAGCACTGCCCATAGACTTAACACTGCCCATAGACTCAGCACCGCCCATAGACTCAGCACTGCCCATAGACTCAGCACTGCCCATAGACTCAGCAGTGCCCATAGACTCAGCAGTGCCCATAGACTCAACACTGCCCATAGACTCAGCACTGCCCATAGACTCAGCACTGCCCATAGACTCAGCACTGCCCATAGAATCAGCACTGCCCATAGACTCAACACTGCCCATAGACTCAGCACTGCCCATAGACTCAGCACTGCCCATAGACTCAGCACTGCACCATAGACTCAGCACTGCACCATAGACTCAGCACTGCACCATAGACTCAACACTGCCCATAGACTCAGCACTGCCAGGTTATGTGCAGCGGTAGGAGGTCACGGGACACACCTTGCAGGTGCCAGGGGTTGACTGACTGAGATGCCTGGCAGAGGCAACCACTGTGCCAACTTAAACACACACCCTACACACAGACAAATATCCTCCATGTAGCCTCTAGCTACTGTAGGGGCAAGTGCTGTCAGTAGCGAGCAGCAGCGCCTACGAAGGCTACCGGCACTGCGGCACACACAGAGGGGGTGGGTGGCCAGCACCACGCCCGGCCGCCTTTGTCTCCCCAACTGGCCATGATTACTGCACACACCGCAACAACAGCGACTCATTCGAGGCTGAGTCGACCTAGGGAAGGCCCACCTGGGCACCCCACCCCACCCCCTCTCCCCTCCACTCCCCCCACCCCCTCCCCCACCCCCTACATCCCCCTCCCTTCACCCCCTCTCCCCTCCCCTCAACCCCCCCTCCACTCCCCCCAACCCCCTCCCCCCACACCCCCTCCTCCACCCCTCCCCCCCTTCATTCTCTCCGCCGCGCTGCATTGTGGGTCTCGCCACCGTCATGGCGGAGTCGGGCGGAGACGGTGAGCGTCTCGCGACCGGGGGAGAGGGGCTCCCCCCCCTCCTCCCTCACCCCCCTCTCGCGCCCCCTCCTCCTCGCGCCCCCCCCCCACCACTCACTTAATGGTGCCCCCCACATTCCCCGTGCCCCCCCTCAGGATTCTTTTTGGCGGGAAAATCTCCACAACCCCCCCCCCCCCGAGTTCGTCGCTTATCCGCGTTGCAATTCCTAACGCGGATAGGCGAGAGGCGCGCGCGCCATTGGCTGATCGCGCCGTCACGTGGGCGGCGCCGGCTAATGGCGCGGGCGCCTCGCCTATCCGCTGTGGGAAATGTGAAGCCTGCGGCCTTGCTATCCGTTTAACGTTGTTTAGCTTCGCTGATTAATAGTTTCTGTTTATTAAATCTTTAATCGATGCGAGGTTTTCATTGAGGAGAGGAAGAGAGAGGGAGACCCTGAGGCGGGGTAGCGAAATGAGATTGGGAAGTCCAATCTTGGGTTGAGGAATGGGGGTCGGCGGAGGGTGGGTGGGTGGTTATCTGTCTCCCTGCCGCTAATGGTGAGGGGAGGCCCGGCAGAGGCGGCCAGGCAAGACGGTAGGCTCCACTCGGAGACCGAGGAAAATGCTAGGCCGCGCAGCTTAGCCCGCTTCGCCTCACCGGCTCCCCCATTCCTCCAACGTAAAATATTGCTCCCGGCCACAGGAACGTGGAATTGGAACCTCGTTAAATAGGGGTTCGCGATTGGAAGCGTTTACATTGGAGGGGGGGAAAACAAGTACCCAGTCCCTGAACCCCGTGACGGAAGTCTGGATAGCGGTTTTGTGCTTTGGATGCACGCGACTCTAGCTCCCGGCCACAGGAACGTGGAATGGCATCGCAAAACTCCCCACTTCACCAACACAACAGCCCCGTTAGAGGCTTCGTAACCGGGACAGCTGCGTCTTTCGTGTGCGACCCTGCGAGTCGAAACGGGCACCCGGTGCGGAGTTAAACATCGCCACTCGGGAGAGACAAAGGCGGCCGGGCGAGGTGGTGGTGGCGGCGGCCACATTCCTGCTGCTGCTGCTTCTCCCTCCATACTCACACAGCACTTGCCCCTACAGCCTGTTAGAGGCTACACGGGGGATCTTTGTGTGTAGGTGCTGCTCCTCGCGACTGACAGCACTTGCCCCTACACTCTGCTAGAGACTACACGGGGGATCTTTGTCTTTGGTGGTAATTGTGGTGGTGATTGTGGTGGTGGTTGACAGTAGTTGTGGTTATTGTTGTGGTTGTGTTGTGATGGTTGTGCAGACCGCACTGGAAAAACCATTGCCCCAGCCAGCTTCGTGTTCCACCCCACGGAACGTCCTGGGAAGGTCTCACTCACCCCCTACTCACCACCCACTCGCCACCCACTCACCACCCACTCGCCACCCACTCACCACCCACTCACTACTCACCCACCCACTCACCCAACAACCCACTCACCACCCACTAATCACCCACTCACCACCCACTCACCACTCACCCACCCACTCACCACCCACTCACCACGAACTCAGCCACTCACCACTCACTCGCCCACTCACTCACTCACCCACCCAACCACTCACACACCCACTCACTCACCACTCGCCCACCCACTCAACCACTCACCCACCCACTCATCCACCCATCCACTCACTCATTCACCTACCGACTCGCCCAATCACTCACCCACCCACCCACTCACACACCCACCCACTCAGCATCCACTCACCCACCCACTCACTCACCCACCCACTCATCCACCCACCCACTCACCCACCCACCCACTCACCCACCCACTCACACACCCACCCACTCACCATCCACTCACCCACCACCCACTCACTCACCCACCCACTCATCCACTCACCCACCCACTCACCCACCCACCCACTCACCCACCGACTCACCCACTCACCCACCCACTCACCACCCAGTCACTCATTCAATCACCCACTCACTACTCACCACCCACTGACTACCCACTCGCCCATCTTGTGTTGTGTTACAGAGAAGAACAACTTCATTTGGAGCTGATGATCCAGACGGTGAGAGACACACTGAGAGAAACACAGAGAGACACACGGAGACACGCACAGAGACACGCACAGAGACACGCACGGAGACACGCACGGAGACACGCATGGAGACACGCATGGAGAGACGCACGGAGAGACAGAGAGAGACACAGAGAGCCACACAGACACAGAGACACACACACAGACACACAGAGACACACACAGAGAGACACAAAGAGACACAGAAAAACGCGAAGAGAGACGCGGAGAGACACGCGGAGACACAGACGGAGAGATACAGAGACATATACACAGAGACATATTATACACAGAGACATATTATACACAGAGACATAGTATACACAGACATATTATACACAGAGATATTATACACAGAGACATATTATACACAGAGACATTATACACAGACATATTATACACAGAGACATATTATACACAGAGACACATTATACACAGTCATATTATACACAGAGACATATTATACACAGAGACATTATACACAGAGACGTATTATACACAGAGAGGTATTATACACAGAGACATATACACAGAGACGTATTATACACAGAGACGTATTATACACAGAGACGTATTATACACAGAGACGTATTATACACAGAGACATGTTATACACAGAGACATATTATACACAGAGACGTATTATACACAGAGACGTATTATACACAGACGTATTATACACAGAGACATATACACAGAGACATTATACACAGAGACATATTATACAAAGAGACATATTATACACAGTGACGTATTATACACAGAGACGTATTATACACAGAGACGTATTATACACAGGGACGTATTATACACAGAGACGTATTATACACAGAGACATGTTATACACAGAGACATATTATACACAGAGACATATTATACACAGTTACATTATACACAGAGATATATTGTACACAGAGACATATTATACACAGAGACATACACAGAAACATATTATACACAGAGACATTATACACAGAGACATTATACACAGTGACATTTTATACACAGAGACATATTATACACAGAGACATATTATACACAGAGACATATTATACACAGAGACATATTATACACAGAGACATATTATACAAAAAGACATACACAGAGACATTATACACAGAGACATATTATACACAGAGACATTATACACAGAGACATTATACACAGAGACATTATACACAGAGACATTATACACAGAGACGTATTATACACAGAGACGTATTATACACAGAAACGTATTATACACAGACATATTATACACAGAGACATTATACAGAAAGACATACTATACACAGAGACATTATACACAGAGACATATTATACACAGAGACATTATACACGGAGACATATTATACACAGAGACATATTATACACAGAGACATATTATACACAGAGACATATTATACACAGAGACATTATACACAGACATTATACACAGAGACATACACAGAGACATTATACACAGAGACATTATACACAGAGACATTATACACAGAGACAATATACACAGAGACATATAATACACAGATACATATTATACACAGTGACATATTATACACAGAGACATATTATACACAGAGACATATTATACACAGACATTATACACAGAGACATACACAGAGACATTATACACAGAGACATTATACACAGAGACATTATACACAGAGACAATATACACAGAGACATTATACACAGAGACATATTATACACAGACATATTATACACAGAGACATATTATACACAGAGACATATTATACACAGAGACATATTATACACAGAGACATATTATACACAGAGACATATTATACAGTGACATATTATACACAGAGACATATTATACACAGAGACATATACACAGAGACATATTATACACAGAGACATTATGCACAGAGACATATACACAGAGACATTATACACAGAGACATTATACACAGACATATTATACACAGAGACATATTATACACAGATACATATTATACAGAAAGACATACACAGACATATTATACACAGAGACGTATTATACACAGAGACGTATTATACACAGAGACATTATACACAGAGACGTATTATACACAGAGACATGTTATACACAGAGACATATTATACACAGTTACATTATACACAGAGACATATTATACAGTGACATATTATACACAGAGACATATTATACACAGAGACATATACACAGAGACATATACACAGAGATATATTGTACACAGAGACATTATACACAGAGACATTATACACAGAGACATACACACAGACATATTATACACAGAGACATATTATACACAGTGACATTATACACAGAGATATATTATACGCAGAGACGTTATACACGAGACATATTATACACAGACATATTATACACAGAGACATTATACACAGAGACATATTATACACAGTGACATATTATACACAGAGACATATTATACACAGAGACATTATACACAGAGACGTATTATACACAGAGACATTGTACACAGAGACATTGTACACAGAGACATTGTACACAGAGACATATTATACACAGAGACATATACACAGAGACATATTATACACGGAGACATATTATACACGGAGACATATTATACACAGAGACATATTATACACAGAGACATATTATACACAGAGACATATTATACACAGAGACATATTATACACAGAGACATATTATACACAGAGACATGTTATACACAGAGACGTTATACACAGAGACATTATACACAGAGACATATTATACACGGTGACATTATACACTGAGATATATTATACACAGAGACTTATTGTACACAGAGACATATTGTACACAGACATATACACAGTGACATTATACACAGAGACATATTATACACAGAGACATTATACACAGACATATTATACACAGAGACATATTATACACAGAGACATATTATACACAGAGACATATTATACACAGAGACATATTTTACACAGAGATATATTATACACAGAGACATATTATACACAGAGACATATTGTACACAGAGACATTATACACAGAGACATATTATACACAGAGACATATTATACACAGAGACATATTATACACAGAGACATATTATACACAGAGACATATTATACACAGAGACATATTATACACAGAGACATATTATACACAGAGACATATTATACACAGAGACATATTATACACAGAGACATTATACACAGATACATATACACAGAGACATATAATACACAGAGACACACTGAGATTCACTGAGACATAGACACACAGAGACTCAGACAGAGACACACTTAGACACAGTTTGACAAATGGGGTGGGTTGGTGGGTTAGTCGGTGAATTATTGAATGGGTGGTTGAGGGAATGGGTGAGTGAGCAAGTGGGTGAGTGAATCGGTGAGTGAGTGGGTGCGTGAGTGAGTTGGTCTCCGTTTGTCTCTGTGCTTGTCTCAGACTCGGATGGTACAGAATGTCCGTCAGCAGCCAAACTCGCCAAGAATGTAAACACTCCAGTCTTCCCTCCACTACAGCCAGGTACTCGCTCACCTACCCACTCACCCAACTACTCACCTCACCTACTCACCCACTCACCCACCTACCCACTCACCCGCTCACCTACTCACCTGCTCACCTACTCACCTGCTCACCCACCCACTCACCCACCTACCCACTCACCCAACTACACACTCACTCACCCACCCACTCACCCACCCACCCACCCACTCACTCACCCACTTACTCACCCACCCACTCATCTTCTCACCGACTCACCCGCTCACCCACCTACCCACTCGCCCAACCAATCACTCACTCACCCATTCACCCACTCACCGTTCCACCCACCCACTCACTCACCCATCCACCCATCCATCCACTCATCCACCCACTCACCCACCCACTCACTCACCCAATCACCCAACCACTCACCCACCAACTCACCCACCCACCCACTCACCCACCCGCCCACTCACCCACCCGCCCACTCACCCACCCGCCCACTCACCCATCCACTCATCCACTTACCCACTCACCTACCCACTCACTCACCCACCCACTTACTCACCCCCTCCCCTTCCGACCCAGTGATCTCTAGGAACGTGTTCATGACCTCGCCTCCCAGTCAATCGGCAAACAGCTCAGACAGCGATTCCGGTGAGACTCCCCGCGTCTTCCTCCCCGTGTCCCCCTCCCCGTGTCCCCCTCCCCGTGTCTCCCTCCCCGCGCGCCCCTGCCGTGACGCCCCTCCCGTGACTCCGCCCCCCCCCGTGACTCCGCCCCCCCCGTGACTCCGCCCCCCCCCCCCCCCCCCGTGACTCCGCCCCCCGTGACCCCCCCATGAACCCGCCCCCCCATGATACCCCCCCCGTGACTCCGCCCCCCGTGACTCCACCCCCCGTGACCCCCTCCCCTGTGACCCCCCCTCCGTGACCCCCCCGTGACCCCCCCCTGTGACACTTCCCCCCACCGTAGAGGAGTCCAAGCCGAGTGGTTTTCGTCTGAAGCCGGCGACGCTCATCGCTGGGAGAAGCAGCGAGGGTGAGGGGCGCGGGGGGTCATGGGGGGCTGGTCACGAGGGGAGGTCACGTGGGGGGTCATGAGGGGTGGTCATGGGTAGGTCACGGGGGAGGGGGGTCACGGGGACATGGGGACATTGATGGAGACAAAAGAACAGATGCGTAGGGACACTCACTGTCTACCCCACCCCCCGTGTCCCCCTGTGTCTCCCCGTGTCTCCCCCCGTGTCCTCCCGTATCCTGCCGTGTCTCCCCGTGTCCCCCTGTGTCTCTCCCATGTCTCCCTGTGTCCTCCCGCGTCTCCCCGCGTCTCCCCGCGTCTCCCTGCGTCTCCCCGCGTCTCCCCGCGTCTCCCCGCGTCTCCCCCCATGTCTCCTCGTGTCTCGCCGTGTCTCCTCGTGTCTCGCCGTGTCTCCCCCCGTGTCTCCCCCTGTGTCTCCCCCTGTGTCCTCCCGTGTCCTCCCGTGTCCTCCCGCGTCTCCCCGCGTCTCCCCGCGTCTCCACCCGTATCTCCTCGTGTCTCGCCGTGTCTCCTCGTGTCTCGCCGTGTCTCCTCCCGTGTCTCCCCCTGCGTCTCCACCTGTGTCCTCCCGTGTCCTCCCGCGTCTCCCCACGTCTCCCCGCGTCTCCCCGTGTCTCCCCGTGTCTCCCGGTGTCTCCCCGCGTCTCCCCGCGTCTCCCCCTGCATCTCCAGCTGAGTCAGCAGTGAAGTTCCGCTCGGTTCTCCGCCCAGCAACGCTCCACGCCCCTCCTACTCAGCAACCTCCTCCTCCTGCAGCTGGTGACTCACCCACTCACTCACCCACTCGCCCACCCACTCACCCACCCACTCACTCACCCACTCACTCAATCATTCACTCACTCACTCAATCACTCATCCACTCACTCACCCACCCACTCACTCAACACCCACTCACTCAACACCCACTCACTCAACACCCACTCACCCACTCACTCACCACTCACTCGTTCACTCACTCAATCACTCGTCCACTCACCCACTCACTCACTCACCACCCACTCACTCACCACCCACTCACTCACCACCCACTCACTCACCACTCACTCACCACCCACTCACCACCCACTCACTCACCACCCACTCACCCACCCACTCACTCACCACCCACTCACTCACCACCCACTCACTCAATCATTCACTCAATCATTCACTCACTCAATCATTCACTCACTCAATCATTCACTCACTCAATCATTCACTCACTCAATAATTCACTCACTCAATCACTTGTCCACCCACCACCCTCTTTCTGTCTGTGAGAGTAGAGAAGACACTGACGGTGCCTTTGCTGAAGCCAGCCACGCTACACCCTCCCCCCTTTCTTGGTGAGCTACCTCCTCACTCACCCACTCACCTGCTCATTCACTCGCCCACTCACCCACTCGCTCACTCACCCACTCACCCACTGGCATACTCACCTACTCACCTGCTCACTCACTCACCCACGCACTCACACATTCAGTCACTCACACATTAACTCACCGCCTCGCTCACCCACTCACTCACCCACTGACCTACTCACCACCCACTCACTCGCTCACCCACTCACTCACCTACTCACCCACTGTCACTCACCCACCCCCTCACTCACTCACCTACTCACCCACTCTGTCACTCACCCACTCACTCACCCACTCACTCACCTACAGACTCACCCACTCACCCACTCACTCACCTACCCACCCACTCATCTACTCACTCACCCACTCACTCACCATCAGACTCACCCAATCACTCATCTACCTACTCACTTAGCCACCCACTCACCCACCCACCCACCCACTCTCCCATCCACTCACCCTCCCACCCACTCCCTCACCCACTCACCCACTCACTCATCTACTCACCCACTTACTCACCCACTCACCTACCCTCTCACTCACGCATTCACATGGTGGTTTTTGCATGGTAGTTGTGGTTGTTGATTAGTGGTAGTTTAATTGTTACTGCGGTTGTGGCGGTTGTTGTGGCGGTTAGTGTTGTGGCGGTTAGTGTTGTGGTTGAATTGTGGTTGTGGCGGTTGTTGTGGCGGTTAGTGTTGTGGTTGCATTGTGGTTGAATTGTGGTGGTGGCGTTTGTTGTGGTGGTTGTTGTGGCGGTTAGTGTTGTGGTTGAATTGTGGTTGTGGCGGTTGTTGTGGCGGTTAGTGTTGTGGCGGTTAGTGTTGTGGTTGAATTGTGGTTGTGGTGGTTGTTGTGGCGGTTAGTGTTGTGGTTGAATTGTGGTTGTGGCGGTTGTTGTGGCGGTTAGTGTTGTGGTTGAATTGTGGTTGTGGCGGTTGTTGTGGCGGTTAGTGTTGTGGCGGTTAGTGTTGTGGTTGAATTGTGGTTGTGGTGGTTGTTGTGGCGGTTAGTGTTGTGGTTGAATTGTGGTTGTGGTGGTTGTTGTGGCGGTTAGTGTTGTGGTTGAATTGTGGTTGTGGCGGTTGTTGCTGTTGTAGGTTCCTCCGTTGCATCTCTGCCTGAAGGTTCTGCCAGTGAAAAGGCGTCCGGTGAAGCGGAGGAGACGGCTCGGGGAGACGCGGAGGAGTCACGGGGAGACACGGAGGAGACGCGGGGAGACACGGAGGAGACGCGGGGAGACACGGAGGAGACACGGGGAGACACGGAGGAGACACGGGGAGACACGGAGGAGACACGGGGAGAAGTCGGGGAGACGCGGGGAGACGCTGGGGAGACGCGGGGACACGCGGAGACACAGGGAGACGCGGAGGAGACACGGGCGGACGTGAGTACACGGCCCGCGAGTGAGGTTTGGTGTGATGTCAACAGAGCGTGCCCAGTTCGTTACTAGTACAGCACTAGTGTGTCGTGTGGTGTACATTGTAGTGTGTAGTGTGTGGTGTAGTGTACATTGTAGTGTGTCGTGTAGTGTACATTGTAGAGTGTAGTGTACATTGTAGTGTGTAGTGTACATTGTAGTGTGTCGTGTAGTGTAAATTGTAGAGTGTAGTGTAGTGTGTAGTGTAGTGTACATTGTAGTGTGTAGTGTACATTGTAGTGTGTGGTGTAGTGTGTAGTGTAGTGTACATTGTAGTGTGTAGTGTAGAGTGTGGTGTAGAGTGTGGTGTAGAGTGTGGTGTAGTGTGTGGTGTAGTGTGTGGTGTAGTGTACATTGTAGTGTGTAGTGTAGTGTACATTGTAGTGTGTCGTGTAGTGTACATTGTAGAGTGTAGTGTGTGGTGTAGTGTACATTGTAGTGTAGTGTACATTGTAGTGTGTGGTGTAGTGTGTAGTGTAGTGTACATTGTAGTGTGTGGTGTAGAGTGTGGTGTAGTGTGTGGTGTAGTGTACATTGTAGTGTGTAGTGTAGAGTGAAGTGCATAGTACTGTAGTGTATACTGTAGTGTATAGTTTAGTGTATAGTAGTGTAGTGTATAGTCGTGTATAATAGTGTAGTGTATATTGTAGTGTACGTTAGTGTAGTGTACAGTAGTGTACAGTAGTGTATAGTGTAGTGTACAGAGTGAGGCGTTGATTGGTAGAAGGTTCTGAGGCCTGGACAGTGCAAACTCGGGAGGCCACGCCAGGAGCTGTCCGGATGCCCTGGGCCGCTGTGCCACACTTTGTCACAGGCTCCTTTGATGGCCACAGCTACAGTGAGGGAAAAAGGTATTTGATCCCCTGCTGATTTTGTACGTTTGCCCACTGACAAAGAAATGATCAGTCTATAATTTTAATGGTAGGTTTATTTGAACAGTGGGAGACAGAATAACAACAAAAAAATCCAGAAAAACGCAAGTCAAAAATGTTATGAATTGATTTGCATTTTAATGAGGGAAATAAGTATTTGACCCCCTCTCAATCAGAGATGTCTGGCTCCCAGGTGTCTTTTATACAGGTAACGAGCTGAGATTAGGAGCACACTCTTAAAGGGAGTGCTCCTAATCTCAGCTTGTTACCTGTATAAAAGACACCTGTCCACAGAAGCAATCAATCAATCAGATTCCAAACTCTCCACCATGGCCAAGACCAAAGGGCTCTCCAAGGATGTCAGGGACAAGATTGTAGACCTACACAAGGCTGGAATGGGCTACAAGACCATTGCCAAGCAGCTTGGTGAGAAGGTGACAACAGTTGATGCGATTATTCGCAAATGGAAGAAACATAAAAGAACTGTCAATCTCCCTCGGCCTGGGGCTCCATGTAAGCACTACACGGGAGGATCTTGTCAATGATCTCAAGGCAGCTGGGACCATAGTCACCAAGAAAACAATTGATAACACACTACACCGTGAAGGACTGAAATCCTGCAGCGCCCACAAGGTCCCCCTGCTCAAGAAAGCACATATACATGCCCGTCTGAAGTTTGCCAATGAACATCTGAATGATTCAGAGGACAACTGGGTGAAAGTGTTGTGTTCAGATGAGACCAAAATGGAGCTCTTTGGCATCAACTCAACTCGCCATGTTTGGAGGAGGAATGCTGGCTATGACCCCAAGAACACTATCCCCACCGTCAAATATGGAGTTGGAAACATTATGCTTTGGGGGTGTTTTTCTGCTAAGGGGGCAGGACAACTTCACCGCATCAAAGGGACGATGGACGGGGCCATGTACCGTCAAATCTTGGGTGAGAACCTCCTTCCCTCAGCCAGGGCATTGAAAATGGGTCGTGGATGGGTATTCCAGCATGACAATGACCCAAAACAAACGGCCAAGGCAACAAAGGAGTGGCTCAAGAAGAAGCACATTAAGGTCCTGGAGTGGCATTGCCAGTCTCCAGACCTTAATCTCATAGAAAATCTGTGGAGGGAGCTGAAGGTTCGAGTTGCCAAACGTCAGCCTCGAAACCTTATTGACTTGGAGAAGATCTGCAAAGAGGAGTGGGACAAAATCCCTCCTGAGATGTGTGCAATCCTGGTGGCCAATTACAAGAAACGTCTGATATCTGTGATTTCCAACAAGGGTTTTGCCACCAAGTACTAAGTCATGTTTTGCAGAGGGGTCAAATACTTATTTCCCTCATTAAAATGCAGATCAATTTATAACATTTTTGACATGCGTTTTTCTGGATTTTGTTGTTGTTATTCTGTCTCTCACTGTTCAAATAAACCTACCATTAAAATTATAGACTGATCATTTCTTTGTCAGTGGGCAAACGTACAAAATCAGCAGGGGATCAAATACTTTTTTCCCTCACTGTATCGCACAGAATTCTTGATGTGGGTGGGGCGAGTGGGCGGGCGAGTGGGCGGGCGAGTGAGTGGGTAGGTGAGTGAGTGGGTGGGCGGGTGAGTGAGTGGGTGGGTGGGTGGGGGAGTGTGTGGGTGTGTGGGTGAGTGAGTGGGTGAGTGAGTGAGTGAGTGGGTGGGCGGGTGAGTGGGCGGGCGAGTGAGCGAGTGGGTGAGCGGGTGAGCGAGTGGGTGAGCGAGTGGGTGAGCGGGTGAGCGGGTGGGTGAGCGAGTGGGCGGGTGAGTGAGTGGGTGGGTGGGCGGGTGAGTGAGTGGGTGGGTGGGCGGGTGAATGGGTGGGTGAGTGAGTGGGTGAGTGGGTGTGTGGGTGGGTGAGTGGGTGTGTGGGTGGGTGGGTGAGTGGGTGGGTGGGTGATTGGGCGGGCGGGCGAGCGGGCGGGCGGGCGAGCGGGTAGTGAGCGAGCGGGTGGGTGAGTGAGTGAATGAGTGGGTGAGTGAGTGAATGAGTGGGTGAGTGAGTGAATGAGTGGGTGCCAAGGTGAGGATGACGACCCCCCCCCCCCATACCCCCTGTACCCCCCCGTGCCCCTCCCCCCAAGGCCTCCAAGGACCCGGCCAGCCTCCTGCCTCCAGCAGAGAAGCAGAACAACAACAAAAAAACAACAACCAAGAGAGACAAGGTCAGTACCACCACAACCACCACCACTATCACTGTCACCACTATCACCACCACTATCACCACCACTATCACCACCACAACCACTATCACCACTATCACCACCACAACCACTATCACCACCACAACCACTTCACCACCACTATCACCACCACTATCACCACCACTACCACCACCACAACCACCACCACAACCACCACCACCACTATCACCACCAACAACAACAACCGCCATTCGCCACTAAGTGGCGGTGACGTCACCACGACGCTTGTGCCAGGCTATGTGCACCCTGAGGCCACGTGAAGTGTCGAACGCCCGCTGGCAGGAGGTCACGGGGCAGACCCAGGTGCCACGGGTCGACTGACTGAGATGACTGGCTGATGCACCACCTGTGCCCCCTACTGTGCCAACCTGCTGTGCTTTAGCCACCCGGCGCTCGGCTCGCTGTTGTGAGCGTCGCTCCTCCGCCCTCCGTTGTTGTTGGAGGGCGACTGCCTCCAACTGCCCAGTAGCATCCTTCACGAGCCTCCTCCACAGAGGCCGATCTTGACACCGCTGGTACCAGTCATCGGCAAGTCCACTCAGCTCCACGTCCTCCTGTACCACATCACTCCATCTCTTCTCTAGCCCGTGCCGCGCCCACTTAGCCCCCTCAATCCGGCCAAACAAAAGCTGTTTCGGCATGCGGTGGCTGGGCATGCGGGCTACATGACCCAGCCATCGCAGCCTTGCCTGCCGGAGGAGCTCACCGATGGGACCCTGCCCAGATCTTTCAAGGATTTGTGAGCTCCTCACACAATCCAGTCTGGTTAAACCCAGGATGGATCGTAGGCAGGCCAGCCTAAATGTTTCTAACCGGCGAAGATGTTCCATTAGGGGGGTCCACGTTTCGCAAGCGTAGAGAAGGGAGGGAATGACCGTGGCCGAGAAGACCTGAAGCTTAGTGCGGAGCGACAGACCAGGTAGCTTCCACACAGCGTTGCGCAACCGATGAAAAGATATTGCCGCTCGACTGATTCGGAGTGAGACCTCTGCTGTTAAACTGGAGCCAGTCATAAGCACACTGCCCAGGTATGGGAAACTCTCCACTCTCTCCACAACTGCCCCATCACCGATTGGGAGTTGTGGGGGTGGAGTGTCCGATGGTACAAAATACCCAGGCAGGTGCTTAGTTTTGGTGGGGCTGATGGTAAGGCCCCATCTCTTAGTGGCACGCTCCAGTCTCAGCAGCAGCGTCTCCAACTCCTCCTCTGACTGAGCAGCTATTACCAAATCATCAGCATACATAACGTGGTTGAGCAATAGGGAGCCATCCCTTGACCGCACCCGGGCATCGATTAGCCTCCCATTATATCTGTACCATATGGAGATTCCCCCGGTACAGCTATTGAAGGCTTCACGAACTACGTGGTCAAAATAGATGTTAAATAATGTGGGAGCCAGAGGACATCCCTGTCGCACCCCAAGGTGTACAGGGAATGGCTCTGACTCCCGGCCACGTAGTTTTACCCGGGCCCGCTCACCATCATGAAGGTCCTTAATGATCGTGAGCAGAGGGTCAGGTACTCCAAAAGCACGAAGAACGACCCAGAGCCCAGGCCTACTGATGGTATCATAGGCCTTGACCAGGTCAATAAAGCAGAGATGTAGGTCTTGTTGGAATTCCCTACACCTCTGCTGTATCACCACCACAACCACTATCACCACCACTATCACCACCACAACCACTATCACCACCACTATCACCACCATAACCACGACCACAACTACCACCACCACTATCACCACCACTATCACCACCACAACCACTATCACCACCACTATCACCACCACAACCACTATCACCACCACAACTACTATCACCACCACTATCACCACCACAACCACTATCACCACCATAACCACCACCACAACTACCACCACCACTATCACCACCACTATCACCACCACAACCACTATCACCACCACTAACACTATCACCACCACAACCACTATCACCACCACAACCACTATCACCACCACTATCACCACCACAACCACTATCACCACCATAACCACCACCACAACTACCACCACTACTATCACCACCATAACCACCACCACAACTACCACCACCACTATCACCACCACTATCACCACCACTATCACCACCACTATCACCACCACAACCACTATCACCACCACTATCACTATCACCACCACTATCACCACCACTATCACTATCACCACCACTATCACCACCACAACCACTATCACCACCATAACCACCACCACAACTATCACCACCACTATCACCACCACTATCACCACCACAACCACTATCACCACCACAACCACCACCACTATCACCACCACAACCACTATTACACTATTATGTTATTTTATTATTTCTACGTGACTTTACGGAAAAAAAAACAAAGATTGAGTTGGTTGTGGTTGTGGTGGTGGTGGTTGTTGTGGTGGTGTGGATGGGACAGGAAGTTGGCGGTTCATCAGAGGAGGATTCTGGGACAAACTACTTCCTGCAGTGTCTACCACAGCCAGCGTGGGGGTCAGAGGACAGCGCAACAACAACAAACATCACAACTACCACCACAACAACAACAACCACCATAACTACCACCACAACAACAACTACCAGCACAGCTACCATCACAATAACCACCACCACCACAGCTACCATCACAACAACCACAACCACTACTGCAACCACCACCACTACCACACCCCCCCTCGTGTCTCCCCCGTGTCTCCCCCGTGTCTTACCGTGTCTCACCGTGTCTCACCGTGTCTCCCCGTGTCTCACCGTGTCTCTCCCGTGTCTCACCGTGTCTCCCCGTGTCTCACCGTGTCTCCCCCGTGTCTCCCCCGTGTCTCACCGTGTCTCTCCCGTGTCTCACCGTGTCTCCCCCGTCTCCCCCGTGTCTCCCCCGTCTCCCCCGTGTCTCCCCCGTGTCTCCCCCGTGTCTCACCGTGTCTCTCCCGTGTCTCACCGTGTCTCCCCCGTCTCCCCTGTGTCTCCCCCGTGTCTCCCCCGTGTCTCCCCCGTGTCTCACCGTGTCTCCCCCGTGTCTCCCCCATGTCTCACCGTGTCTCCCCCTTGTCACCCCGTGTCTCACCGTGTCTCTCCCGTGTCTCACCGTGTCTCCCCGTGTCTCACCGTGTCTCACCGTGTCTCCCCTGTGTCTCCCCCGTGTCTCACCGTGTCTCCCCCGTGTCTCACCGTCTCTCCCCCGTGTCTCCCCCGTGTCTTCCTCGTGTCTCACCGTGTCTCTCCCGTGTCTCACCGTGTCTCCCCCGTCTCCCCCGTGTCTCCCCCGTGTCTCCCCCGTGTCTCACCGTGTCTCCCCCGTGTCTCCCCCGTGTCTCCCCCGTGTCTCTCCCGTGTCTCCCCCGTGTCTCACCGTGTCTCACCGTGTCTCCCCCTTGTCTCACCGTGTCTACCCCATGTCTCACCGTGTCTCCCCCGTGTCTCACCGTGTCTCCCCCGTGTCTCACCGTGTCTCCCCCGTGTCTCCCCCGTGTCTCACCGTGTCTCCCCCTTGTCTCCCCGTGTCTCACCGTGTCTCTCCCATGTCTCACCGTGTCTCCCCGTGTCTCACCGTGTCTCACCGTGTCTCACCGTGTCTCCCCTGTGTCTCACCGTGTCTCCCCCGTGTCTCACCGTGTCTCCCCCGTGTCTCCCCCGTGTCTCCCCCGTGTCTCACCGTGTCTTTCCCGTGTCTCACCGTGTCTCCCCCGTGTCTCCCCCGTGTCTCTCCCGTGTCTCACCGTGTCTTTCCCGTGTCTCACCGTGTCTCCCCCGTGTCTCCCCCTTGTCTCACCGTGTCTCCCCCGTGTCTCACCGTGTCTCCCCCTTGTCTCACCGTGTCTACCCCATGTCTCACCGTGTCTCCCCCGTGTCTCACCGTGTCTCCCCCGTGTCTCACCGTGTCTCCCCCGTGTCTCCCCCATGTCTCCCCCGTGTCTCCCCCGTGTCTCCCCCGTGTCTCACGTGTCTCACCGTGTCTCCCCCGTCTCCCCCGTGTCTCCCCCGTGTCTCACCGTGTCTCCCCGTGTCTCACCGTGTCTCCCCCGTGTCTCACCGTGTCTCCCCCTTGTCTCACCGTGTCTCCCCCGTCTCCCCCGTGTCTCCCCCGTGTCTCCCCCGTGTCTCACCGTGTCTCCCCCGTGTCTCCCCTGTGTCTCACCGTGTCTCCCCCGTGTTTCCCCGTGTCTCTCCCGTGTCTCTCCGTGTCTCACCGTGTCTCCCCCGTGTCTCTCCGTGTCTCCCCCGTGTCTCCCCGTGTCTCACCGTGTCTCCCCCGTGTCTCACTGTGTCTCACCGTGTCTCCCCCGTGTCTCACCGTGTCTCCCCCGTGTCTCCCCCGTGTCTCTCCCGTGTCTCCCCCGTGTCTCACCGTGTCTCACCGTGTCTCCCCCGTGTCTCCCGCGTGTCTCACCGTGTCTCCCCCGTGTCTCCCCCTTGTGTCTCCCCCGTATCTCCCCCATGTCTCCCCCGTGTCTCCCCCATGTCTCCCCGTGTCTCACCGTGTCTCTCCCGTGTCTCACCGTGTCTCCCCGTGTCTCACCGTGTCTCCCCCTTGTCTCCCCCATGTCTCCCCCGTTTCTCACCGTGTCTCCCCTGTGTCTCCCCCGTGTATCACTGTGTCTCCCCCTCGTCTCACCGTGTCTCCCCCGTGTCTCCCCTTTGTCTCACCGTGTCTCCCCCTTGTCTCACCATGTCTCCCCCGTGTCTCCCCCGTGTCTCCCCCTTGTCTCACCATGTCTCCCTCGTGTCTCCCCCGTGTCTCCCCCTGGTCTCCCCGTGTCTCCCCCGTGTCTCCGTAGGGGACGCTCCAAGGCAGAGGGAGAGTTGCTGTTCCCAGCCACAGAAACGACATTCGTCTTCGGACAAAACATGAACGAGAGGGTGGTGGTAAGAACAACAACAACAACAACAACCACCACAACAACCACCACAACAACCACAGCCACCACAACCACAACAACCACCACAACCACCACAACAACCACAGCCACCACAACCACAACAACCACCACGACCACAACAACCACCACGACCACAACAACCACCACAACAACCACCACAACCACCACAACCACCACAGCCACCACAACCACAACAGCCACCAATACTATGCCCCCCCCCGTGCCCCCTTCTCCCTCCCTCCACCCTCCCCCCGTGACCCCCACATGACCCCTTCCTCTCCCCCCCCCACTGTGACCCCTCCCGTGACCCCCTCTCCCCCCTTCCCTGTGACCCCCCCCTCTGTGACCCCCCTCCCGTGACCACCCCCCACCATGACCCCCTCTCCCCCCCCCCCTGCGACCCCCCCCCCCGTGACCCCCCAACCACTATGACCCCCTCTTCCCCCTCCGTGACCCCTGTGACCCCCCTGTGACCCCCTGTGACCCCCCCCCGTGACCCCCCCCCACTGTGACCCCCCTCTCCCCCCCCCTGCGACCCCCCCCCGTGACCCCCCCACCACTATGACCCCCTCTTCCCCCTCCGTGACCGCTGTGACCCCCCCGTGACCCCCCCCCACCATGACCCCCTCTCCCCCCCCCCCCTGCGACCCCCCCCCCCCCCGTGACCCCCCCACCACTATGACCCCCTCTTCCCCCTCCGTGACCCCTGTGACCCCCCTGTGACCCCCCCGTGACCCCCCCGTGACCCCCACAGAGCCCCGTGCGTGGTGACGAGGCCGAGCGTGGAGCTGAGGGCAGCGAGCGGGACGGAGGGGAGGGGGGGGAGGAGGGGGTGGAGACTACGACAACAGCAACAACAACAACCACCACCAGCACCACGTCAACAACAACATCAACAGCCATGATGACGTCATCATCGCCGTCGTCACGCGGGAATCACTCACCCAGCGTGTCGACGCTCACCGGTAAACTCACCCTCACGCTCACCCTCACGCTCACCCTCACACTCACACTCACCCTCACGCTCACCCTCACGCTCACCCTCACGCTCACCCTCACGCTCACCGTGTATCACACTCACCCTCACGCTCACCCTCACCCTCACGCTCACCCTCACGCTCACGCTCACCGTGTATCACGCTCACCCTCACACTCACCCTCACGCTCACGCTCACCGTGTATCACCCTCACCCTCACACTCACCTTCACGCTCACCGTGTATCACACTCACCCTCACGCTCACACTCACCCTCACGCTCACCATGTATCAAACTCACCCTCACACTCACGCTCACCCTCACGCTCACCGTATATCACGCTCACCCTCACGCTCACCCTCACACTCACCGTGTATCACGCTCACACTCACCCTCACGCTCACCCTCATGCTCACCGTGTATCACCCTCACGCTCACCCTCGCGCTCACCCTCATGCTCATCCTCATGCTCACACTCACGATCACCCTCACGCTCACACTCACCGTGTATCACAGTCACACCCTCACGCTCACACTCACCCTCACACTCACCGTGTATCACACTCACCCTCACGCTCACCCTCACGCTCACCCTCACGCTCACCGTGTATCACACTTACCCTCACGCTCACCCTCACACTCACCCTCACGCTCACCGTGTATCACCCTCACGCTCACCCTCACACTCACCCTCACGCTCATCGTGTATCAAACTCACCCTCACCCTCACGCTCACCCTCACGCTCACCCTCACGCTCACCGTGTATCACACTCACGCTCACACTCACCCTCACACTCACCCTCACACTCACCGTGTATCACACTCACCCTCACGCTCACTCTCACACTCACCCTCACGCTCACCCTCACGCTCACCCTCACGCTCACCCTCGCACTCACCGTGTATCACACTCACCCTCACGGTCAACCGTGTCTCTCCCGTGTCTCCCCCGTGTCTCCCTCTCACTGTGTAACCGTGTCTCTCCCGTGTCTCCCTCTCACTGTGTGACCGTGTCTCCCACGTGTCTCCCTCTCACTGTGTAACCGTGTCTCTCCCATGTCTCCCCCGTGTCTCCTCCGCCCGTGTCTCCTCCGCCCGTGTCTCCCCGGCCCGTGTCTCCCCCTCCGTGTCTTCCCCCCCCCGCCCGTGTCTCGCCCGTGTCTCCCTCCCCATCCCCCCCCCGTGTCTCCAAAGGCGTGTCTCCCTCCCCGTGTCTGCGCACGCTGGAGGAGTCAGCCGCTGCCTACACAAAGGCCACCAGCAAGCGCTGCCTGCTGGAGACTGTGGAGACGCGGACTGGGGAGGAGGCAGAGAGCAACGTCCTGCAGGTGGCCTGGCCTCTACGCTACACTACACAACTATACTCTACACTATACACTACACTACTATACACTACACTACTATACACTACTATACACTACACTACTATACACTACACTACTATACACTACACTACTATACACTACACTATACAATACACAGCTATACACTACACTACTATACACTACACTGTACACTACTACTATACACTACACTACTATACACTACACTCTACACTACACTATACACTACACTAAACTGCTATACACTATACTGCTAGACACCACTACTTGACACCACTATACACTACACGACTATACACTACACTACTATACACTACACTACTATACACTACACTATACACTACACGACTATACACTACACTACTATACACTACACTATACACTACACTACTATACACTACACTACTATACACTACACTTTACACTACACTACTATACACTACACTTTACGCTACTATGCACTAATATACACTACACGACTATACACTACACTACTATACACTACACTACTATACACTACACTCTACACTACGCTATACACTACACTAAACTGCTATACACCACTACTATACACTACACTATACACTACACTAAACTGCTATACACCACTACTATACACCACACTATACACTACTACACTATACACTACACTACCATACACTACTACACTATACACTACACTACCATACACTACAGTATACACTACACTACCATACACTACAGTATACACTACACTATACACTACACTACTATACACTACACGACTATGCACTACACTACTATACACTACACTACTATACACTACGCTACTCACCACTAGTAGTAATTATCTTGTAATCGGCTGTGTAACGCTGTGTGGAAGCTACCCCCGGTCTGTCGCTCCGCACGAAGCTTCGAGTCTTCTCGGCCCCGGTAATGCCCTCCCTTCTCCACGCTTGTGAAGCGTGGACCCCCCTCTTGTGGAACATCTGCGCCGGTGAGAATCATCGAGGCTGGCCCTGCCTACGATCCGTCCTGGGTTTAACCTGCGGGCTCGATCGTGTGAAGAGCTCGCAGATCCTTGAAAGATCTGGGCAAAACAACCCCCTACCTCCTCGCGGTGCCAGACGGGCTACTCTGTCGTGGACAGTGCAGTGGGGGGAGGGCCAATTCTGATTGGCCTCTCCCCTCATGGTGTCTGTGACCACCACAGTGGCTAAACGGGGGCTCTGGACGGGTGCGAGGGGCTGGTAACCCCTCCACCTTCAATTGATTACCCCAAAACCACGAGTTAAACTTAAATATGTAACTAATAAGCTTGTGCCGGAGGCCCTGGGGGAACAGGCGTCTATGACGTCTCCTGGCCAAACCCCAATTGGCGGAGCCAGGAGATTGAATCTTTACCCTCGGGTCTCCTCCAAAAACAACAAAAAGCCGCTTCGTGTGGCCACGTGGAATGTTCGAACGCTCACTGCGGAGGAGAGGCTGCCACTCCTCTGTCGGGAGCTGGACCGGTACCGCCTGGATTTCTGTGGCATTCAGGAGGTTCGGTGGACCGGTTCTGGCTCTTGCCACCATGAGGGGTGGACAGTACTCTACTCGGGGCACAAGACTGCCAAACAACAGGGTGTGGCTCTTCTTTTGAACAAAAGAATGAAGGGGGCATGGGAGCGTGGCGGTGAGGTGTGGGAAGCTGTAAGCCCCAGGCTACTTTGGGCTCGCCTTCCCATCAACCGGAGGTGAGGAGTGATGGTCGTGGTTACTTACGCCCCCACCGAAGACGAACATCCGTGGAGGGATGCAGGCAAAACCGATGAGTCAGATGCCGCCTTTGACCTCCTGTCACATGTGCTGGCTAAAGTGGCCCCTCAAGATAGTCATCTTGTTGGGTGACTTCAATGCCCGAGTTGGTCATGATGCTGGTACCTGGTCTGGAGTGATTGGAGGGCATGGGCCAGATCAGCTCAATAACAACGGTAGGAGGCTGCTAGATTTTTGTGCAGCCCATGGGCTTGTAATTACCAATATGCTGTTCCAGCATCGGTGCATCCACACAACATCATGGATGCATGCCCGGGTCCAAGCAAGAACATCTGCTGGACTACATAGTGACGGACCAGCGTCCCATGTCCTTGACACCCGGACCTACCGTGGAGCTGATCTGCCCTCTGACCATCGACTAGTCATCTGCAAGATGTGCCTGCCATTCTTCCACTCCGGTGGTGGGTGTACACCCAGGACCCCATTTTAACGTAAAGGGGCCTAGTCTCAGCTGATGAAAGTTGCGAGAATTTAATCATTGCTTGCGGCTGGGGTTGGCATCGTCCCCCACTCCTCCTGATGTCGAGGGTATATGGGCGAGGTTTAGGACTGTGACTCATGCAGCTGCAATGGCTGCTATGGGTACGCGGTCCAGACCTCCCCAGAGACCCTGGCTGACAGAGGAGGTGTTCAGGCTAGTTGAGAAAAAGCGACAGGCCCACTGTCATCGGCTACAGAATCCCACGTCAGAGAATGAGGAGGCTTACCGCAGCCTTCGCTCGGAGGTTCGGAGAGCCGTGAGGTGCTGCAAGGATGGGTGGTGGTCGCGGGTTGCTGAGGAGATGGAGTCTGCCTCAGTGGCCCGCAATCACAAATCTCTATTTAACTCCATCAAAAAAGTAACCTGCAGCGCCACACCTATTACCATCATTAGGGGAAAAAAACGGTGATCCAATCTCTGCCCCCCAGGAACAGGTTTGCAGATTTGCTGAGCATTTCTGTGAGGTCCTGGGGGAGGGGAAATCCCTCAGCCAGGAAAACATTGTGGCACAAAGTGGGGATGACCCTGCTGAGGCTGCGGTGCCTCAAATATTGGAAGAAAATTACCCCCTGTGAGTGGCTGGCTGAGGTGCCATCTGTTGAGGAAGTACTGAAGGCGATCCGGAGTCTGAGACCAGGAAAGGCAGCGGGCAGAGATGATCTCCCAAGCGAAATGCTGAGGGAGGGTGGCGTTTGTGCACAGACTGCCCTATATGACATCATAACAACGGTCTGGACCACTGGACGGGTTCCGCATGATTGGAAGGATGCCCTGGTGGTCCCCCTCCTTAAGAAGGGGGACCGCACAGACTGTAACAACTACAGGGGCATCTCACTCCTCAGTGTGCCGGGAAAGGTCCTGGCAAGGATTATTCAGCATCGCCTCGCCAGGCACGCTGAGGAGAGGCTTGCGGAGCCCCAATGCGGTTTCAGGAAAGGGCGGTCCTACACAGATGGCATATTTTCTGTCCGTCTGCTACAGCAGAGGTCTAGGGAATTCCAACAAGACCTACATCTCTGCTTTATTGACCTGGTCAAGGCCTATGATACCATCAGTAGGCCTGGGCTCTGGGTCGTTCTTCGTGCTTTTGGAGTACCTGACCCTCTGCTCACGATCATTAAGGACCTTCATGATGGTGAGCGGGCCCGGGTAAAACTACGTGGCCGGGAGTCAGAGCCATTCCCTGTACACCTTGGGGTGCGACAGGGATGTCCTCTGGCTCCCACATTATTTAACATCTATTTTGACCACGTAGTTCGTGAAGCCTTCAATAGCTGTACCGGGGGAATCTCCATATGGTACAGATATAATGGGAGGCTGATCGATGCCCGGGTGCGGTCAAGGGATGGCTCCCTATTGCTCAACCACGTTATGTATGCTGATGATTTGGTAATAGCTGCTCAGTCAGAAGAGGAGTTGGAGACGCTGCTGCTGAGACTGGAGCGTGCCACTAAGAGGTGGGGCCTTACCGTCAGCCCCACCAAAACTAAGCACCTGCCTGGGTATTTTGTACCATCGGACACTCCACCCCCACAGCTCCCAATCGGTGATGGGGCAGTTGTGGAGAGAGTGGAGAGTTTCCCATACCTGGGCAGTGTGCTTATAACTGGCTCCAGTTTAACAGCAGAGGTCTCACTCCGAATCAGTCGAGCGGCAATATCTTTTCATCGGTTGCGTAACGCTGTGTGGAAGCTACCTGGTCTGTCGCTCCGCACTAAGCTTCAGGTCTTCTCGGCCACGGTCATTCCCTCCCTTCTCTACGCTTGCGAAACGTGGACCCCCCTAATGGAACATCTTCGCCGGTTAGAAACATTTAGGCTGGCCTGCCTACGATCCATCCTGGGTTTAACCAGACTGGATTGTGTGAGGAGCTCACAAATCCTTGAAAGATCTGGGCAAGGTCCCATCGGTGAGCTCCTCCGGCGGGCAAGGCTGCGATGGCTTGGTCATGTAGCCCGCATGCCCAGCCAACGCATGCCGAAACAGCTTTTGTTTGGCCGGATTGAGGGGGCTAAGCGGGCGCGGCACGGGCTAGAGAAGAGATATAGTGATGTGGTACAGGAGGACGTGGAGCTGAGTGGACTTGCCGATGACTGGTACCAGCGGTGTCAAGATCGGCCTCTGTGGAGGAGGCTCGTGAAGGACGCTACTGGGCAGTTGGAGGTAGTCGCCCTCCAACAACAACGGAGGGCGGAGCAGCGACGCTCAGAACAACGAGCGGAGCGCCGGGTGGCTAAAGCACAGCAGGTTGGCACAGCAGGGGGCACAGGTGGTGCATCAACCAGTCATCTTAGTCAGTCGACCCGTGGCACCTGGGTATGCCCCGTGACCTCCTGCCAGCGGGCGTTCGACACTTCACGTGGCCTCAGGGTGCACATAGCCTGGCACAAGCGTCGTTGTGACGTCACCGCCACTTAGTGGCGAATGGCGGTTGTTGTTGTTTGTGTGAATGTTGTAGTGTGTGTGTGTGAATGTTGTACTGTGTGTGTGTGTGAGTGACTGTTGTACTGTGTGTGTGAGTGAATGTTGTACTGTGTGTGTGAATGTTGTGCTGTGTGTGAATGTTGTACTGTGTGTGTGAATGTTGTGCTGTGTGTGTGAATGTTGTTAGTTTGTGTGTGTGTGAATATTGTACTGTGTGTGTGATTGTTGTACTGTGTGAGTGAATGTTGTTCTGTGTGTGTGTGTGAGTGACTGTTGTACTGTTTGTGTGAGTGAATGTTGTACTGTGTGTGTGAATGTTGTACTGTGTGTGTGTGAATGTTGTACTGTGTGTGAATGTTGTAGTGTGTGTGTGTGTGAATGTTGTAGTGTGTGTGAGTGAATGTTATACTGTGTGTGTGAATGTTGTACTGTGTGTGTGAATGTTGTACTGTGTGTGTGATTGTTGTACTGTGTGTGAATGTTGTACTGTGTGTGTGTGAATGTTGTACTGTGTGTGTGAATGTTGTAGTGTGTGTGTGTGAATGTTGTACTGTGTGTGTGTGTTGTACTGTGTGTGTGATTGTTGTACTGTGTGTGACTGTTGTAGTGTGTGTGTGTGTGAATGTTGTACTGTGTGTGTGAATGTTGTTCTGTATGTGTCAATGTTCCCGGCTAGGTGCAGTGCAAGTTGTTTGTTCTGGACGCTGCCGTCCAGTCTTGGGTGGAGAGAGGCCGTGGGAGCCTCCGGCTCAACGACATGGCCTCTCTGGACGATGGGTCTCTACAATCTCGCTTAGGTATACTCACTACCACTACTAACTACTAACACTCACTACTACTCACTACTAACACGACATGGCCTCTCTGGACGATGGGTCTCTACAATCTCGCTTAGGTATACTCACTACCATTACTCACTACTGCTCACTACCACTACTCACTACTAACACGACATGGCCTCTCTGGATGATGGGTCTCTACAATCTCGCTTAGGTATACTCACTACCACTACTCACTACTACTAATCACTACTACTATTCACTACTTACACTCACTGCTACTACTCACTACTAACATGACATGGCCTCTCTGGACGATGGGTCTCTACAATCTCGCTTAGGTATACTCACTACCACTACTCACTACTACTAATCACTACTACTATTCACTACTTACACTCACTGCTACTACTCACTACTAACACTCACTACTACTAATCACTACTACTATTCACTACTTACACTCACTGCTACTACTCACTACTAACACTCACTACTACTAATCACTACTACTATTCACTACTACTACTAACTACTTACACTAACTACTAACACTCACTACTACTCACTACTAACACTCAAACTACTAACACTCACTACTAACACTCACTACTACTACTACTCACTACTAACACTCACTATTCACCACTAGCAGTACTCAGCACTAGTAGTATTCACTACTAACACTTGCTACTCACCACTACTAGTACTCACTAATAGTACACACCACTAGTAGTGCTCACTACTAACACTTGCTACTCACTACTACTAGTGTAGTGTGTTGTATGGAGACGGAGTCTTCTTATTTATTTTACAGTAACACAGAAAGCCCCGAACACTAATGGGTAATGGCCCCTTCTACCCAACACCCTAAGGAGGTAATGCCTCCGGCTAGCGGGACCTGGTCACTGGGACCACCCACTCTGAGTCCTCACACTAGCGGGACCTGGTCACTAGGACCACCCACTCTGAGCCCTCACACTAACGGGACCTGGTCACTGGGACCACCCACTCTGAGTCCTCACACTAACGGGACCTGGTCACTGGGACCACCCACTCTGAGTCCTCACACTAACGTGACCTGGTCACTGGGACCACCCACTCTGAGTCCTCCGGCTAACGTGACCTGGTCACTGGGACCACCCACTCTGAGCCCTCACACTAACGTGACCTGGTCACTGGGACCAACCACTCTGAGTCCTCCGGCTAACGTGACCTGGTCACTGGGACCACCCATTCTGAGCCCTCACACTAGCGGGACCTGGTCACTGGGACCACCCACTCCGAGTCCTCACACTAACGGGACCTGGTCACTGGGACCACCCACTCCAAGTCCTCACACTAACGGGACCTGGTCACTGGGACCACCCACTCTGAGTCCTCCGGCTAACGTGACCTGGTCACTGGGACCACCCATTCTGAGCCCTCACACTAACGGGACCTGGTCACTGGGACCACCCACTCTGAGCCCTCACACTAACGGGACCTGGTCACTGGGACCACCCACTCTGAGTCCTCCGGCTAACGGGACCTGGTCACTGGGACCACCCACTCTGAGCCTACCCTGAGCCCTCCGGCTAGCGGGACCTAGGGGAGGCTGACCCGACCCAGCCAAGGTCCTCGAGTCCCGACCGCTGGCCCACTCAGACCAGGTCCTCAGGGTCCCAGCCTACTGACCGATGGCCTCACTGAGTTCCGGCCCTCAGAAGGACGGCGGAGCTTGGGGTCTTCAGGGTGCTATCCTCAGGCGAGCTCTTGGGTCTTTGGCTTGACGCTCCGCCCCTGGCCACGCCCACTCTCTGGAACCTTCTGGAGGGACCTAGATTGTTGCGCAACCCCCCAGCCCCCCACTGCGGACCTGGGGTGTCCACCTCCGGGTCCTAACCCCGCCCCCCCCAGGTTGCCTGACCCACGAGTCCTGCTTGGTACAGGCCGGACCCCCACTATCGCCCCCTGTTGGACAATGGCTGGAGCTACAAGCTTACAGTGACGGCGTGTGACGCCCGACAATTACCCACCACTACTAATACCACTAGTAGTACTCACCACTACTAATACTCACCACTCACCAGTCCTCCCCCCCGTGCCCCCCAGTGATGCGTACCCAGGGCAGCCTGCGGCTGATCCTCAACACCAAAGTGTGGGCCCACATGCAGCTGGACAAGGCGAGTGAGCGTGGGGTGCGCGTCACAGCCCTCGACGCAGACGAGCAGAGAGTGCGAGTCTTCCTCATCACCGTGAGTGACACACACACAGACACACACACAGACACACACACAGACACACACACAGACACACACACAGACACACACACACAGACACACACACAGACACACATATACAGACACACACAGACACACACACAGACACACACATATACAGACACACACACAGACACACACATATACAGACACACACACAGACACACACAGAGACACAACAACAACCGCCATTCGCCACTAAGTGGCGGTGACGTCACCACGACGCTTGTGCCAGGCTATGTGCACCTTGAGGCCACGTGAAGTGTCGAACGCCCGCTGGCAGGAGGTCACGGGACAGACCCAGGTGCCACGGGTCGACTGACTGAGATGACTGGCTGATGCACCACCTGTGCCCCCTACTGTGCCAACCTGCTGTGCTTTAGCCACCCGGCGCTCCGCTCGTTGTTGTGAGCGTCGCTCCTCCGCCCTCCGTTGTTGTTGGAGGGCGACTGCCTCCAACTGCCCAGTAGCATCCTTCACGAGCCTCCTCCACAGAGGCCGATCTTGACACCGCTGGTACCAGTCATCGGCAAGTCCACTCAGCTCCACGTCCTCCTGTACCACATCACTCCATCTCTTCTCTAGCCCGTGCCGCGCCCGCTTAGCCCCCTCAATCCGGCCAAACAAAAGCTGTTTCGGCATGCGGTGGCTGGGCATGCGAGCTACATGACCCAGCCATCACAGCCTTGCCTGCCGGAGGAGCTCACCGATGGGACCTTGCCCAGATCTTTCAAGGATTTGTGAGCTCCTCACACAATCCAGTCTGGTTAAACCCAGGATGGATCGTAGGCAGGCCAGCCTAAATGTTTCCAACCGGCGAAGATGTTCCATTAGGGGGGTCCACGTTTCGCAAGCGTAGAGAAGGGAGGGAATGACCGTGGCCGAGAAGACCTGAAGCTTAGTGCGGAGCGACAGACCAGGTAGCTTCCACACAGCGTTACGCAACCGATGAAAAGATATTGCCGCTCGACTGATTCGGAGTGAGACCTCTGCTGTTAAACTGGAGCCAGTCATAAGCACACTGCCCAGGTATGGGAAACTCTCCACTCTCTCCACAACTGCCCCATCACCGAATGGGAGTTGTGGGGGTGGAGTGTCCGATGGTACCAAATACCGAGGCAGGTGCTTAGTTTTGGTTGGGCTGATGGTAAGGCCCTACCTCTTAGTGGCACGCTCCAGTCTCAGCAGCAGCGTCTCCAACTGCTCCTCTGACTGAGCAGCTATTACCAAATCATCAGCATACATAACGTGGTTGAGCAATAGGGAGCCATCCCTTTACCGCACCCAGGCATCGATTAGCCTCACATTATATCTGTACCAAATGGAGATTCCCCCGGTACAGCTATTGAAGGCTTCACGAGCTACGTGGTCAAAATAGATGTTAAATAATGTGGGAGCCAGAGGACATCCCTGTCACACCCCACGGTGTACAGGGAATGGCTCTGACTCCTGGCCACGTAGTTTTACCCGGGCCCGCTCACCATCATGAAGGTCCTTAATGATCGTGAGCAAAGGGTCAGGTACTCCAAAAGCACGAAGAATGACCCAGAGCCCAGGCCTACTGATGGTATCATAGGCCTTGACCAGGTCAATAAAGCAGAGATGTAGGTCTTGTTGGAATTCCCTACACCTCTGCTGTAGCAGACGGACAGAAAATATGGCATCTGTGCAGGACCGCCCTTTCCTGAAACCGCATTGGGGCTCCGCAAGCCTCTCCTCAGCGTGCCTGGCAAGGCGATGCTGAATAATCTTTGCCAGGACCTTTCCCGGCACACTGAGGAGTGAGATGCCCCTGTAGTTGTTACAGTCTGTGCGGTCCCCCTTCTTAAAAAGGGGGACCACCAGGGCATCCTTCCAATCCTGCTGAACCCGTCCAGTGGTCCAGACTGTTGTTATGATGTCATTTAGGGCAGTCTGTGCACAAACACCACCCTCCCTCAGCATTTCGCTTGGGAGATCATCTCTGCCCGCTGCCTTTCCTGGTTTCAGACTCCGGATCGCCTTCAATACTTCCTCAACAGATGGCACTTCAGCCAGCCACTCACAGGGGGTGACTTCTTCCAATATTTGAGGCACCGCAGCCTCGGCAGGGTCATCCTCACTTTATGCCACGATGTTTTTCTGGCTGAGGGATTTCCTCTCCCCCAGGACCTCACGGAAATGCTCAGCAAATCTGCAAACCTGTTCCTGGGGGTCGGAGATTGGTGTGGCGCTGCAGGTTACTTTTTTGATGGAGTTAAATAGAGATTTGTGATCGCGGGCCACTGAGGCAGACTCCATCTCCTCAGCAACCCGCGACCACCACCCATCCTTGCAGCGCCTCACGGCTCTCCTAACCTCCGAGCGAAGGCTGTGGTAAGTCTCCTCATTCTCTGACGTGGGATTCTGTAGCTGATGACAGTGGACCTGTCGCTTTCTCTCAACCATCCTGACCACCTCCTCTGTCAGCCAGGGTCTCTGGGGAGGTCTGGACCACGTACCCAAAGCAGCCAATGCAGCTGCATGAGTGGCGGTCCTAAACCTCGCCCATATACCCTCGACATCAGGAGGAGTGGGGGACGATGCCAACCCCAGCCGCGGGCGACGATGAAATTCTCGCTTGCAACTTTCATCAGATAACTGAGACCAGGCCACTTTAGTTTGGAATGGGGTCCTGGGTGTACACCCACCACCAGAGTGGAAGAATGGCAGGCGCATCTTACAGATGACAAGTCGATGGTCAGAGGGCAGATCAGGTCCACGGTAGGTCCTGGTGTCAAGGACATGGGCTCGCATCCGCTGGTCCATCACTATGTAGTCCAGCAGATGTTCTTGCTTGGACCCGGCATGCATCCATGATGTTGTGTGGATGCGCCGATGCCGGAACAGCGTCTTGGTAATTACAAGCCCATGGGCTGCACAAAAACTCTAGCAGCCTCCTACCATTGTTATTGAGCTGATCTGGTCCATGCCCTCCAATCACTCCAGACCAGGTGCCAGCATCATGACCAACTTGGGCATTGAAGTCACCCAACAAGATGACTCTATCCTGAGGGGCCACTTTAGCCAGCACCTGTGACAGGAGGTCATAGAAGGCATCTGACTCATCGGCTTTGCTTGCATCCCTCCGGATGTTCGTCTTCGGTGGGGGCATAAGTAACCACGACCACCATTCCTCGCCTCCAATTGATGGGAAGGCGAGCCCAAAGTAGCCTGGGGGCTTACAGCTTCCCACACCTCACCGCCACGTTCCTACACCCCCTTCATTCTTTTGTTCAAAAGAAGAGCCACACCCTGTTGTTTGGCAGTCTGCTGCCCCGAGTAGAGGACTGTCCACCCCTCATGGTGGCAGGAGCCAGAACTGGTCCACCGGACCTTCTGAATGCCACAGAGATCCAGGCGGTACCGGTCCAGCTCCCGACAGAGGAGTGGCAGCCTCTCCTCCGCAGTGAGCGTTCGAACATTGCACGTGGCCACACGAAGTGGCTTTTCGTTGTTTCTGGAGGAGCCCCGAGGGTAGAGATTCAATCTCCTGGCTCCGCCAATTGGGGTTTGGCCAGGAGACGTCATAGACGCCTGTCCCCCCGGGGCCTCCGGCACAAGCTTATTAGTTTGATATTTTAGATGTGGTTTAGTGGTAAATTTTTGAAGGTGGAGGGGTTACCAGCCCCTCTTACCCGTCCAGAGCCTCCGTTTAGCCCCTGTGGTGGTCACAGACACAATGAGGGGAGGAGCCAATCGAAATTGGCCCTCCCCCCCACAGCACTGTCCACGACAGAGTTGCCCGTCCGGCACCGCGAGGAGGTAGGGGGTTATTTTGCCGGACGGACACACACCTACAGACACACACCTACAGACACACACCTACACACACCTACAGACACACACCTACAGACACACACCTACAGACACACACCTACAGACACACACAGACACACACCTACAGACACACACCTACAGACACACACCTACAGACACACACCTACAGACACACACCTACACACACCTACAGACACACACCTACAGACACACACCTACACACACCTACAGACACACACCTACAGACACACACCTACAGACACACAGACACACACACACAGACACACACCTACAGACACACACCTACAGACACACACACACAGACACACGCACAGAGACACACACACAGACACACGCACAGAGACACACACACAGACACACACACACAGACACACGCACAGAGACACAGGGGAGCGAGCGTGGGGTGCGCGTGACAGCCCTCGACGCAGATGAGCAGAGAGTGCAGAGTCTTCCTTATCACCGTCTCCCCCCCCCCGCCCCGTGTCTCCCCCCTCCCCCCCCGTGTATCCCCCCCCGTGTCTCCCCCCCCGTGTCTCCCCCCCCCCCCGTGTCTCTCCCCCCCGTGTCTCCCCCCCTCCCCCCCCCCGTGTCTCCCCCCCCCCCCGTGTCTCCCCCCCTCGTGTCTCCCCCCCCCCCGTGTCTCCCCCCCCCCCCGTGTCTCCCGCGTGTCCCAGGCCAGCCTGAAAGACACGGGACAGCTGTTTGCAGCGCTCCATCACCGCATCCTGGCGCTGCGCAACAGAGACACGGAGACAGACGCAGCAACGACCACCACAACCACCACAACCTCCACAACCACCACCACCACAGGTACGCAGCCACCACCACCACGATCACCACAGCCTGCACGACCACCACAACCACCACAACCACCACAACCACCACAACTACCACCACCACAGGTCCGCAGCCACCACCACCACCACCACCACGACCACCACAACCACCACAACCTCCACAACCACCACAACCACCACAACTACCACCACAGTTCCGCAGCCACCACCACCACGACCACCACAACCACCACAACCTCCACAACCACCACCACCACAGTTCCGCAGCCACCACCACCACGATCACCACAACCTGCACAACCACCACAACTACCACCACCACAACCACCACAGGTACGCAACCACCACCACCACCACAACCTCCACAACCACCACCACAACCACCACCACAACCACCAGCAAAACCACCACAGGTACGCAACCACCACCACCACAACCACCACCACAACCACCACCATAACCACCACCACAACGCCTCAGTATGGTGATGGTGGTAATGAGATGATGGTGGTGATGGTGCTGTGATGATGGTGGTGATTGTGCTATAGTAATGATGATGTTGGTGGTATGATGATGGTGGTGATGATGGTAATGATGGTGGTCGTGATGGTGATGATGGTAGTGATGGTGATGATCTTTCTTTGTTTAGGGGCTGAAGAACAGAAGCAGCCTTCAGCTCCATAGAACCACTCACCACTCACTCACCACTCACTCACCACTCACTCACCACTCACTCACCACTCACCACTCACTCACCATTCACTCACCACTCACCACACACTCACCACTCACTCACTCACTCACCACTCACTCACCACACACTCACCACTCACTCACTCACCACTCACCACACACTCACCACTCACTCACTCACCACTCACTCACCACTCACTCACCACTCACTCACCACTCACTCACCACTCACTCACCATACACCACTCAACATTCACTCACCACACACTCACTCACCACTCACTCACACACTCACCACACACTCACCACACACTCACTCACCACTCACACACTCACCACACACTCACCACACACTCACCACACACTCACCAATCCCCGTGGCTTCTTATGATCATTGTTCCGTGTTAGTCCAGCCCAGAGAGTTAGCGTGAGTGTCAGCGTCAGTGTGTCGCTGTGAGTGTCACTGTGTGTCACTGTGTCATTGTGTGTGTCACTGTGTGTGTCACTGTGTCAGAGTGAGTGTCAGCATCAGTGTCTCGCTGTGAGTGTCACTGTGTGTGTCACTGTGTCAGAGTGAGTATCAGTGTGTCAGTGAGTATCATTGTGTCACTGTGAGTGTCACTGTGTCACTGTGTCAGAGTGAGTGTCAGTGTGTCACTGTGTGTGTCACTGTGAGTGTCACTGTGTCAGAGTGAGTATCAGTGTGTCACTGTGTGTGTCACTGTGTCAGAGTGAGTGTCAGTGTGTCACTGTGTGTCACTGTGAGTGTCACTGTGTCAGAGTGAGTGTCAGTGTCAGTGTGTCACTGTGAGTGTCACTGTGTGTGTCACTGTTTCAGAGTGAGTGTCAGTGTGTCACTGTGTGTGTCACTGAGTGTCACTGTGTCAGAGTGAGTATCAGTGTGTCACCGTGTCATTGTGTGTGTCACTGTGTGTCACTGTGTCATTGTGTGTGTCACTGTGTCATTGTGTGTGTCACTGTGTGTGTCGCTGTGTCAGAGTGAGTATCAGTGTGTCACTGTCATTGTGTGTGTCACTGTGTGTGTCACTGTGTCAGAGTGAGTGTCAGTGTCAGTGTGTCACTGTCTAGAGTGAGTATCAGTGTGTCACTGTGTGTGTCACTGTGTGTGTCACTGTCAGAGTGAGTGTCAGTGTGTCACCGTGTGTGTCACTGTGTGTGTCACTGTCAGAGTGGGTGTCACTGTCAGTGTGTCACTGTGTCAGTGTGAGTGTCACTGTGTCACTGTGTGTGTCGCTGTGTCAGTGTGAGTGTCAGTGTGTCACTGTGTCAGTGTGTCAGAGTGAGTGTGTCACTGTCAGTGTGTCACTGTGTGTGTCAGTGTGTGTGTGTGTATCTGTGTGTGTCTGTGTGTTTGTGATGTGTGTGTGATGTGTGTGTCTGTGTGTGTATCTGTGTGTGCATCTGTGTGTGTGTGCATCTGTGTGTGTGTGCATCTGTGTGTGTATCTGTGTGTGTCTGTGTGTGACTATGATGGAGGGTAATGTAGGGGCGGGGCTAGGGGGGTGTAGGGGCGGGGCTAGGGGGGTGTAGGGGAGGGGCTAGGGGGGTGGTTCTCTGTTGCTTTTGAATCCGGTTCAATAAAAGTTGGTTGACGAAAAATAGTGAGGAGGTTCACTAATCCCCATCTGTTCCATCTCACGCTGATAGCAAAGCGTGTGGACTAATCCCCATCTGTTCTATCTCACGCTGACTCCACAGCGAGTGGACTAATCCCCATCTGTTCCATCTCACGCTGACACCACAGCGAGTGGACTAATCCCCATCTGTTCCATCTCACGCTGACACCACAGCGTGTGGACTAATCCCCATCTGTTCCATCTCACGCTGACACCACAGCGAGTGGACTAATCCCCATCTGTTCCATCTCACGCTGACATCACAGCGTGAGGACTAATCCCCATCTGTTCTATCTCACGCTGACTCCACAGCGAGTGGACTAATCCCCATCTGTTCCATCTCACGCTGACATCACAGCGTGAGGACTAATCCCCATCTGTTCCATCTCACGCTGACTCCACAGCGAGTGGACTAATCCCCATCTGTTCTATCTCACGCTGACATCACAGCGTGTGGACTAATCCCCATCTGTTCCATCTCACGCTGACTCCACAGCGAGTGGACTAATCCCCATCTGTTCCATCTCACGCTGACACCACAGCGTGTGGACTAATCCCCAGCTGATACCCACGACCTCCTGCGTACCAGGCGAGGTAGTCAACATCTCCGAAACAAGAGTCATGCAGTCAGAGTCTTCCTGGTTTCAAGGAAATTTTAATAGGGGTTGGTGGATCAGTAGGGGAAGTGGTGTAGGGGTTGGTGGATCAGTAGGGGAGGTGGTTTAGGGGTTGGTGGATCAGTAGGGGAGGTGGTGGTGGGGTTGGTGAATCAGTAGGGGAGGTGATTTAGGGGTTGGTGGATCAGTAGGGGAGGTGGTGTAGGGGTTGGTGGATCAGTAGGGGAGGTGGTGTAGGGGTTGGTGGATCAGTAGGGGAGGTGGTGGTGTTGGGGTTGGTGGATCAGAGCATGATCGGTAGCAGGGGTTGGTGGATCAGTAGGGGAGGTGGTTTAGGGGTTGGTGGATCAGTAGGGGAGGTAGTGGTTTAGGGGTTGGTGGATCAGTAGGGGAGGTGGTTTAAGGGTTGGTGAATCAGTAGGGGAGGTGGTGGTGTTGGGGTTGGTGGATCAGTAGGGGAGGTAGTGGTTTAGGGGTTGGTGGATCAGTAGGGGAGGTGGTTTAGGGGTTGGTGGATCAGTAGGGGAGGTAGTGGTTTAGGGGTTGGTGGATCAGTAGGGGAGGTGGTTTAGGGGTTGGTGGATCAGTAGGGGAGGTAGTGGTTTAGGGGTTGGTGGATCAGTAGGGGAGGTGGTTTAAGGGTTGATGGATCAGTAGGGGAGGTAGTGGTTTAGGGGTTGGTGGATCAGTAGGGGAGGTGGTTTAAGGGTTGATGGATCAGTAGGGGAGGTAGTGGTTTAGGGGTTGGTGGATCAGTAGGGGAGGTAGTGGTTTAGGGGTTGGTGGATCAGTAGGGGAGGTGGTTTAAGGGTTGATGGATCAGTAGGGGAGGTAGTGGTTTAGGGGTTGGTGGATCAGTAGGGGAGGTAGTGGTTTAGGGGTTGGTGGATCAGTTGGGGAGGTGGTTTAAGGGTTGATGGATCAGTAGGGGAGGTAGTGGTTTAGGGGTTGGTGGATCAGTAGGGGAGGTGGTTTAAGGGTTGATGGATCAGTAGGGGAGGTAGTGCTTTAGGGGTTGGTGGATCAGTGGAGGACGTTGTAGGTGATGCCGTTTGGCTTGAGATCCACGCTGAGTGTGCACAGTCCCAGGGCGTCGCGACGTCCGGGCAGCGTGACGTAGACGAAGGAGCCCACCATGGGGTGGGGGCACTCGAAGTCTCGGAACTCGCCCGGGGGAACGAAGATGTCCCAGGCGCACCTGCAGGTGACACGCAACGTCGGTACGACGTCGGCACAACGTCCAAGGGGACCTCCACTCACAGTCGCTCACCCACCGACCACCGACTCACAGCGGGTTCCACGCCCCGCTCCTGACCTCCCGAGCTGCCCACGCGAATCTCCGCCCCGTAGATTCACCAACCTAACCACTCGGTCACCCACTCACTCACTCACCCACTTACCCCCCTACCCACCCACTCACCCACTCACTCACCCACTTACCCCCCTACCCACCCACTCACCCACTCACTCACCCACTCACTCACCCACTTACCCCCCTACCCACCCACTCACTCACCCACTTACCCCCCTACCCACCCACTCACCCACTTACCCCCCTACCCACCCACTCACTCACCCACCCACTCACTCACCCACTTACCCCCCTACCCACCCACTCACCCACTCACTCACCCACTTACCCCCCTACCCACCCACTCACCCACTCACTCACCCACTCACTCACCCACTTACCCCCCTACCCACCCACTCACTCACCCACTTACCCCCCTACCCACCCACTCACCCACTTACCCCCCTACCCACCCACTCACTCACCCACCCACTCACTCACCCACTTACCCCCCTACCCACCCACTCACCCACTCACTCACCCACTTACCCCCCTACCCACCCACTCACCCACTCACTCACCCACTCACTCACCCACTTACCCCCCTACCCACCCACTCACTCACCCACTTACCCCCCTACCCACCCACTCACCCACTTACCCCCCTACCCACCCACTCACTCACCCACCCACTCACTCACCCACTTACCCCCCTACCCACCCACTCACCCACTCACCCACTCACTCACCCACTTACCCCCCTACCCACCCACTCACTCACCCACTTACCCCCTACCCACCCACCCACTCACCCACTTACCCCCCTACCCACCCACTCACCCACTCACTCACTCACCCACCCACTCACTCACCCACTTACCCCCCTACCCACCCACTCACTCACTCACTCACCCACTTACCCCCCTACCCACCCACTCACCTACTCACCCACTCAATCACCCACCCACCCACTTAGTCACCCACTCACCTGCTCACCTATTCACTCACCCACTCACCCACCCACTCACTCAGTCACCCACTCACCCCCCTACCCACCCACTCACCTACTTACTCACCCACTCAATCACCCAGGTACTCACCCACTCACTCACCCACTCACCTACTCAACCACTCACCCACTCACTGACACACTCACCGACACACTCACCTACTCACCCACCCACTCACCCCACCCTGACCCACCACCCCCACCACCGACTCACAGCGGGTTCAAGGCTCCGCCCCCGACCTCCGAGCTGCCCACGCGAATCTCCGCCCCGTAGATTCACCAACCTAACCACTCGGTCACCCACCCACTCACTCACCCACTTACCCCCCTACCCACCCACTCACCCACTCACTTACCCACTTACCCCCCTACCCACCCACTCACCTACTTACCCCCCTACCCACCCACTCACCCACTCACCCACTCACTAACCCACTCACTCACCCACTCACTCACCCACTTACCCACCTACCCACCTACTCACCTACTCACCCACTCAATCACCCATGCACTCACCCACTCACTCACCCACCCACCCACTTAGTCACCCACTCACCTGCTCACCTATTCACTCACCCGCTCACCTACTCAACCACTCACCCACTCACTCACCCACTTACCCACCTACCCACCTACTCACCTACTCACCCACTCAATCACCCATGCACTCACCCACTCACTCACCCACCCACCCACTTAGTCACCCACTCACCTGCTCACCTATTCACTCACCCGCTCACCTACTCAACCACTCACCCACTCACTTACTCACCCACTCACTGACACACTCACCGACACACTCACCTACTCACTCATCCACTCACCCCACCCTGACCCACCACCCCCACCACCGACTCACAGCGGGTTCAAGGCTCCGCCCCCGACCTCCGAGCTGCCCACGCGAATCTCCGCCCCGTAGAGCCGCAGCCCCTGGGGATCGCCGCGGTTCGCGATGCCCACGTGGACGATGACGTAGGCGCGGTCGAGTGCGAGGCGGAGCCACGGCGCCCACTCCTCGCGCGTCTGCGCGCAGGAGCCGGAGCAGAAGTCGCCCCCCCTCCTCCCCCCCTCGCTCCAACCCCCGCCGCTCAACGGCGATGGCAGCGGAGGCGTCGCCCCGCCCACGAATCCGCCCCACGCCACCGAATCGGCCGTCTCGAAAACGCCGCCGACGCTGCCGTTGCTGCCGTAGACGCTCGACTGCTGAACGCTGCCGTAGACGATCACGGCTGGGGGAGGGGGTGAGGGGGGTTCGGTGAGTGGGTGGGTGGGTGAGTGAGTGGGTGGGTGAGTGAGTGAGTGGGTGAGTGAGTGGGTGAGTGGGTGGGTGAGTGGGTGGGTGAGTGAGTGGGTGGGTGAGTGAGTGGGTGAGTGAGTGAGTGGGTGAGTGGGTGGGTGAGTGGGTGAGTGGATGGGTGAGTGGGTGAGTGAGTGAGTGGGTGAGTGAGTGGGTGAGTGAGTTGGTGAATGAGTGGGTGGGTGGGTGAGTGGGTGGGTGAGTGGGTGGGTGAGTGAGTGAGTGGGTGGGTGAGTGGGTGGGTGAGTGAGTGAGTGGGTGAGTGGGTGGGTGAGTGAGTGGATGGGTGAGAGAGTGGGTGGGTGAGTGAGTTGGTGAGTGAGTGAGTGGGTGGGTGAGTGGGTGGGTGAGAGAGTGGGTGAGTGAGTGAGTGGGTGGGTGAGAGAGTGGGTGAGTGAGTGGGTGAGTGGGTGGGTGGGTGAGAGGGTGGCTGAGTGGGTGGGTGAGTGGGTGGGTGAGTGAGTGGGTGAGTGGGTGGGTGGGTGAGAGGGTGGCTGAGTGGGTGGGTGAGTGGGTGGGTGAGTGAGTGGGTGAGTGAGTGGGTGAGTGGGTGGGTGGGTGAGAGGGTGGCTGAGTGGGTGGGTGAGAGAGTGGGTGAGTGAGTGGGTGGGTGAGAGAGTGGGTGAGTGGGTGGGTGAGTGAGTGGGTGGGTGAGAGTGTGGGTGGGTGAGTGGGTGGGTGAGAGAGTGGCTGAGTGGGTGGGTGAGTGAGTGGGTGGGTGAGAGAGTGGGTGGGTGAGTGAGTGAGTGGGTGAGTGGGTGAGTGAGTTGGTGAATGGGTGGGTGGGTGAGTGGGTGGGTGGGTGAGTGAGTGGGTGGGTGGGTGAGTGGATGGGTGAGTGGGTGAGTGAGTGAGTGGGTGAGTGAGTGGGTGAGTGAGTTGGTGAATGAGTGGGTGGGTGGGTGAGTGGGTGGGTGAGTGGGTGGGTGAGTGAGTGAGTGGGTGGGTGAGTGGGTGGGTGAGTGAGTGAGTGGGTGGGTGAGTGGGTGGGTGAGTGAGTGGATGGGTGAGAGAGTGGGTGGGTGAGTGAGTTGGTGAGTGAGTGAGTGGGTGGGTGAGTGGGTGGGTGAGTGGGTGGGTGAGTGGGTGGGTGAGTGAGTGGATGGATGAGGGAGTGGGTGGGTGAGTGGGTGAGTGAGTGGATGGATGAGGGGGTGGGTGAGTGGGTGGGTGAGTGAGTGAGTGAGTGGGTGAGTGAGTGGGTGGGTGGGTGAGTGAGTGAGTGGGTGAGTGAGTTGGTGAATGGGTGGGTGGGTGAGTGAGTGGGTGGGTGAGTGGGTGGGTGGGTGAGAGAGTGGGTGGGTGAGAGAGTGGGTGAGTGGGTGGGTGAGAGAGTGGGTGGGTGAGTGAGTGGGTGGGTGAGTGATGGAGTGGGTGATTGAGTGGGTGAGTGAGTTGGTGAATGAGTGGGTGGGTGAGTCAGTGGGTGGGTGAGAGAGTGGGTGGGTGAGTGAGTTGGTGAGTGAGTGGGTGGGCGAGTGGGTGGGTGAGTGAATGGATGGATGAGGGAGTGGGTGAGTGAGTGGGTGGGTGAGTGAGTCAGTGGGTGGGTGAGAGAGTGGGTGGGTGAGTGAGTGGGTGGGCGAGTGGGTGGGTGAGTGAATGGATGGATGAGGGAGTGGGTGAGTGAGTGGGTGGGTGAGTGAGTGAGTGGGTGGGTGGGTGAGTGGGTGGGTGAGTGAGTGGATGGGTGAGTGAGTGAGTGGGTGAGTGAGTGAGTGGGTGAGTGATTAGGTGGGTGAGTGGGTGGGTGAGTGAGTGGGTGGGTGATTGAGTGAGTTGGTGAGTGGGTGAGTGGGTGGGTGAGTGGGTGGGTGATTGAGTGATTTCAATGGGTGGGTGGGTGAGTGTATAGTGTAGTGTGTTGTGTCATGTATAGTGTAGTATATCGTGTAGTGTATAGTGTAGTGTAGTCATAGCCAGGCCGCGTACTCTCATTGGGGGCAAGCGGCACGCTGGAGACCTGCACCTCACACAGCTGCATGTACGTGTACGTATTCACGTGCTGCACGAAGTGCACGTAGCTCGCCACGGCGCCGCTGCACACGAATGTCCCCACCGTCACCACCTTGGCGATGCTCAGATTTTGGCAGCTGTGATGCACAACAACAAAACAACAACACACACAACAACTGGCATTCGTTACTAAGTGTCGGCCAGTCACCCACTCACCCCCCACCCACCCCTCACCCCCTCACCCACCCACACTCACCCACCCACTCACCCAGCCACTCACCCACCCACTCACTCAGCCACTCACCCAGCTACTCACCCAGCCACTCAACCAGCCACTCACCCACCCACTCACCCACCCACTCACCCAGCCACTCACCCAGCCACTCAACCAGCCACTCACCCCCCACCCACCCCTCACCCACCCACACTCACCCAGCCACTCACCCAGCCACTCACCCAGCCACTCACCCAGCCACTCACCCAGCCACTCACCCAGCCACTCACCTAGCCACTCACCTAGCCACTCACCCAGCCACTCACCCAGCCACTCACCTAGCCACTCACCCACCCACTCACCCAGCCACTCACCCAGCCACTCACACAGTCGCTCACACAGTCACTCAACAACAACAGCAATTCACCACAAAGTGGCGGTGACGTCACCACGGCGCTCGTGCCAGGCGAGGTGCACGTTGAGGCCACGTGACGTTTCGAACTCCCGCTGGCACGAGGCCACGGGACAGACCCTGCAGGTGCCACGGGTCGACTGACTGAGACGACTGGCTGGTGTACCACCTGTGCCCCCTACTGTACCAACTTGCTGTGTTTTAGCCACCCGGCGCTTCGCTCGTTGTTGTGAGCGTCGCTCCTCCACCCTCCGTTGTTGTTGGAGGGCGACTGCCTCCAACTGCCCAGTAGCGTCCTTCACGAGCCTCCTCCACAGAGGCCGATCTTGACACCGCTGGTACCAGTCATCGGCAAGTCCACTCAGCTCCACATCTTCTTGTACCACATCACTCCATCTCCTCTCTAGCCCATGCCGTGCCCGTCTATCCCTCTCTATCCGGCCAAACAAAAGCTGTTTAGGCATGCAGTGCCTGGGCATGCGAGCCAACGCAGCCTTGCCTGTCAGAGGAACTCACCAATGGGACTTTGTCCAGATTTTTCGAGGATTTGTGAGCTTACATAATCCAGCATGATTAAACCCAGGATGGATCGTAGGCAGGCCAGCCTCTGTTTCTAACCGGCGAAAATGTTCCATTAGAGGGGTCCACATTTCGTAAGTGTAGAGAGGTGAGGGCATGACTGTGGCCAAGAAGACCTGAAGCTTCGTGTGGAGTGACAGACCAGGTAGCTTCGACACAGCGTTATGCAACTGAATATAATGCTGCTCGACTGATTCGAAGTGGGACCTCTGCTGTCCAACCGGAGCCGGTCATGAGCACACTGGCCAGGTATGGGAAATTCTCCACTCTCTTCACAACTGGCCCATCACAAATTCAGAGTTATAGGAGTTGAGTGTCCGATGGTACAAAATACCCAAGCAGGTCCTTAGTTTTGGTGGGGCTGATGGTAAGGCCCCACTTCTTAGTGGCATGCTCCAAGTTCAGCAGCAGCGCCTCTAACTCCTCCTCTGAGTGAGCAGCAATCGCCAGATCATCGGCATACATTACATTGTTGAGCAATCGGGAGCCATCCCTGGCGCGCACCCGGGCATCGATCAGTCTCCCGTTGTATTTGTACCAGATGGAAATGCCTCCAGGACAGCCATCGAAGGCTTCATGAACTACGTGGACGAAAAATATGTTAATTAATGTGGGAACCAGAGGACATCCCTGTCGCACCCCAAGGTGAACAGGGAACGGCTCCGACTCCTGGCCATGTAGCTTTACCCGGGCTCGCTCATGATCATGAAGGCCTTTAATTATTGTGAGCAGAGTGTCAGGAACTCTGAAAGCACGGAGAACAACCCAGAGCCCAGGCCTACTGATGGTATCATAGACATTGACCAGGTCAATAAAGCAGAGATGTCGGTCCCGTTGGAATTCCGTAAACCTCTGCCATAGCAAATGGACGGAGATTATGGCATCTGTGCAAGACCACTCTTGGCTGAAATCGCATTGGGGCTCAGCAAGCCTGTCCTCAGCGTGCCTGGCAAGACAATGTTGAATAATCCTTGCCACGACCTTCCCGGCACACTGAGGAGTGAGATGCCCCAGTAGTCGTTACAGTCTGTGCGGGCCCCCTTCTCAATAAAGGGGAGCACCAGGGCATCCTTCCATTACTGCAGAACCCATCCAGTGGTCCAGACTTATTATGATGTCATGTAGGGCAGTCTGTGCACAAACGCAACCCTCCCTCAGCATTTTGCTTGGGAGATCATCTCTACCTGGCGCTTTTCCTGGTCTCAAACTCCAGATCGCCTTCAGTACTTCCTCAAGAGACGGCACCTCAACCAACCACTCACAGGGGAGTGACTTCTTCTTACAATATTTGAGGCACCGCAGCCTCAGCAGGATCATCCCCACTTTGCCCCATGATGTTTTCCAGGCTGATAAATTTCCCCTCCCCCAAGACCTCACAGAAATGCTCAGCAAATCTGCAAACCTGTTCCTGGGGGTCGGAGATTGGATCACCGTTCTTTCCCCTAATGATGGTAATAGGTGCGGTGCTGCAGGTTACTTTTTTGATGGAGTTAAATAGAGATTTGTGATTGCAGGCCACTGAGGCAGACTCCATCTCAGCAAACCGCGTCCACCACCCATCCTTGTAGTGCCTCACGGCTCTCCGAACCTCCGAGTGAAGGCTGTGGTAAGCCTCCTCATTCTCTGACGTGGGATGCTGTAGACGATGAGAGTGGATCTGTCGCTTTTTCTCAGCCAGACTGAACACCTCCTCGGTCAGCCAGGATCTCTGGGGAGGGTTGGACTGTGCATCCAAAGCATTCAATGCAGCTGCATGAGCCACAGTCATAAACCTCACCTATTTCCTCTCAGCATCACGAGGAGTGAAGACGATGCCAACACCAGCTGCATGCGATGATGAAATTCTCGCTTGCAACTTTCATCAGCTAGCTGAGACCAGGCCACTGTGGGTTTGAATGGAGTCCTGGGTGTACACCCACCACCGGAGTGGAAGAATAGCAGGCGCATCTTACAGATGACAAGTCGATGGTCAGAGGGCAGATCAGCTCTATGGTAGGTTCTGGTTTCAAGGACATGGGCCCGCATCCGCTGTTCCGTCACTATGTAGTTCAGCAGATGTTCTTCCTTGGATCCAGGATGCATCCATGATGTTGTTTGGATGCGCCGATGCTGGAACAGCTTGTTGGTAATTACAAGCCCATGGACTGCACAAAAATCTATCAGCCTCCTACCGTTGTTATTGAGCTGATCTGGCCCATGCCTTACAATCATTCAAGACCAGGTGCCAGCATCATGGCCAACTCGGGCATTGAAGTCACCCAACATGATGACTCTATCCCGAGGGGCCACTTTAGCCAGCACCTGTGACAGGAGGTCACAGAAGGCATTTAATCGGCCTTGCCTGCATCCCTCCACTGATATTCGTCTTCAGCAGGGGCATAAAGAACCACCACTACCACTCCTCTCCTCCCGTTGATGGGAAGGCGAGCCCAAAATGGCCTTGGGCTTCCAGCTTCCCACACCTCCCCGCCACGCTCCCAAGCCCCCTTAATTATTTTGTTCAGAAGAAGAGCCACTCCCTGTTGTTTGGCAGTCTGCTGCCCCGAGTAGAGGACTGTCCACCCCTCATGGTGACTGGAGCCAGAGCCAGTCCACCGGACCTCCTGAACGCCGCAGAGATCCAGGCGGTACCAGTCCAGCTCCCGACAGAGGAGTGGGCAGCCTCTCCTCCGCAGCGAGCGTTCGAACATTCCTCGTGGCCACTCGCGATGGCTTTGTGCCATTTCTGGAGGAGCCCCGAGGTTAAGGATTCAGTCTCCTGACTCCACCAAATGGGGTTTGGGCAGGAGACGCCATGGACGCCTGTCCCCCCGGGGCCTCCGGCACAAGATTAGTTAAAATGTATTTCCACGTAGTTTAGTGTTAGTTAGGTTGAAGGTGGAGGGGTTACCAGCCCCTCGCACCCATCCAGAGCCCCCATTTGGCCGCTGTGGTGGCTACAAGCGCCGTGAGGGAGGATGGCCGATTGGAATCTGCCTTCCCCCCCCCCATGGCACTACTCACCACAGTGTTACATTCACGCACTCACCCACTCACCCACATCACCCACATCACCCACCAAACCTCCCTCCCCCCCCCCCCCCCACCCTGGGAAACCCCAACTCACAATTGGTTCTGGGGCGAATCGGCGTCGCTCGAGTTGCCCAAGAAGAGTCGCGCCGTGTCCATGAACGGGAACGGGCTGAATATGCCGAAGGTCACCGTGACCGCGTGCACGGCGACGGCGCGTGCCAGGTGCAGACTCCACCACGAGTCGAGCGCCAGGTTCGTGCTGCTGCAGTAGTAGCCGTACATTTGCGTGTCGCCGTCCACGGCCATGCTGGCGGAGCGCCACGGCGCGTAGGTGCTGGACTGGGTCGCGGTGCCACCCAGCGCTTCGTTGTGGCCTGGGGTGGGTGGTGAGTGGGGGGTGAGTGAGTGGGTGGGTGGGGAGAGACGGGGGGTCAGAAACTCACCCACCCACGCACCCACCAACCCACTCATCCACTCACCCACCCACTCACCCACCCACTCACCCACCCACTCACCTACTCACCCACCAACTCACCCACCCAACCACTCACTCACCCACTCACCCACCCACCCACTCACTCACCCACCCACCCACCCCTGCTGTACTCACGGATTGTGGTGTATGACTCTGATCCGGGAGCCTGGTAGAGCGTTGCCCAGATCAGCATCAGCAGCCTCCACAGAGTCTCCCTGTGAAGGGAATAACACACACAGATACACACAGATACATACACACAGATATACACACACAGATACACACACGCAGATACACACACAGATACAACAACAACCGCCATTCGCCACTAAGTGGCGGTGACGTCACCACGACGCTTGTGCCAGGCCATGTGCACCTTGAGGCCACGTGAAGTGTCGAACGCCCGCTGGCAGGAGGTCACGGGGCAGACCCAAGTACCACGGGTTGACTGACTGAGATGACTGGCTGATGCACCATCTGTGCCCCCTACTGTGCCAACCTGCTGTGCTTTAGCCACCCGGCGCTCCGCTCGTTGTTGTGAGCGTCGCTCCTCCGCCCTCCGTTGTTGTTGGAGGGCGACTGCCTCCAACTGCCCAGTAGCATCCTTCACGAGCCTCCTCCACAGAGGCCGATCTTGACACTGCTGGTACCAGTCATCGGCAAGTCCACTCAGCTCCACGTCCTCCTGTACCACATCACTCCATCTCTTCTCTAGCCCGTGCCGTGCCCGTTTAGCCCCCTCGATCTGGCCGAACAAAAGCTGTTTCGGCATGCGGTGGCTGGACATGCGGGCTACATGACCCAGCCAACGCAGCCTTGCCTGCCGGAGGAGCTCACCGATGGCATCTTGCCCAGATCTTTCCAGGATTTGTGAGCTCCTCACACAATCCAGTCTGGTTAAACCCAGGATGAATCGTAGGCAGGCTAGCCTAAATGTTTCTAACCGGCGAAGATGTTCCATTAGGGGGGTCCATGTTTCGCAAGCATAGAGAAGGGAGGGAATGACCGTGGCCGAGAAGACCTGAAGCTTAGTGCGGAGCGACAGACCAGGTAGCTTCCACACAGCGTTACGCAACCGATGAAAAGATATTGCCGCTCGACTGATTCGGAGTGAGACCTCTGCTGTTAAACTGGAGCCGGTCATAAGCACACTGCCTAGTTATGGGAAACTCTCCACTCTCTCCACAACTGCCCCATCACCGATTGGGAGTTGTAGGAGTTGAGTTTCCAATGGTACAAAATACCCAAGCAGGTCCTTAGTTTTGGTGGAGCTGATGGTAAGGCCCCATCTCTTAGTGGCACGCTCCAGTCTCAGCAGCAGCGTCTCCAACTCCTCCTCTGAATGAGCAGCTATTACCAAATCATCGGCATACATAACGTGGTTGAGCAACAGGGAGCCATCCCTCGATCAGCCTCCCATTATATCTGTACTAAATGGAGATTCCCCCGGTACAGCTATTGAAGGCTTCACAAACTACGTGGTGAAAATAGATGTTAAATAATGTGGGAGCCAGAGGACATCCCTGTCGCACCCCAAGGTGTACAGGGAATGGCTCTGACTCCTGGCCACGTAGTTTTACCTGGGCCCGCTCACTATCATGAAGGTCCTTAATGATGGTGAGCAGAGGGTCAGGGACTCCAAAAGCACGACGAACAACCCAGAGCCCAGGCCTACTGGGTAGGTCTTGCTGGAATTCCCCACACCTCTGCTGTAGCAGATGGACAGAAAATATGACATCTGTGCAGGGCCGCCCTTTCCTGAAACCGCATTGGGGCTCTGCAAGCCTCTCCTCAGCGTGCCTGGCAAGGCGATGTTGAATAATCCTTGCCATAACCTTTCCCGGCACACTGAGGAGTGAGATGCCCCTGTAGTTGTTACAGTTTGTGCGGTCCCCCTTTTTTAAAGAGGGGGACCATCAGGGCATCCTTCCAATCCTGCGGAACCCGTCCAGTGGTCCAGACTGTTGTTATTATGTCAGATAGGGCAGTCTGTGCACAAACGCCACCCTCCCTCAGCATTTCGCTTTGGAGATTATCGCTGCCCGGTGCCTTTCCTGGTCTCAGACTCCGGATCGCCTTCAGCACTTCCTCAACAGATGGCACCTCAGCCAGCCACTCACAGGGGGTGACTTCTTCTTCCAATAATTGAGGCACCGCAGCCTCAGCAGGGTCATCCCCACTTTATGCCACGATGTTTTCCTGGCTGAAGGATTTCTCCTCACCCAGGACCTCACAGAAATGCTCAGCAAATCTGCAAACCTGTTGCTGGGGGTCGGAGATTGGATCACCGTTTTTCCCCCTAATGATGGTAATAGGTGCGCCGCTGCAGGTTACTATTTTGATGGAGTTAAATAGAGATTTGTGATTGCGGGCCACTGAGGCAGACTCCATCTCCTCAGCAACTCGCGACCACCACCCATCCTTGCAGCGCCTCATGGCTCTCCGAACCTCCGAGCGAAGGCTGCGGTAAGCCTCCTCATTCTCTGACGTGGGATTCTGTAGCCGATGACAGTGGGCCTGTCGGTTTTTCTCAACCATCCTGAACACCTCCTCTGTCAGCCAGGGTCTCTGGGGAGGTCTGGACCGCGTACCCAAAGCAGCCATTGCCGCTGCATGAGTCACAGTCCTAAACCTCGCCCATTTACCCTCGACATCAGGAGGAGTGTGGGACGATGCCAATCCCACCCGCAAGCGATGATGAAATTCTCGCTTGCAACTTTCATCAGATAACTGACACCAGGCGACTTTAGGTTGGAATGGGGTCCTGGGTGTACACCCACCACCGGAGTGGAAGAATGGCAGGCACATCCTACAGATGACTAGTCGATGGTCAGAGGGCAGATCAGCTCCACAGTAGGTCCTGGTGTCAAGGACATGGGCTCGCATCCACTGGTCCGTCACTATGTAGTCCAGCAGATGTTCTTGCTTGGACCCGGCATGCATCCATGATGTTGTGTGGATGCGCCGATGCCAGAACAGCGTGTTGGTATTTTTTGTTAGAGAGGTGATTTAATTTGGAAATCAAATTGTCCCTACATTTGGTCGACATAGTGGCAGCCGAAGAGGTAGTCATATTGTCTACATGTAGACAATCCAACAAAAAAGCGGATCCACACACCGAAAAGATAGACGTTAACAAAGTCGTAATTAATCGCAGTAACAGTTCCATTTCTGATGGCCTGAAATCCGTTTTAGCTAAAGGCCTAAACTATGCTGTCACACCTAGACACATACCAGTTAATGATATAATTGCCCAAGTAGACGTTGCACTCAAGGGCTTGAGTCACATCTCTGCAGACGTAGCAAGATCTGAAATTGCTGCAACCCTCAAAAACGCTAAGTTGCCACCTAGCAACATCAGCAAAGATGAACGCTTTGAATTATCCCAATTAAAAAAGAGAGATGATATTGTCGTCCTCTCAGCCGACAAGGGCAATGCCACTGTCATCATGGACAAAACAGAATATAACAACAAAATTCAAGAACTAATCAACAACGGCAGCTATACAAAACTAAAAAGAGATCCCACCAACAGCCTGGTTACCAAAACGAACGAAATAATCTCTGATTCAACAGCATTAATTGATCAGACAAAACAGTTCTCGTTGAAACCCTCTGCTGCCAGACCTCCAAGATTATATGGCCTTCCAAAGATACACAAAGAAGATACACCCCTTCGTCCCATCGTCTCTACTATCAACTCCCCCACCTATAAACTGGCACGTTTTCTTGCTGATATACTGCGACCTTTCACTGGAAAAAACACCTCTGCAGTACTAAATTCTACTCACCTAGTATTGACAATCAAAGGCATTTCCCTGTCCCCAGACGACCTACTTGTCAGTTTTGATGTGGTGTCCTTGTTCACCAAAGTTCCGGTACCTGACACCATCGCTATCATTGAAGACCTGGTCCATCAAGGACTACATACTGATGTACCCCCCTGGTGAGACACTGCTTAACCAACACATACTTCGCCTGGAACGGAACTTTCTATAAACAAACTGAGGGCACCCCAATGGGCTCCCCCTTATCTCCGGTTGTAGCCAACGTATTCATGGAAAAATTTGAAACTGACGCCATCCAGACTGCCACTCTACGCCCGACCTTATGGAAGAGGTACGTGGATGACACTTTTGTCATCTGGCCACATGGCCAGCCTGCTCTAGACCAATTCCGCGACCACATCAATCCATACACCCAGCCATCAGATTTACCATGGAGGTCTAAAAAGATGGCAAGCTCCCCTTTTTGGATGTCTTAATTAAAAGGAGACCTGATGGCTCAATGAGCCACTCTGTTTATAGAAAAGCTACCCATACAGATGCTTACTTGAAACCGGATTCCCACCACCATCCATCCCAGAAGAACTCCCTCATCAAGACTCTATACCATAGAGCTCAATGCATTTCCGACCAGGAACACATTACCAGTGAACTCAAACACGTACACCAGGCTCTCAGAGCTAATGGTTCCTCCAACTACACAATCCGCAAAGCCATCACTCCAGTCATGAAGAAGGATCCTCTTGAGGAGCCACTCAAAACCATCACCTTACCCTACATTGCAGGGGTTACTAAAAAGATCTCCAAAATCCTGAATAAACACAAGATCCAGGTCCGATTCAACACAGTACATAAAATCCGTGATCTGGTTCCATCTGTAAAAGATGCTGTTCCAGACATACAGTACCCGGGCGTTTACAAACTAAAGTGCCTCTGTGGTAGTAGCTACATTGGGGAAACCAAACGACATATCTCGGACCGCATCCGCGAACATAAAGCAGACTTGACACACGGGAGGACGAACTCTTCTGCCGTGGCAGATCATTGTTATAATTCAGTGGGTTCACATGACATTGACTTCAAGACGGAGGTTCTTTGCAAGCCAACCGGCTACCATGAGAGATTTGTTCATGAAGCCATCAACAAATACAAACACGGAGACAATTTCAACCTAGAGGATGGATTCTGGCTTAGTAACCATTGGAAAGATGTTTTAAACCATTTCGGTTCTTAATTAATTGTATTTTGCGGTGACCGTCAGACCGCAGCTCTTTCGTTGGCATTGTGACTGTTTCTCCCTCCCCCCTCCTCCCTTCCGAGTATGGATTGACCCGTCCGCCTGAATGTCGCTGTCCTTGGTGCTGATTGTTGAGGAGATGGGAAAAACCGCCATTTTTTCTCTCCTTGGTGCTCTTCTCTCCCTCACACCAACGCTAATCCCCCAGTTACATGCTAATTTATTTGCAAACTCCTCTCCCCCCGTCCCCCGGTCCGAGCTCGTCGTTCGCCGTGGTGCTAATCCCTCACACCAACATCATGCTGATCCCCCAGTTACATGCTAATTTATATGTAAACTCCCCTCCCCCCTTCTCCAGTCCCAGCTCGTTCGCTCTCCGTAATGCTAATCTCCCAGTTACATGCTGCTTTGTCAAGGCTCTCTGTTCCTCCCACACAGCTTAAAAGACGCTGTCAAGCTTGACAGCGTTCACTCAAGCGCTGTCTTCTGGACAGTCCTGTTTCTTCACCTGAGGACGGCTACTTGTGTTGTGGCCGAAACGTCGTGAGAATTTTATTGTTTTATTTTATTATTTTATTCTCATTCTACGTGACTTTACCAAAAGAACCAAAGAAAATAAACTACAAAAATAACATGTAACACACACACATGCACAAACACACACAGATACACACACAGACAAACAAAGTCAACGATCCCCAGTATAGACTTAACAGTGGCGATGTTTACTACACAGCGCTACACCAGGTACTCATTTGAGGCTGAATCGACCTAGGGGAGGCCCAGGACCGGTTCTGATGTTGGCCGTGAGCGGGAATCGAACTCAGATCGCCGGGTTCTTAGCCCTAACCACTGCACTACCACACACACAGGTATACTACCATACACTACACTATACACTACTATACACTACACTATACAACTACACACTACACTATACACTACAATATACACTACACTATACACTACACTCTACACTACACTATACATGATAATACACTACACACTACACTATACACTATACTACACTACACTATACACTACACTATACACTACTACACACTACACTACTACACACTACATTATACACTACTACACACGACACTATAATACACTACACTATACACTACTACACACTACACCACTAAACACTACGCCATACACTATAATACACTATACACTACTATACACTACACTATACACTACTACACTATACACTACTATACACTACACTATACACTACAACACACTACACTATACACTATAATACACTACACTATAATACACTACACTATACACTACTATACACTACACTATACACAATAATACACTACACTATACACTACAACACACTACACCATACACTATAATACACTACACTATACACTACTATACACTATACACAATAATATACTACACTATACACTACAACACACTACACTATACACTATAATACACTACACTATATACTATAATACTGTATAATACACTACACTATAATACACTACACTATACACTATAATACACTACACTATACACTATAATACACTACACTATACACTACTAAACACTACACTATAGACTGCACGACTGACCACGACACACACAAACGCCGCGTGCATCATCATTCGGCCTCACATCTGGCGGAAGAGAGAAGACGCCGCTTGTCCAACACCGCCTGTTCCTCCTCGCCGTCTGTCTGTCTGGGATCTGGACACACTCACCGCTGCTGCTCGTACACACACACAGAGAGAGAATTCGAGTTACACTCAGACGCTTCGAGTTACGCACAGATGCACGCACACAGATTGTATAGAGACGCGGCTTTGTGTACAGGAACGGGGTTAGGGTTACACGTTCATTGTATCATTGGTGAGTTATGTTTATGTGTATAGAGAGAGGGGGGTTAAGGTTACTTTGTATATAGAGAGAGGAGTTATGTACATGCCGGGGGTGAGGTTAGGGTTACGTATGCAATATACACAACACTATACACTACACTACTATATACTACACTACACACTACACTATACACTACTACACACTAAACTACTATACACTAAACTACTATACACTACACTACTATACACTACACTACTATACACTACACCACTATATACTCCACTATACACTACACTGCTATACACTATAATACTATACACTACTATACACTACACTACTATACACTACACTACTATAGTTTAACATGTAGGCTTTCGCGACCAATATTATTCATAATAAAGGTTTTTGGGTTAGATCGCGTTATTTATAAATGTCGTAACCCTCCACCATCCGACACGGCCAAACAGTAAAAAATGTGTCACGTTTACAAAGGACAAAGAGTTCACTACTTTAGCCCACCGGTGTGTTGAAGAGTGAATCCACATTTACAGTTTGAGTACGACGTTTCGCTGGTAATTACATCCAGCATCATCGGGCAATTCGCCAGAATGGTTAAGCCCTCTCCACTTGCTCTCGGTCTTAAATAGAGCATCAGCAGGGTGACGTCATCATTTAACTCATATCAGGTGCAGTGATTTGAGGCGAAGGGGGGGTACTGTAATTATATAATCGATTGGTAATCAGTCAATGGTTATGATTAGTAATATTGGACAAACGAGACGTAACATCAGCATAAGACTAAAAGAACACCAAAGAAATATTAAATTATCTCAAACACAACTGTCGGCAGTGGCAGAACATGCTTGTCACCAAGGACACTCAATTGATTTTGATAACGTTGAAGTGTTGTGTAAAACTAATTATTACTGGCAAAGACTAATTAGAGAATCCATTGAAATTGAGAGAAATAGAAATCACTTTCATCGCTCTGACAGCTACAAGCTTAGTGCGGCTTGGAAGCGTATTATTAAAAAATACTACAATTCCTTATAGGGGAAACACATACTAAGGAAAGGATTACTAACGAAGCATATAATCACAATAACACATTACAATTACTAATTTAAAACTCATTACTAATCATAAGCATTACTACTATACACTACACTACTATACACTACACTACTATAGACTACACTGCTATACACTACACTATACACTACACTACTATGCACTACACTATACACTACTATACACAATACATTACACTTTATACTACACTATTCACTAAACTACTATACACTACACTACACACTACTATACACTACACTACTATAAACTACACTATACACTACACTACTATAAACTACACTATACACTACTATAAACTACACTATACACTACACTACTATAAACTACACTACACTATACACTACACTACTATAAACTACACTACACACTACACTACTATAAACTACACTATACACTACTATAAACTACACTATACACTACACTACTATAAACTACACTATACCCTACTAACACTACTATACACTACACTACTATAAACTACACTATACACTAAACTACTATACACTACACTATATACTGCACTACTATACACTATACTACTATGAACTACACAACACACTACACTATACTACTATAAACTACACTTTACACTACACACTACTATACACTACACTACTATACACTACACTACTATACACTACACTACTATAAACTACACTACTATACACTACACTACTATAAACTACACTACTATACACTACTATAAACTACACTATACACTACACTACTATAAACTACACTATACACTACACTGCACACTACTATACACTACACTACTATAAACTACACTATACACTACTATACACTACACTACTATAAACTACACTATACACTACACTACTATACACTACACTATACACTACTATACACTACTATACACTACACTACTATACACTACACTATACACTACTAGAAACTACAGTATACATTACACTATACACTACACTACACACTACACTATTATACACTGCACTATACACTACACTACTGTACACTACTATAAACTACACTATACACTACACTATACACTACACTATTATACACTGCACTACTATACACTACACTACTATACACTACACTACTATAAACTACACTACACTACTATACACTACACTACTATACATTACACTATACACTACACTATACACTACTACACTACTATAAACTACACTATACACTACACTACCATACACTACACTACTATAAACTACACTATACACTAGACTATTATACACTACACTATACACTACACTATACACTACACTACTATACACTACACTATACACTACACACTACACTACACACTACACTACTATACACTACACTATACACTACACTACACACTACACTACACACTACTATACACTACACTATAAACTACACTATACACTACACTATACACTACACTATACACCACACTACTATACACTACACTACACACTACACTACTATACACTACACTATACACTACACTACTATACACTACACTACACACTACACTATACACGACACTACACTATAAACTACACTATACACTACACTATACACTACACACTACACTACTATACACTACACTATACACTACACTACTATACACTACACTATACACTACACACTACACTACACACTACACTACTATACACTACACTATACACTACACTACACACTACACTACACACTACTATACACTACACTATAAACTACACTATACACTACACTATACACTACACTATACACCACACTACTATACACTACACTACACACTACACTACTATACACTACACTATACACTACACTACTATACACTACACTACACACTACACTATACACGACACTACACTATAAACTACACTATACACTACACTATACACTACACACTACACTACTATACACTACACTATACACTACACTACTATACACTACACTATACACTACACACTACACTACACACTACACTACTATACACTACACTATACACTACACTACACACTACACTACACACTACTATACACTACACTATAAACTACACTATACACTACACTATACACTACACTATACACCACACTACTATACACTACACTACACACTACACTACTATACACTACACTATACACTACACTACTATACACTACACTACACACTACACTATACACGACACTACACTATAAACTACACTATACACTACACTATACACTACACTACTATACACTACACTATACACTACACTACTATACACTACACTATACACTACACACTACACTACACACTACACTACTATACACTACACTATACACTACACTACACACTACACTACACACTACTATACACTACACTATAAACTACACTATACACTACACTATACACTACACTATACACCACACTACTATACACTACACTACACACTACACTACTATACACTACACTATACACTACACTACTATACACTACACTACACACTACACTATACACGACACTACACTATAAACTACACTATACACTACACTATACACTACACACTACACTACTATACACTACACTATACACTACACTACACACTACACTACTATACACTACACTATACACTACACACACACTGGTGCTCTGTCGACACGACGCTAAAACCTCACCGATTGGCGGTGTCGGGTGATGGCTGGCCGGGCTCAATGACGCCAAGTTGACATCTCCGACGCGATCCTACCAGACCCCCACCCCGCCCCCGGCCCTAAATAAACTAACACAACCCCCCCGCTAGGGAATCCCATAACACGGCCCCGGGGAAGGGGGTGGGGGCGAAACGACGCCACGGACAACGACCGCACCCTCTGAGCGGGGAGTTCCTCGTAACCTGAAACCCGTGGCCGCGTGACCCCGGACAAACCTGCGGGTGGGTGTGTGGGTGGGTGTGTGGGTGGGTGTGTGTGTGGGTGGGTGTGTGGGTGTGTGGGTGGGTGGGTGTGTGGGTGGGTGGGTGTGTGGGTGTGTGTGTGGGTGGGTATGTGGGTGTGTGGGTGGGTGTGTGGGTGGGTGGGTGTGTGGGTGGGTGGGTGTGTGGGTGGGTGTGTGTGTGGGTGGGTGTGTGGGTGGGTGTGTGGGTGGGTGTGTGGGTGGTTGGGTGTGTGGGTGTGTGGGTGGGTGTGTGGGTGGGTGGGTGGTTGGGTGTGTGGGTGGGTGTGTGGGGGTGTGGGTGGGTGTGTGGGTGGGTGTGTGGGTGGGTGTGTGTGTGGGTGTGTGTGTGGGTGTGTGTGTGGGTGGGTGTGTGGGTGGGTGTGTGGGTGGGTGTGTGTGTGGGTGGGTGTGTGTGTGTGGGTGACGTCTTGCAGACAGATGATGAACTTCGGCGGAGACGAAAAGACTTAATCGTCAAGCGCGTGCCGGGAATCGGCGGTGGAGCGTCCGGTGGAGGAGCGATGTCGGACTTGGAGGGCCCTCGAGACGGCTTGTCCTCATCAGGAGGGACGCGTTCGCTCGGGTCAAGTTTCATTGATGAGGCAGTGCGCTGTGAGCCACGCGGCTCTTGAGTGGCAACCCCAAAAAACTAAATATGAGAACAGGGAACATCTTAAAGCGACGACGCGCAACAGAAACGTCCTGGGGTAAAACGAGGGGAAAAGAACCCCCCCACCCCGTGTGATGCAAGTCAAACAATAACAACCATGAGACATCTTCTTTGGTTATTTCGGTAAAGTCACGCAGAATGAGAATAATAAAATAATAAAATAAAACACGATAAAATTCGCACGGCGTTTATTTTATTATTTTATTCTCATTCTACGTGGTGACTTTACCGAAAGAGCCAAAGAAGACGAATCCTTGCAGTCACGAAAGCTTTAAATCGAAACCATAAGACAATTTAGATTAAAGTTATCAGGCCAACTCCGCGCTTCCGCAAGAAACATGGCTTCACCGGATGTTTTCGAAATCACCAAAATGAAGCTCTACAAACAACGTAACAACAGTAATCATAGGAACTGTGATTCAAATTAACAATGAATGATATAGATGAGAGAGATAGACAAATTTGCCGCGCGCGGCTGATGCGGCGCCTCGCAAGAGGATTTCTTTTGGTTGGTTTCAACATCTTGAAACACAACTTTGTGTTGTTATAGTGCTATAGTGAAATTAGCAGTGGGTATCCATTGCTGGTTGGGTTGCTTATGTATGGAAAATCGGCGTTCATTGTGCAAGTACATTATTACTGTCAACAACTCATTCAATCACCCACTCACTCATCAACTCACTCAACCACTCACTCACTCACCAACTCACTCACTCACCCACTCACTCACCCACTCACTCAGCCACTCACTCACCAACTCACTCACTCAGCCACTCACACTCACTCACCAACTCACTCACTCACTCACCCACTCACTCACCCACTCACTCAGCCACTCACTCACCAACTCACTCACTCAGCCACTCACACTCACTCACCAACTCACTCACACTCACTCACCAACTCACTCACTCACTCACCAACTCATTCACTCACTCACCCACCCACTCACTCACCCACCCACTCACTCACCAACTGACTCACTCACTCACCAACTCACTCACTCATCCACTTACTCACCCACCCACTCACTCACCAACTCACTCACTCACCAACTGACTCACTCACTCACCCACTCACCAACTCACTCACTCATCCACTTACTCACCCACTCACTCACCAACTCACTCACTCACCCACTCACTCATTCACCCACCCACTCACTCACCCAGTCACTCCCTCACCCACTCACTCACTCACCCACTCACTCACCCACCCACTGACTCACTCACCCACTCACCCACTCACTCACTCAATCACCCACTCACCCAGTCACTCACTCACTCACCAACTCACTCACTCACCCACTCACTCACCAACTCACTCACCCACTCACCCACACACCCAGTCACTCACCCACCCACTGACTCACCCGTTCACGAGAACAACCCTCGAGTCTCCCGCGCATCTCCCTTATATACCCCACGTGGTCACCAGTCCACTCACACTGCAGGTTGACTCTACTGTCACTACCCCACGTGGTCACCAGTCCACTCACACTGCAGGTTGACTCTAGTGTCACTACCCCACGTGGTCACCAGTCCACTCACACTGCAGGTTGTCTCTACTGTCACTACCCCACGTGGTCACCAGTCCACTCACACCGCAGGTTAACTCTACTGTCACTACCCCACGTGGTCACCAGTCCACTCACACTGCAGGTTGACTCCCCCTGTCACTACCCCACGTGGTCACCAGTCCACTCACACTGCAGGTTGACTCCCCCTGTCACTACCCCACGTGGTCACCAGTCCACTCACACTGCAGGTTGTCTCTGTCACTACCCCACGTGGTCACCAGTCCACTCACACTGCAGGTTGACTCCCCCTGTCACTACCCCACGTGGTCACCAGTCCACTCACACTGCAGGTTGACTCCACTGTGGTGAGTAGCGTGGTGAGTAGCTTGGTGAGTTGCGTGGTGAGGACCCTGGTGAGTTCACGCAATTTCAGTGAGTTTGTAGACTTTATTGTGGTTATCACTTTACACAACCCTCCCCCCTCGACCATTAGTGCCTAGCATTAGTGCCTATCCCTTGCATTAGTGACTTGCAACAGTGCCTAGTAGTAGTGCCTCACCCTGCCATTAGTGCCTAGTAGTAGTGCCTAACCATAGCATTAGTGCCTAGTAGTAGTGCCTAACCATATAGTGCCTTGCATTAGTGCCTAGTAGTAGTCACTATTCATAGCAATAGTGCCTAGCATTAGTGCCTAGTCGTAGTGCCTAACCCTAGCATTAGTGCCTAGTAGTAGTGCCTCACCTTGCCATTAGTGCCTAGTAGTAGTGCCTCACCCTGCCATTAGTGCCTAGTAGTAGTGCCTAACCATAGAATTAGTGCCTAATAGTAGTGCCTAACAGTAGTGCCTAATCATAGCATTAGTGCCTAGCATTACTGCCCACTCTATAGGGTCAGGGCTATAGGTGCAGGAAGAGGTCACGAGACAGACCCTGCAGGTGCCAGGCTAGGTGCACCCAGCAGGTGCCAGGCTAGGTGCCAGGCTAGGTGCACCCCCCTCCCACTAAGCCGCCGTCTCCCTCTCCCCGGGGCCCCTCCCCGCCCCCCCCTCCTCCTCCTCTGCAATGCTCCCCCCTCCTCCCCCCTTGAGCAACAGCAGCCCCGCCCCTCCCCCCCCAGCCCCCTTGAGCCCCGCCTCCCCCTTAAGCCCCGCCTCCCCCTTAAGCCCCGCCTCCCCCTTGAGCCCCGCCTCCTCCTCGTCGCCCTCCTCCGCCATGAGCTCGTGACGCGAGAGATGCTCCACGATGCCGGCACCCAGAGAGTCGCCCAGCACGTTCGTCGTGGTGCGGAGGCGGTCGCTGGAGGGGGGGGGGGGAGGAGTTACAGGGGGGAGGAGTTACACGGGGGAGGAGTTATAGGAGGGACGGATATCCAGGGGAGGAGTTACAGGGGGGAGGAGTTATAGGAGGGGAGTAGTTACGGGGGGGGGGGGGGAGTTACAGGGGGAGGAGTTACAGGGGGGAGGATAATGGCAGGGGAGGAGTTACAGGGGGGAGGAGTTACAGGGGGGAGGATTATGGGAGGGGAGGAGTTACAGGGGGGAGGAGTTACAGGGGGGGAGGAGTTACAGAGGGGAGGAGTTACAGGGGGGGAGGAGGACATGGATAGGGGAGGAGTTACAGGGGGTGGAGTTACGGGGGGAAGGGGTTGGAGAGATGATGTGTTACAGGTGGGGAGGATACTCTTTGGTTCTATTCGGTAAAGTCACGTAGGTAAAAAAATAAAACAAAAATCACGACGCTTCGGCCACAACACAAGTGGCCTTCATCAGGTGAAGGGACCGTGCTGTCACAAGGACAGCGTTGGAAAGAAGAAAGTCAAGTCAGGTCGCGTCCTTTTAAGCTGTGTGGGAGGAAACAAAACGCCTTGACAAAGGAATTAGCATAAAATGCTCATAGAGTAACAACACGGGGGAGGGGATATACAAATGTACAAATGATGGTGTGCGAGGGAATGACCGTGCAGCAACGTGATGGACCGGCACGGGGGAGGGGAGTTTACAAACGTTGTTTTGAAGGGAAATAAGCTGCTGTGAACGTTTGGTATATCACTCCTTGGATGAATATACTGTACCATTGAAAATTAGTTTAATGTTTGGTATGATTTAGAACATCTTTCCAATGATTGCTTAATTTGAAACCATCCTCTCGGTTGAAATTGTGTCTGTGTTTGTAAATCTGAATTGCCTCGTGGACAACTCTCTGATGATAACCTAAGGGTTTGCAAAGGACCTCGGTATCGGAGAACACTACATCGTGATCACCCACAGCGTTGTAACAGTGGTCAGCTACGGCAGAAGAATTCGTTCTGCCGTGTTTCAAATCTGATTTGTGCTCGCGAATTCGGTCAGAGACGTGTCGCTTCGTCTCCCCCATATAGCGTGGTGCCACCGTGGTGGAGCAGCTCCGCCGGGGACCGTGCCCACCGCCGCGACACCACCCCCGGGGGGTGACAACGCCCCCCCCCCACCCCCACCCGCACGAACGCACACCACACCCCACGTAGAGCCGGAAGGGGAGATCACCTGGCCGATAGTTGTTGTTTTTTTTCTTTCCAGAAGCCCCTAATGGGATTAAGTTTCATGGTTTCCTACGGCCGGGAATTTGGGCGATCTCCCCCCGGAGCTGACGCCCACCGCAGCGCCGTGACCTGATATCAAAGTTACGTAATTGTATCCGCGGCCGCATGGCGGCCGCGGATACAATTACGCACACATGGCACGGAGCGTGAGAACGGCGGTACGCCTTTGTCATAGGTAGCATTAGGGCCCCCCAATAACAATGCGACAGGCACATTCTGACACGTGAATGGACAGGGCCACCTGGGGTGTGAGAACCACGTTGCGCCTTTATTATAGGGACTCAATGACAATGAGATTAAAATAAATCGGCCTCCTATTGGGAAGGGCAGCACGGGTGTAGAAGCATCTGAATGCCTTTTGTTATAGGTAAGCTAATAGACCTAAATGTGAAAAGGACAAAAATAACTCGACCTCCGATTGGGCAAAGAGCACGGGGGAGAGACGACTAGCTTTGCGATCGGGTGGATAAAAGAAGGAGGCTTAGCGCAGCAAAGGACAGTCTTCAAAAATCATCGCGGTCCACGCAGGAGGGGAGTCAGCCGTTCGAGACGTCCGCGTGACGAACTTCAGCGCAGCCAGGCTCAACCCTCTACGGATCGCTGTTCTTCAGCTTCCAGCGCAGCAGAGTGGAAGTACACGTGAGTAAGAGAGAGAGGTAAGTTTGGGCTATTTGATCGAGGGTAGAAAGCAGAGCGATAGGCAGAGGAAATACAGTCTAGGATCCCAAGGGGAATAGGCTGACATCCACGGACCCACGCAATTACGCGTAGCTTAACGGGTTACTCGCGGTAAATAAAATTACTGGTAGGGGAATAAACTGTGTCGTGTGGTCCTTTGGAGGGTGAGGAGGAGGGTGGAGAGTGTTTTGTGTTCGCGCGCATACGCGGCTGTTTGCGGCAAATAAGGGAGTAGAGCGTGCTTGGTGTCCGTACCTGTACGATCGTTTACAGTATTGTTCAGCGCGCACGTACCTACACGACTGTTTTCGGTGGTGCCCAGCGCTCGCGTACCTGCGCAATCGCCTACAGTAGCGCTTAGCGATCGCGTACCTGTGTGGCTGCGTTGCGGTCGCGCGCCCGCACGATTGACTAATCGCGGAGTAGCGAGCTAAGCGCGGAGCACGCGCGCGTATTCGCGCGACTGTTTGAACGGGCCCTTTAACTCAGAGCTGAGCCCGCCCGCCCATCCCTCGGCCCCAACCCCCCTCGCGTGCGATTGGTGTACGGGGCTGGGCAGAGGGTAGGGGGCGTGTTTGTTATTACCGGAGCACGTGGAGCGCGGGCGGGAGGGAGACACGCGCCGCGCCTGTTTGTTTACGGGCGGGACGGAGTTTTTACTGGCGGGCGCGCTCACTGCGGCATGCCAGCTCCAAACCACGCAGCGCGCCGCGCCCCACCCATCGGTTGAAACATGCTGACGCGGTCAGCAGCACAGGAGGGCGAGGCCGTGGAGGTCGCTAGCCCGAGCCCCACAGAGCAGCCCGGGGGTAGTGGGATAAAGGTGGCGGGGGAGTCGGGAGCCAACGGCCCCGACAAATCGGTGATGGCGGGGGGACGGTAGCCCCCACAATAGCAATCACCACAAGTGCAGCTCAATTTTGTAAACTCCGGGGTACTGTAAGTCAGGAACGACATCCTTCACAGATTGGATCAGGTCACGGATTTTGTGTACTGTATTGAACCGAACCTGGATCTTGTGTTTGTTTAGAATTTTGGAAATCTTTTTAGTAACGCCTGCTATATATGGTAGTGTGATGGTTTTGACCGGAGTATCAAGTGGTTGTTTCTGTATGGAGGGAGAAACAGCTTGGCGGATGGTACGGTCAGAGTAACCATTCCTTTTGAGGGCCAGGTGTACATGTTTTAATTCACTGGTCAGGTGGTGTTGGTCCGAAATGCAATGAGCCCTGTGGTATAACGTTTTGATGAGATAATTCTTTTGAGCTGGGTGGTGGTGGGAATCAGGTTTCAAGTAGGAATCTGTGTGGGTGGGTTTCCTGTAGACAGAATGTCCCAATGAGCCATCAGGTCTCCTCTCAAACAGAACATCTAAGAACGGTAGCTTGCCCTCTTTCTCCACTTCCATGGTGAATTTGATGGCGGAATGTCTGGAATTGATGTGGTGTAGGAAAAGGTTCAAAGCTGGGAGGCCATGTGGCCAAATGACGAAAGTGTCATCCCTGTGGAGTTACAGGGGGGAGGAGTTGGAGGGGGAGGAGTTGGAGGGGGAGGAGTTAGAGGGGGGAGTTAAATGGGGAGGAGTTACAGGGGGGAGGAGTTACAGAAGGGGAGACGTTAAAGGGGGGAAGAGTTATAGGGGGGAGGGGTTACAGGGGGTGAAGTTGCATGGGGGGAGGAGTTACAAGAGGGGAGGAGTTATAGGTGGGAGGAGTTGGAAGGGGGAGGCGTTACAGGAGGGGAGGAGTTAAAGGGGGAGGAATTACAGGGGGGAGGCTTTACAGGGTGGGAGGAGTCACGGCCTAATGAGGGTCGGGTGAGTGTCGGTGAGGAGTGGTGAGGAGTGGTGAGAGTTGGTGAGGAGTGGTGAGTGTTGGTCAGGAGTGGTGAGGAGTGGTGAGCGACTCACAGGAACCAGTCGACGGCGATGATGAGGGAGATGTCGTCTGTGGGCAACCCCACCGAGGTGAGGACAATCACCATGGTGACCAGCCCCGCCTGGGGGATCCCCGCGGCCCCGATACTCGCAGCTGTCGCTGTGATGCTGACGGGGGGTGGGGGGGGGGGGGACATAGGTGGGTGGGGGGGCACGGGGGCCGGAGGGGCGGACAGGGGGGGAGGGCACGGGGGGTGGGGGGCCGTGAGCTTGCGTGTTTGGGTGGGTGAGTGAGTGGTGATTGAGTGGTGAGTGAGTGACTGACTGAGTGACTGAGCGAGTGACTGAGCAAGCGACTGAGCGACTGAGCAAGCGAGCGAGTGAGCGACTGAGCGAGTGACTGAGCGACTGAGCGAGCGAGTGACTGAGCAAGCGACTGAGCAAGCGAGTGACTGAGCGAGTGACTGAGCGAGTGACTGAGCGAGCGAGTGCCTGAGCGAGCGAGTGACTGAGCGAGTGACTGAGCAAGTGACTGATCAAGTGACTGAGCGAGTGACTGAGCGAGTGACTGAGCGAGCGAGTGCCTGAGCGAGCGACTGAGCAAGTGACTGAGCAAGTGACTGAGTGAGTGACTGAGCGAGTGACTGAGCGAGCGACTGAGCAAGTGACTGAGCAAGTGACTGAGTGAGTGACTGAGCGAGTGACTGAGCGAGCGACTGAGCGAGCGAGCGACTGAGCAAGTGAGTGACTGAGCGAACGAGCTACTGAGCGAGTGACTGAGCGAGCGACTGAGCGAGCGAGTGACTGAACGAGTGACTGAGTGAGCGATTGAGCGAGCGACTGAACGACTGAGCAAGTGAGCGACTGAGCAAGCGAGCGAGTGAGTGACTGAGCAAGCGACTGAGGAAGCGAGTGACTGAGCGAGCAAGTGCCTGAGCGTGCGAGTGACGGAGCGAGCGACTGAGCAAGTGACTGAGCGAGTGACTGAGCAAGCGACTGAGCAAGCGAGTGACTGAGCGAGTGACTGAGCGAGCGAGTGCCTGAGCGAGCGAGTGACTGAGCGAGCGACTGAGCAAGTGACTGATCAAATGACTGAGCGAGTGACTGAGCGAGTGACTGAGCGAGCGACTGAGCAAGTGACTGATCAAGTGACTGAGCGAGCGACTGAGCAAGTGACTGATCAAGTGACTGAGCGAGTGACTGAGCGAGTGACTGAGTGAGCAACTGAGCAAGTGACTGATCAAGTGACTGAGCGAGCGACTGAGCAAGTGACTGAGTGAGTGACTGAGCGAGTGACTGAGCGAGCGACTGAGCGAGTGACTGAGCGAGCGACTGAGCGAGCGAGTGACTGAGCGAGTGACTGAGCGAACGAGCTACTGAGCGAGTGACAGAGCGAGCGACTGAGCGAGCGACTGAGCGAGGGACTGACTGAGCGAGTGACTGAGCAAGTGAGCGACTGAGCGAGCGAGTGACTGAGCGAGCGACTGAGCGAGCGAGGGACTGACTGAGCGAGCGACTGAGCAAGTGAGCGACTGAGCGAGCAAGTGACTGAGCGAGTGACTGAGCGAGCGAATGACTGAGCGAGCAACTGAGCGAGTGAGTGACTGAGCGAGTGAGTGACTGAGCGAGCGACTGAGCGAGCGAGGGACTGAGCAAGTGACTGAGCGAGTGACTGAGCAAGTGACTGAGCAAGTGACTTAGCGAGTGACTGAGCGAGCGAGTGACTGAGCGAGTGACTTAGCGAGTGACTGAGCGAGCGACTGAGCAAGCGACTGAGCGAGTGACTGAGCGAGCGACTGAGCGTGTGATTGAGTGAGCAACTGAGCAAGTGACTGAGCGAGCGACTGAGCGAGTGATTGAGTGAGCGACTGAGCGAGCGAGTGACTGGGCGAGCGACTGAGCGAGTGATTGAGTGAGCGACTGAGCGAGCGAGTGACTGGGCGAGCGACTGAGCGAGCGAGCGACTGAGCGAGCGACTGAGCGAGCGAGCGACTGAGCGAGTGACTTAGCGAGCTCGTCCGCCGCGCCCACCTGATGGTGATGATCTGGCCGAAGTTGAGCTCGTAGTTGTTGACCTGCGCGATGAAGATGGCCGCCAGGGCCTCGTAGAGCGCCGTGCCGTCCATGTTGATGGTGGCGCCCACAGGGAGCACGAAGCGCGTCACCCGGCGGTCCACCCCGTTGATCTCCTCCAGGCACTTGAACGTGACGGGAAGCGTGGCCGAGCTGGGGGTGAGGGGTCAGGGTGAGGGGTCGGGGTCAGGGTAAGGGGTCAGAGTGAGGGGTCGGGGTGAGGGGTCAGGGTGAGGGGTCAGGGTGAGGGGTCGGGGTGAGGGGTCGGGGTGAGGGGTCAGGGTGACGGGCCAGTGTGAGGGGTCTGAGTCTGGTGGGACAACTCAGATATCCGAGGAAGTAGCCAAACTTTGTGAGAGACTCAACGAGGATGAGGAGGGAGGGAGGGGAAGGGGGAGGGGAGAGTTGGAGGAGGATGTGGTGAAGTAAAATGGAGTAAGAGGTGAGTGGGTGATTTGCAGCACCACGGCTTTACCTCGTCTCCACCTCCACCACTTCCTCCACCTCCTGCACCACCTTCACCACCACCTTCACCACTACCACCACCACCACCTCCTCCACCACCTCCTCCACCACCACCTTCACCACCACCTTCACCACCACCACCTCAACCACCACCACCTCCACCACCACCTTCACCACCACCTTCACCACCACCACCTTCACCACCACCTTCACCACCACCTTCACCACCACCTCCTCCACCACCACCTCTATCACCTCTACCACCTCCACCACCACCACCACCATCACCTCCACCACCACCTTCACCTTCACCACCACCACCACCACCCCACACCCCCCCCCCCCCCCCCCCCCCACCTGGACGAGGTGCCCAGCGCTGTGACGAGCGCCTGCAGGAGCCCCCCGATGAACGGCCACGGGTTGCGCCGCGTCACGGCCAGGAAGATGAGCGGCAGCACGACGAGGGCGTGGATCGCCAGGCCGGCCACCACGGCCGCCGTGTACCTGGCCAGCTGACCGCCCAGCACCGACGCGTCCTCCATCTCCACGATCTTGCCCGCGATGAGGAAGAGGATTCCCACCGGGGCGTACCTAGAGGCGGGGCGGTGAGCGGGGCGACGTGGGGTGAGGAGGTTGGTGAGGGTGATGGTCCACCACTGCCATCGTCGTCTACACCATCACCACCGCCATCATCTACACCATCACCACTACCATCATCACTATCGCCGCCATAATCATCTACACCATCACCACCGCCATCGTGATCTACACCATCACCACTACCATCATCACCATCACCACCATCATCATCTACATCATCACCACCGCCATCATCTACACCATCACCACCATCATCATCTACACCATCACCACTGCCATCATCACCATCACCGCCATCATCATCTACACCATCACCACCATCATCATCTACACCATCACCACCGCCATCGTGATCTACACCATCACCACTACCATCATCACCATCACCACCATCATCATCTACATCATCACCACCGCCATCATCTACACCATCACCATCCCCATCGTCATCTACACTACCACCACTACCATCGTCACCATCACCACCATCATCATCACCACCTGTACCACATCACCACCTGTACCCCCACCTGTACCACCATCACCATCACCACCATCACCACCTGTACCATCACCACCATCACCACCGCCATCACCACCATCACCACCTGTACCACCATCACCACCTGTACCACCACCTGCACCACCACCACCACCATCACCACCTGTACCACCATCACCATCACCACCATCACCACCATCACCACCTGTACCACCACCTGTACCATCACCCCCCTCACCACATGACGATGCCCACGAGGTGCATGATGCTCTCGTTGAGGCAGTCGAAGAAGTCGCGGAGGGGCCTCCCCCGGGGCCCCATGGAGCCGACCACGAGGCCCAGGGCCACCGACACGACCACGAGGCCCAGGGCGTTGATGCCGCTGGAGGAGCCCGACACTGGCACCACCACCTCCTCCATGGACGGCGACGAGGTGGACGAGGTGGAGGAGGTGGAAGAGGTGGAGGAGGAGGTGGAGGAGATGGAGGAGGAGGTGGAGGAGGTGGAGGAGGAGGTGGAGGAGTTTTCCAGGAGGCTCAGCGTTGGGGAGGAGAGGTTGAAACGCGCCGGGATGAGGCGAGTCTCGTACTGGGTCTTGAACTGCGGAGAGAGGTTGGTGGGTGGGTTAGTGGGGGGGAGGGGGGGTTAGTGGGGGGGGGTGATGGGGTGAGGTGGGTGGGAGAATGGGTGGGTGGGTGAGTGGGTGGATGTGTGAGTGAGTGGTTGGGTAAATGAGTCCCGTACTGGAACTTGAACGGGCAGAGAGAGGTGGGTGGGTGGGGGGTTAGAGGGGGGTGGGTGGGTGAGTGGGTGGGTGAGTGGGTAGGGTGGATGGGTGGTGTGGGTGGGTGAGTGGGTAGGGTGGTTGGGTGGTGTGGGTGGGTGAGTGAGTGGTGAGTGAGTGAGTGGTGAGTGAGTGGGTGAGTGAGTGGTGAGTCAGTGGAGAGTCAGTGGTGAGTGAGTGGTGAGTGAGTGGTGAGTGAGTGGGTGGGTGAGTGAGTGGTGAGTCAGTGGGTGAGTGAGTGGTGAGTGAGTGGTGAGTGAGTGGGTGAGTGAGTGGTGAGTGAGTCGTGAGTGAGTGAGTGGGTGAGTGAGTTGTGAGTGAGTGGGTGGGTGAGTGAGTGGTGAGTGAGTGGTGAGTGAGTGAGTGGGTGAGTGAGTGGTGAGTGAGTGGTGAGTCAGTGGTGAGTGAGTGGTGAGTGAGTGGGTGAGTGAGTGGTGAGTGAGTGGTGAGTCAGTGGTGAGTGAGTGGTTAGTGAGTGGGTGAGTGAGTGGTGAGTTAGTGGGTGAGTGAGTGGTGAGTGAGTGGGTGAGTGAGTGGTGAGTGAGTGGTGAGTCAGTGGTGAGTGAGTGGTGAGTCAGTGGTGAGTGAGTGGTGAGTGAGTGGGTGAGTGAGTGGTGAGTCAGTGGTGAGTGAGTGGTGAGTGAGTGGGTGAGTGAGTGGTGAGTGAGTGGGTGGGTGAGTGAGTGGTGAGTGAGTGGGTGAGTGAGTGGTTAGTGAGTGGGTGAGTGAGTGGTGAGTGAGTGGTGAGTGAGTGGTGAGTCAGTAGTGAGTGAGTGGTGAGTGAGTGGGTGGGTGAGTGGTGAGTGAGTGGTGAGTCAGTGGTGAGTGAGTGGTGAGTGAGTGGTGAGTGAGTGGGTGAGTGAGTGGTGAGTGAGTGGTGAGTGAGTAGTGAGTGAGTGGGTGAGTGAGTGGTGAGTGAGTGGGTGAGTCAGTGGTGAGTGAGTGGTGAGTGAGTGGTGAGTGAGTGGTGAGCGAGTGGGTGAGTGAGTGGTGAGTGAGTGGGTGAGTGAGTGGTGAGGCAGTGGTGAGTGAGTGGTGAGTGAGTGGTGAGTGAGTGGGTGGGTGAGTGAGTGGTGAGTGAGTAGTGAGTGAGTGGGTGAGTGAGTGGGTGAGTGAGTGGTGAGTGAGTGGTGAGTGAGTGGGTGAGTGAGTGGTGAGTGAGTGGGTGAGTGAGTGGTGAGTGAGTGGTGAGTGAGTAGTGAGTCAGTGGTGAGTGAGTGGTGAGTCAGTGGTGAGTGAGTGGTGAGTGAGTGGTGAGTGAGTGGTGAGTGAGTAGTGAGTCAGTGGTGAGTGAGTAGTGAGTCAGTGGTGAGTGAGTGGTGAGTGAGTGGGTGAGTGAGTGGGTGGGTGAGTGAGTGGTGAGTGAGTGGTGAGTGAGTGGGTGAGTGAGTGGTGAGTGAGTGGGTGAGTGAGTGGTGAGTGAGTGGTGAGTGAGTAGTGAGTCAGTGGTGAGTGAGTGGTGAGTCAGTGGTGAGTGAGTGGTGAGTGAGTGCGTGAGTGAGTGGTGAGTGAGTGGTGAGTGAGTGGGTGAGTGAGTGGGTGGGTGAGTGAGTGGTGAGTGAGTGGTGAGTGAGTGGGTGAGTGAGTGGTGAGTGAGTGGGTGAGTGAGTGGTGAGTGAGTGGTGAGTGAGTGGTGAGTCAGTGGTGAGTGAGTGGTGAGTCAGTGGTGAGTGAGTGGTGAGTGAGTGGTGAGTGTACCACCTGTTTGAAGCATGCCTCAACCAGGTTGGGAGGGAACATGTTCCTGCAGGAGACAGGCGGCGTCACAGCTGTTAGGCGTCTCCCCGAGTCTCTAGAAGTCTCCCTCAGTCTCTAAAAGTCTCCCCGAGTCTCTAGAAATCTCGCCGAGTCTTCAGAAGTCTCTCTCAGTCTCTAGAAGTCTATCTAAGTCTCTAGAAGTCTCTCTCAGTCTCTAGAAGTCTCTCTCAGTCTCTAAAAGTCTCCCCAAGTCTCTAGAAATCTTGCCGAGTCTTTACAAGTCTTTCTCAGTCTCTAGAAGTCTCTTTCAGTCTCTAGAAGTCTCCCTCAGTCTCTAGAAGTCTCCCCGTGTCTCTAGAAGTCTCCCCGTGTCTCTAGAAGTCTCCCCGTGTCTCTAGAAGTCTCCCTCAGTCTCTAGAAGTCTCCCCGAGTCTCTAGAAGTCTCTCCGTGTCTCTAGAAGTCTCCCTCAGTCTATAGAAGTCTATCTCAGTCTCTAGAAGTCTCCCTCAGTCTCTAAAAGTCTCCCCGAGTCTCTAGAAATCTTGTCGAGTCTTCAGAAGTCTCTCTCAGTCTCTAGAAGTCTATCTCAGTCTCTAGAAGTCTCCCTCAGTCTCTAAAAGTCTCCCCGAGTCTCTAGAAATCTCGCCGAGTCTTTAGAAGTCTCTCTCAGTCTCTAGAAGTCCCTCTCAGTCTCTAGAAGTCTCTCTCAGTCTCTAAAAGTCTCCCCGAGTCTCTAGAAATCTCGCCGAGTCTCTAGAAGTCTCTCTCAGTCTCTAGAAGTCTATCTCAGTCTCTAGAAGTCTCCCTCAGTCTCTAAAAGTCTCCCCGAGTCTCTAGAAATCTCGCCGAGTCTTTAGAAGTCTCTCTCAGTCTCTAGAAGTCCCTCTCAGTCTCTAGAAGTCTCCCTCAGTCTCTAAAAGTCTCCCCGAGTCTCTAGAAATCTCGCCGAGTCTTTAGAAGTCTCTCTCAGTCTCTAGAAGTCTATCTCAGTCTCTAGAAGTCTCCCTCAGTCTCTAAAAGTCTCCCCGAGTCTCTAGAAATCTCGCCGAGTCTTTAGAAGGCCCTCTCAGTCTCTAGAAGTCTCCCTCAGTCTCTAAAAGTTTCCCAGAGTCTCTAGAAATCTCGCCGAGTCTTTAGAAGTCTCTCTCAGTCTCTAGCAGTCTATCTCAGTCTCTAGAAGTCTCCCTCAGTCTCTAAAAGTCTCCCCGAGTCTCTAGAAATCTCGCCGAGTCTTTAGAAGTCTCTCCCTGTCTCTAGACGTCTCCCCAAGTCTCCCATTGTATCCCCAAGTCTCGCCGTGTTTCCTCGAGTCTCCCAGTGTCTCCACGAGTCTCTCTGGCCATGTCCCCTCCGCCACCACCACCTCCACCACCACCCCCTCCACCACCCCCTCCACCACCACCCCCTCCACCACCACCACCACCACCACCCCCTCCACCACCACCACCTCCTCCACCACCACCACCCCCTCCACCACCACCACCCCCTCCACCACCACCCCCCCCCTCCACCACCACCACCACCACCACCCCCTCCACCACCACCACCACCACCACCACCCCCCCCTCCACCACCACCCCCTCCACCACCACCACCACCACCACCCCATCCACCACCACCCCCTCCACCACCACCACCACCACCACCACCCCCTCCACCACCACTACCACCACCACCCCCTCCACCACCACCACCACCCCCTCCACTACCACCCCCTCCACCACCACCACCACCACCACCCCCTCCACCACCACCCCCTCCACCACCACCACCACCACCACCACCACCCCATCCACCACCACCCCCTCCACCACCACCACCACCACCACCACCCCCCCCTCCACCACCACCACCACCACCACCACCACCACCACCCCCACCACCACCACCACCCCCTCCACCACCACCACCACCACCACCACCCCCCCCTCCACCACCACCACCACCACCACCACCACCACCACCACCACCACCACCCCCTCCACCACCACCACCACCACCACCACCACCACCACCCCCTCCACCACCACCACTCCGCGTCTCACCGGATGAGATCCATGAATGCATCTGCAGCCTGCACCCTCTCCACCTTGGCCGGCCCCGGGGCCCCCCCCTCCGGCCCGGGGGCCCCCCCCTCCGGCCCGTGGCGCGAGCCGCCGGCACCGGGCTGCAGCACGAGCACCACGACGATGCCGATGGCCACGGCGATCACCGTGGTGGCCGCGTAGTAACACGCGGCACGCAGGCCCATGCGGCCGGAGGCCCGGCCGTCCAGAGAGGCCATGCCTGGGACACCAGCACCATCACCATCATCATCACCACCACCACCATCATCACCATCATCACCATCATCATCACCACCACCACCACCATCATCACCATCATCATCATCACCACCACCACTACCAACAACAACAACCGCCATTCGCCATTAAGGCTATGTGCACTCTGAGGCCACGTGAAGTGTCGAACGCCCGCTGGCAGGAGGTCACGGGGCAGACCCAGCAGGTGCCACGGGTCGACTGACTGAGATGACTGGCTGATGCACCACCTGTGCCCCCTACTGTGCCAACCTGCTGTGCTTTAGCCACCCGGCGCTCCGCTCGTTGTTGTGAGCGTCGCTCCTCCGCCCTCCGTTGTTGTTGGAGGGCGACTACCTCCAACTGCCCAGTAGCATCCTTCACGAGCCTCCTCCACAGAGGCCGATCTTGACACCGCTGGTACCAGCCATCGGCAAGTCCACTCAGCTCCACGTCCTCCTGTACCACATCACTCCATCTCTTCTCTAGCCCGTGCCGCGCCCGCTTAGCCCCCTCAATCCGGCCGAACAAAAGCTGTTTCGGCATGCGGTGGCTGGGCATGCGGGCTACATGACCCAGCCATCGCAGCCTTGCCCGCCGGAGGAGCTCACCGATGGGACCTTGCCCAGATCTTTCAAGGATTTGTGAGCTCCTCACACAATCCAGCCTGGTTAAACCCAGGATGGATCGTAGGCAGGCCAGCCTAAATGTTTCTAACCGGCGAAGATGTTCCATTAGGGGGGTCCACGTTTCGCAAGCGTAGAAAAGGGTGGGAATGACCGTGGCCGAGAAGACCTGAAGCTTAGTGCGGAGCGACAGACCAGGTAGCTTCCACACAGCGTTACGTAACCGATGAAAAGATATTGCCGCTCGACTGATTCGGAGTGAGACCTCTGCTGTTAACCCGGAGCCGGTCATAAGCACACTGCCCAGGTATGGGAAACTCTCCACTCTCTCCACAACTGCCCCATCACCGATTGGGAGTTGTGGGGGTGGAGTGTCCGATGGTACAAAATACCCAGGCAGGTGCTTAGTTTTGGTGGGGCTGATGGTAAGGCCCCACCTCTTAGTGGCACGCTCCAGTCTCAGCAACAGCGTCTCTAACTCCTCCTCTGACTGAGCAGCTATTACCAAATCATCAGCATACATAACGTGGTTGAGCAATAGGGAGCCATCCCTTGACCGCACCCGGGCATCGATCAGCCTCCCATTATATCTGTACCATATGGAGATTCCCCCGGTACAGCTATTGAAGGCTTCACGAACTACGTGGTCAAAATAGATGTTAAATAATGTGGGAGCCAGAGGACATCCCTGTCGCACCCCAAGGTGTACAGGGAATGGCTCTGACTCCCAGCCACGTAGTTTTACCCGGGCCCACTCACCATCATGAAGGTCCTTAATGATCGTGAGCAGAGGGTCAGGTACTCCAAAAGCACGAAGAACGACCCAGAGCCCAGGCCTACTGATGGTATCATAGGCCTTGACCAGGTCAATAAAGCAGAGATGTAGGTCTTGTTGGAATTCCCTACACCTCTGCTGTAGCAGACAGACAGAAAATATGGCATCTGTGCAGGACCGCCCTTTCCTGAAACCGCATTGGGGCTCCGCAAGCCTCTCCTCAGCGTGCCTGGCAAGGCGATGCAGAATAATCCTTGCCAGGACCTTTCCCGGCACACTGAGGAGTGAGATGCCCCTGTAGTTGTTACAGTCTGTGCGGTCCCCCTTCTTAAAAACCGGGACCACCAGGGCATCCTTCCAATCCTGTGGAACCCGTCCAGTGGTCCAGACTGTTGTTATGATGTCATATAGGGCAGTCTGTGCACAAACGCCACCCTCCCTCAGCATTTCGCTTGGGAGATCATCTCTGCCCGCTGCCTTTCCTGGTCTCAGACTCCGGATCGCCTTCAGTACTTTCTCAACAGATGACATCTCAGCCAGCCACTCACAGGGGGTGACTTCTTCCAATATTTGAGGCACCGCAGCCTCAGCAGGGTCATCCCCACTTTGTGCCACGATATTTCCCTGGCTGAGGGATTTTCCCTCCCCCAGGACCTCACAAAAATGCTCAGCAAATCTGCAAACCTGTTCCTGGGGGGCGGAGATTGGATCACCGTTTGTTCCCCTAGTGGTAATAGGTGTGGCGCTGCAGGTTACTTTTTTGATGGAGTTAAATAGAGATTTGTGATCACGGTCCACTGAGGCAGACTCCATCTCCTCAGCAACCCGCGACCAACACCCATCCTTGCAGCGCCTCACAGCTCTCCGAACCTCCGAGCGAAGGCTGCGGTAAGCCTCCTCATTCTCTGACGTGGGATTCTGTAGCCGATGACAGTGGGCCGGTCACTTTTTCTCAACCATCCTGAACACCTCCTCTGTCAGCCAGGGTCTCTGGGGAGTTCTGGACCGCGTACCTAAAGCAGCCATTGCAGCTGCATGAGTCACAGTCCTAAACCTCGCCCATTTACCCTCGACATCAGGAGGAGTCGGGGACGATGCCAATCCCAGCCGCAGGCGATGATGAAATTCTCGCTTTCAACTTTCATCAGATAACTGAGACCAGGCCACTTTAGGTCGGAATGGGGTCCTGGGTGTACACCCACCACCGGAGTGGAAGAATGGCAGGCGCATCTTACAGATGACTAGTCGATGGTCAGGGGGAAGATCAGCTCCATGGTAGGTCCTGGTGTCAAGGACATGGGCTCGCATCTGCTGGTCCGTCACTATGTAGTCCAGCAGATGTTCTTGCTTGGACCCGGCATGCATCCATGATGTTGTGTGGATGCGCCGATGCCGGAACAGCGTGTTGGTAATTACAAGCCCATGGGCTGCACAAAAATCTAGCAGCCTCATACCGTTGTTATTGAGCTGATCTGGCCCATGCCCTCCAATCACTCCAGACCAGGTGCCAGAATCATGACCAACTCGGGCATTGAAGTCACCCAACATGATGACTCTATCCCGAGTGGCCACTTTAGCCAGCACCTGTAGACAGGAGGTCATAGAAGGCATCTGACTCATCGGCTTTGCCTGCATCCCTCCACGGATGTTCATCTTCGGTGGGGGCATAAGTAACCACGACCACCATTCCTCGCCTCCGGTTGATGGGAAGGCGAGCCCAAAGTAGCCTGGGGGCTTACAGCTTCCCACACCTCACCGCCACGCTCCCACGCCCCCTTCACCACCACCACCACCATCATCACCATCATCATCACCACCATCATCATCACCACCACCATCACCATCATCACCACCACCACCATCACCACTACCACCATCACCACTACCGTCACCACCATCATCATCATCACCACCACCATCACCACTACCACCATCACCACTACCGTAACCACCATCATCATCATCACCACCACCACCATCACCATCATCACCACCACCACCATCACCACTAACACCATCACGACTACCGTTACCACCACCATCACCACCACCATCATCACCATCACCACTACCACCATCACCACCATCACCACCACCATCACCACCACCACCATCACCACTACCACCATCACGACTACCGTTACCACCACCATCACCACCACCATCATCACCATCACCACTACCACCATCACCACCATCACCACCACCACCATCACCACCACCACCATCACCACCACCATCACCACCACCACCATCACCACCACCACCATCACCACCACCACCATCACCACCACCACCATCACCACCACCATCATCACCACCATCACCACCACCATCACCATCATCACCACCACCATCACCACCACCATCATCACCATCATCACCACCACCATCATCACCACCATCACCACTACCACCATCACCACCATCGTCACCATAACCACTACCACCATCACCACCATCACCACCACCATCATCACCATCACCACTACCACCATCACCACCATCATTACCACCGTCATCACCACCACCATCACCACCACCATCATCACCACTACCATCACCATCACCACCACCATCATCACCATCATCACCATCACCACTACCACCATCACCACCATCACCACCACCATTACCACCATCATCACCACCACCATCACTACCACCACTACCGTCACCACCACCACCATCACCACCACCGTCACCACCATCACCACCACCATTACCACCACCATTACCACCACCACCATCACCACCACCACCATCACCACCATCACCACCATCACCACCACCATCATCACCACCGTCACCATCACCGCCACCATTATCACCATCACCACCACCATCACCGCCACCATGATGATAGCGGTGGTGATGTCCACTGTCACCACCATCACCATTAGCGTAATTATCGTGAGCATCATCATCATCATCAGGATCAGAGAGAGAGAGGGAGGGGTTAGAGAAAGAGGGGAAGAGAAAGGGGTAGAGAGGGAGGGGATAGAGAGGGGGAGAGAGAGGGGGTAGAGGGAGAGGGGGATAGAGAGGGGGAGAGAGGGGGGAGAGAGGGGGAGAGAGGGGGGAGAGAGAGGGGGGATAGAGAGGGGGAGAGAGGGGATAGAGAGGGGGGGGGAGAGAGGGGTGAGAGAGAGGGGGAGAGAGGGGGGATAGAGAGGGGGAGAGAGGGGGGAGAGATGGAGGGGATAGAGAGGGGGAGAGAGGGGGGATAGAGAGGGGGAGAGAGAGGGGGTAGAGGGAGAGGCGGATAGAGAGGGGGAGAGAGAGGGGGGAGGGGTCTAATCCTAATCTCTAATTTCTCGCTCCATTTGCTCCATTCAGCCCCAGACCAACTTCTTTCTCCAGCTCCCCGTGTCTCCGGTTCTCTGTCTCTCTGTGTCAGCACTGCCACCCATAGACTCAGCACTGTCACTCACAGACTGAGCACTGCCACACATAGACTCAGTACTGCCACCCATAGACTCAGCACTGTCATAGACTCAGCACTGCCACCAATAGACTCAGCACTGTCACCCATAGACTCAGCACTGCCACCCATTGACTCAGCACTGTCACTCACAGACTCAGCACTGTCACCCATAGACTCAGTACTGCCACCCATAGACTCAGCACTGTCATAGACTCAGCACTGCCACCAATAGACTCAGCACTGCCACCCATAGACTCAGCACTGTCACTCACAGACTCAGCACTGTCACCCATAGACTCAGCACTGTCACCCATAGACTCAGCACTGCCACCCATAGACTCAGCACTGTCACTCACAGACTCAGTACTGCCATCCATAGACTCAGCACTGCCACCCATAGACTCAGCACTGCCACCCTTAGACTCAGCACTGTCACTCACAGACTCAGTACTGCCACCCATAGACTCAGCACTGCCACCCATAGACTCAGCACTGTCACCCATAGACTCGGCACTGTCATAGACTTAGCACTGTCACCCATAGACTCAGCACTGCCACCCATAGACTCAGCACTGCCACCCATAGACTCAGTACTGCCACCCATAGACTCAGCACTGCCACCCATAGACGCAGCACTGTCACCCATAGACTCAGCACTGTCATAGACTCATCACTGCCACCCATAGACTCAGCACTGTCACCCATAGACTCAGCACTGCCACCCATAGACTCAGTACTGCCACCCATAGACTCAGCACTGCCACCCATAGACTCAGCACTGTCACCAATAGACTCAGCACTGTCACTCACAGACTCAGCACTGCCACCCATAGACTCAGCACTATCACCCATAGACTCAGCACTGCCACTCATAGACTCAGCACTGTCACCCATAGACTCAGCACTGTCACTCACAGACTCAGCACTGCCACCCATAGACTCAGCACTGTCACCCATAGACTCAGCACTGCCACCCATAGACTCAGCACTGCCACCCATAGACTCAGTACTGCCACCCATAGACTCAGCACTGCCACCCATAGACTCAGCACTGTCACCCATAGACTCAGCACTGTCATAGACTCATCACTGCCACCCATAGACTCAGCACTGTCACCCATAGACTCAGCACTGTCACCCATAGACTCAGCACTGTCACCCATAGACTCAGCACTGTCACCCATAGACTCAGCACTGTCACTCACAGACTCAGCACTGTCACCCGTAGACTCAGCACTGTCACCCATAGACTCAGCACTGTCACCCAAAGACTCAGCACTGCCACCCACAGACTCAGCACTGCCACCCATAGACTCAGCACTGTCACCTATAGACTCAGCACTGTCACCCATAGACTCAGCACTGTCACCCATAGACTCAGCACTGTCACCCATAGACTCAGCACTGTCACTCACAGACTCAGCACTGTCACCCGTAGACTCAGCACTGTCACCCATAGACTCAGCACTGTCACCCATAGACTCAGCACTATCACCCATAGACTCAGCACTGTCACCCATAGACTCAGCACTGTCACTCACAGACTCAGCACTGCCGCCCATAGACTCAGCACTGCCACCCATAGACTCAGCACTGTCACCCATAGACTCAGCACTGTCACCCATAGACTCAGCACTGCCACCCATAGACTCAGCACTGCCACCCATAGACTCAGCACTGCCACCCATAGACGCAGCACTGTCACCCATAGACTCAGCACTGTCATAGACTCATCACTGCCACCCATAGACTCAGCACTGTCACCCATAGACTCAGCACTGCCACCCATAGACTCAGTACTGCCACCCATAGACTCAGCACTGCCACCCATAGACTCAGCACTGTCACCAATAGACTCAGCACTGTCACTCACAGACTCAGCACTGCCACCCATAGACTCAGCACTATCACCCATAGACTCAGCACTGCCACTCATAGACTCAGCACTGTCACCCATAGACTCAGCACTGTCACTCACAGACTCAGCACTGCCACCCATAGACTCAGCACTGTCACCCATAGACTCAGCACTGCCACCCATAGACTCAGCACTGCCACCCATAGACTCAGTACTGCCACCCATAGACTCAGCACTGCCACCCATAGACTCAGCACTGTCACCCATAGACTCAGCACTGTCATAGACTCATCACTGCCACCCATAGACTCAGCACTGTCACCCATAGACTCAGCACTGTCACTCACAGACTCAGCACTGTCACCCGTAGACTCAGCACTGTCACCCATAGACTCAGCACTGTCACCCAAAGACTCAGCACTGCCACCCACAGACTCAGCACTGCCACCCATAGACTCAGCACTGTCACCTATAGACTCAGCACTGTCACCCATAGACTCAGCACTGTCACCCATAGACTCAGCACTGTCACCCATAGACTCAGCACTGTCACTCACAGACTCAGCACTGTCACCCGTAGACTCAGCACTGTCACCCATAGACTCAGCACTGTCACCCATAGACTCAGCACTATCACCCATAGACTCAGCACTGTCACCCATAGACTCAGCACTGTCACTCACAGACTCAGCACTGCCGCCCATAGACTCAGCACTGCCACCCATAGACTCAGCACTGTCACCCATAGACTCAGCACTGTCACCCATAGACTCAGCACTGCCACCCATAGACTCAGCACTGCCACCCATAGACTCAGCACTGTCACCTATAGACTCAGCATTGTCACCCATAGACTCAGCACTGTCACCCATAGACTCAGCACTGTCACTCACAGACTCAGCACTGCCGCCCATAGACTCAGCACTGCCACCCATAGACTCAGCACTGTCACCCATAGACTCAGCACTGTCACCCATAGACTCAGCACTGCCACCCATAGACTCAGCACTGCCACCCATAGACTCAGCACTGTCACCCATAGACTCAGCACTGTCACCCATAGACTCAGCACTGTCACCCATAGGCTCAGCACTGCCCCCACCCTGCCCCCCGCTGCCCCCGCTGCCCCCACCTGTGACGAGGCTGGAGACGATGAGCGGCAGGACGAGCATCTGAAGGAGCCTCATGAGGAGCTCTCCCGGGAAGGAGAAGTAGCGAACCTCGGTGGGGCTGAGGCCGCACGGGCGAACCGCGAAGCCCAGGATGATGCCTGGGCACACGGGGGGGGGCATGGTGAGTGGGTGAGCGGGTGGGTGAGTGGGTGAGCGGGTGGGTGAGTGGGTGAGCGGGTGGGTGAGTGGGTGAGTGGGCGAGTTAGTGAGTGTTTTGAGTGGCTGTGTGAGTGGCTTGGTGAGCGAGTGGGTGGGTGAGCGAGTGGCTTGGTGAGCGAGTGGCTTGGTGAGCGAGTGGCTTGGTGAGCGAGTGGCTTGGTGAGCGAGTGGCTTGGTGAGCGAGTGGCTTGGTGAGCGAGTGGCTTGGTGAGCGAGTGGCTTGGTGAGCGAGTGGCTTGGTGAGCGAGTGGCTTGGTGAGCGAGTGGCTTGGTGAGCGAGTGGCTTGGTGAGCGAGTGGCTTGGTGAGCGAGTGGCTTGGTGAGCGAGTGGCTTGGTGAGCGAGTGGCTTGGTGAGCGAGTGGCTTGGTGAGCGAGTGGCTTGGTGAGCGAGTGGCTTGGTGAGCGAGTGGCTTGGTGAGCGAGTGGCTTGGTGAGCGAGTGGCTTGGTGAGCGAGTGGCTTGGTGAGCGAGTGGCTTGGTGAGCGAGTGGCTTGGTGAGCGAGTGGCTTGGTGAGCGAGTGGCTTGGTGAGCGAGTGGCTTGGTGAGCGAGTGGCTTGGTGAGCGAGTGGCTTGGTGAGCGAGTGGCTTGGTGAGCGAGTGGCTTGGTGAGCGAGTGGCTTGGTGAGCGAGTGGCTTGGTGAGCGAGTGGCTTGGTGAGCGAGTGGCTTGGTGAGCGAGTGGCTTGGTGAGCGAGTGGCTTGGTGAGCGAGTGGCTTGGTGAGCGAGTGGCTTGGTGAGCGAGTGGCTTGGTGAGCGAGTGGCTTGGTGAGCGAGTGGCTTGGTGAGCGAGTGGCTTGGTGAGCGAGTGGCTTGGTGAGCGAGTGGCTGGGTGAGCGAGTGGCTGGGTGAGCGAGTGGGTGGGTGAGCGAGTGGGTGGGTGAGCGAGTGGGTGGGTGAGCGAGTGGGTGGGTGAGCGAGTGGGTGGGTGGGTGAGTGAGCGAGTGGGTGGGTGAGCGAGTGGGTGGGTGAGCGAGTGGGTGGGTGAGTGATTGAGGGGGTGAGTAGGTGAGCGAGTGGGTGGGTGAGCGAGTGGGTGGGTGGGCGAGCGGCCGGGCGAGCGGCCGGGCGAGCGGCCGGGCGAGCGGCCGGGCGAGCGGCCGGGCGAGCGGCCGGGCGAGCGGCCGGGCGAGCGGCCGGGCGAGCGGCCGGGCGAGCGGCCGGGCGAGCGGCCGGGCGAGCGGCCGGGCGAGCGGCCGGGCGAGCGGCCGGGCGAGCGGCCGGGCGAGCGGCCGGGCGAGCGGCCGGGCGAGCGGCCGGGCGAGCGGCCGGGCGAGCGGCCGGGCGGGCGGCCTCACCGGCCACCACGGCGAGCACGGTGAAGATGACGAAGCAGTTCCTCCCCAGGCACTCGGTGACGCGCCTGGAGGTGGCGCTCCTCGCCTCGGCCAAGCGTCGAACTGCGGCCACGCGGCTCCGCAGGCTCCGCCCCAACCCCTGCAGGGCCCCGCGGGCCCCGCCCCCTAAAGCCCGGGCCCCGCCCCCAGGGCCCACGCTGTCACCCCCGAGGAAGGAGGAGGTGGGGGCGCTGCCCTTCTCAGACATGGCTGAGGGTGGGGGGGAATGGGGGGATCAAGGGGGAGGGGGTCACGAGAGGGCGAGTTCACCCATCCACTCACTCAGTCACTCACTCAGTCACTTACCCACTCAGCCACTCACCCACTCACCCCCTCACTCACCCACTCAGTTAACCACTCACCCCCTCACCCACTCAGTCACCCACTCAGTCAATCATCTACTCAACCACTCACCCAATAACACCCACACCCATTCACCCATCCGCCTGCTCGCTCACCCATTCATCCACCCACCCATCCACCCACTCACCCACCCACTCACCCACCCACCCGCCTGCTCACCCACCCACTCACCCATCCACCCACCCACTCACCCATCCACTCACCCACCCATCCACCCACCCACTCACCCACTCACCCATCCACCCACCTACTCACCCACTCACCCATCCACCCACCTACTCACCCACTCACCCATCCACCCACCCACCCACCCACTCACCCATCCACCCACCTACTCACCCACTCACCCATCCACCCACCTACTCACCCACTCACCCATCCACCCACCTACTCACCCACTCACCCATCCACCCACCCACCCACCCACTCACCCATCCACCCACCTACTCACCCACTCACCCATCCACCCACCTACTCACCCACTCACCCATCCACCCACCTACTCACCCACTCACCCACCCATCCACCCACCCACTCACCCACCTTCTTACCCACTCACCCATCCACACATGCGAGTGGCTATGGGGGGGGGGGGGGGGTGTGAGAGTGGGGGCTATGGGGGTGAGGGTGGGGGCTATGGGGGGCTGAAGCGGTTCTCACACGCAGACTTCTCCCGTTGCCTGGCAACGCGTTGAGGCATTCAATGGGGATCTGTTGAGCCCCTCCCCTCATCCTCCTCCCCTCATCCCCTCCCCCTCCACCCCCTCCACCCCTCTCCTCATCCCCCACTGCTCCACCTACTCCTCCACCACCTCCACCTCCTCCACCACCTCCACCACCTCCACCATCTCCTCCTACTCCTCCACCACCTCCTCCTCCTCTACCTCCTCCTCTACCTCCTCCTCTATCTCCTCCTCCTGCTACACCACCTCCACCTCCTCCACCACCTCTACCTCCACCATCCTCCACCTCCTCCTCCTCTACCTCCTCCTCCACCTCCTCCATCTCCTCCACCTCCACCACCACATCCACCTCCTCCACCACCTCCTCTACCTCCTCCTCTATCTCCTCCTCCTGCTCCACCACCTCCACCTCCTCCACCACCTCTACCTCCACCATCCTCCACCTCCTCCACCTCCTACTCCTCCTCCTCTACCTCCTCCTCTACCTCCTCCTCCACCTCCTCCATCTCCTCCACCTCCACCACCACATCCACCTCCTCCACCACCTCCTCAACCTCCTCCTCCACCACCTCCATCTCCTCCACCTACTCCACCACCTCCTCCACCACCTCCTCCTCCACCACCTCCACCTCCACTACCACCACCACCTCCTCCACCTCCTCCTCCTCCACCACCTCCACCTCCACTACCACCACCACCACCACCGCCGCCTCGTTTCTCTGCCTCATTCTCTCCACGCCAGTGTCTCCCAGTGTCTCTCAGTGTCCCAGTGTCTCTGTCTCTCAGTGTCTCAGTGTCTCAGTGTCTCTCAGTGTCTCATAGTGTCTCAAAGTGTCTCAGTGTCTCAGTGTCTCTCAGTGTCTCCGTGTCTCACAGTGTCTCAGTGTCTCTCAGTGTCTCACAGTGTCTCAGTGTCTCAGTGTCTCCCAGTGTCTCTCCGTGTCTCATAGTGTCTCAAAGTGTCTCAGTGTCTCAGTGTCTCTCAGTGTCTCCCAGTGTCTCGCAGTGTCTCAGTGTCTCTCAGTGTCTCAGTGTCTCTCAGTGTCTCATAGTGTCTCACAGTGTCTCAGTGTCTCTCAGTGTCTCACAGTGTCTCAGTGTCTCAGTGTCTCTCAGTGTCTCACAGTCTCACAGTGTCTCACAGTGTCTCACAGTGTCTCAGTGTCTCCCAGTGTCTCTCAGTGTCTCATAGTGTCTCAAAGTGTCTCAGTGTCTCAGTGTATCTCAGTGTCTCCCAGTGTCTCCCCCGTGTCTCCCCGTGTCTCCCCCGTGTCTCCCAGTGTCTCCCAGTGTCTCCCCCGTGTCTCCCAGTGTCTCCCAGTCACTCTCTCAGTGTCTCCCAGTGTCTCACAGTGTCTCTCCCAGTGTCTCTCAGTGTCTCCCCGTGCCTCCCAGTGTCTCCAAGTGTCTCCCGGTGTCTCCCCGTGTCTCCCAGTGTCTCCCAGTATCTCCCAGTGTCTCCCAGTGTCTCTCCCAGTGTCTCCCAGTGTCTCTCCCAGTGTCTCCCAGTGTCTCTCAGTGTCTCCCAGTATCTTCCAGTGTCTGCCAGTATCTCCCAGTGTCTCTCAGTGTCTCCCCGTGTCTCCCCCTGTCTCCCAGTGTCTCTCCCAGTGTCTCCCCTGTCTCCCAGTGTCTCCTCGTGTCTCCCAGTGTCTCCCCATGTCTCTTAGTGTCTTATAGAGTCTCCCAGTGTCGCCCAGTGTCTCCCCCTGTATCCCAGTGTCTCCCAGTATCTCCCCGTGTCTCCCCCAGTGCGTCCCCGTGTCTCCTTCTGTCTCCCAGTGTCTCCCAGTGTCTCCGCGTGTCTCCCCGTGTTTCCCCCAGTGTGTCCCCGTGTCTCCCCGTGTCTCCCAGTGTCTCCCAGTTTCTCCGCGTGTCTCCCCGTGTCTCCCCCAGTGTGTCCCCGTGTCTCCCAGTGTCTCCCACCTGTACGTCGGCACGAGTCTCCGTCAGAGATCGTCTCAGAGTGAGAGAGACCCAAACTTTTGAAGCGCTCCCCCACAGCTCCCCACCCCCCAATCTCTCTCCCTCCCTTTCCCTCCACCTCCTTGCCCCCCCCCTCTCTCTCTGCACCGCCCCCCTCTCTCTTTCCCATAATCTCTTCCCATCTGCCCCTCTCTCGCCCCATCTCTCTCCCATCATCTCAATCTCTACCCCTCTCTCTCCATCTTTCTCCATCTCTCGCCCCATCTCTCTCTCCCAGCATCTCAATCTCTACCCCTCTCTCTCCATCTTTCTCCATCTCTCGCCCCATCTCTCTCTCCCATCATCTCAATCTCTACCCCTCTCTCTCCATCTTTCTCCATCTCTCGCCCCATCTCTCTCTCCCATCATCTCAATCTCTACACCTCTCTCTCCATCTTTCTCCATCTCTCGCCCCATCTCTCTCTCCCATCATCTCAATCTCTACCCCTCTCTCTCCATCTTTCTCCATCTCTCGCCCCATCTCTCTCTCCCATCATCTCAATCTCTACACCTCTCTCTCCATCTTTCTCCATCTCTCGCCCCATCTATCTCTCCCATCATGTCAATCTCTACACCTCTCTCTCCATCTTTCTCCATCTCTCGCCCCATCTCTCTCTCCCATCATCTCAATCTCTACCCCTCTCTCTCCATCTTTCTCCATCTCTCGCCCCATCTCTCTCCCATCATCTCAATCTCTACCCCTCTCTCTCCATCTTTCTCCATCTCTCGCCCCATCTCTCTCCCATCATCTCAATCTCTACCCCTCTCTCTCCATCTTACTCTCCCTCTCTCTCCGTCTCTCTCTCCCCATCTCTCTCTCTCGCCCCATGTCTCTCCATCTTTCTCCATCTCTCTCCCCATCTCTCTCTCTCCATCTCTCCATATATCTCTCCCCATCTCTCTCTCCATCTCACGTTGCCATTGGCCGTGTGGCTCAGCCGAATCTCATCAGGGGCACCAGGCTTGTGCATTTCCTGCGGTGCCAGGGAGGATCTGCCCCACCGGTACTGACGCTGCCAGCGGCTCAAACCAATGTTCCGCCTTTTGGGGGGCATCTTCAGGAAACTGGGAGTGCCCTTCTACAACAGCAGCTTCGTATATGGGGGGTGGTGCCTTACCTGGCTAATAAGCGCCATGACCTCGCCAAACTTCGCCTGTGCTCAGGCGAAGATGGCGGTGTACAGAAAGAGGAAAAATATGCTGCAAGGTGCCACTGACGGCTGCTTTGTGGTGCTTCCAGTGTTCAGGGGCCTGCTCAAGGCGCGGCTCCGTCTTCTTCGAACGCTGGGGAGCCGGACAAGCCCCCCTCTGTACCAGCGTAGACGGCAATCCTCGCGTTCACCTTCTGAAGCGCTCGCTCGTCACCGTGGCGTGCGCGATGATCACCATCACCACCACCACCACGTGACTTTTATTTCGTGTTGTGCGCGGTGCATTTAGCCCCACAGGGCGTGGATGTACAGCGTTTGTTTGTGTTGCTGATGACTTTGTGTGTTTCATATCGGAATCGCCTCCAGTGCTGTTGTTTCTGGCGGCAATTAAAGTTGTTTAAAAGTCTAAAGTCTCTCAATCTCTCCATCCCTCTCTCTCTCTGGCTCTGACTATTCGTGTGTTATGCGTGGGGTCTGATATCTTACCGGAGGGAATTAAACATTTAATAGCCGATGTTTCGGGCCATGGGACTAATTCACTTGCTCACCCAGCCACGTACTAACCCACTCACTCAGTCACTCACTCACTCACCCAGTCACTTAGCCATTCACTCACTAACCCACTCAACCAGTCACTTACTCACCCAGTCACTCACTCAGCTAGTCACTCACTCACCCAGTCATTTACTCACTCACCCAGTCACTTACTCACACAACCAATTACTAACCCAGGCACTTCCTCAATCACTAACCCACCCACTATCCCACTAACCCACTAACCCACTCACCCACTCACCCAGTCACTCACTAACGCACTCACCCACTCATGCACTAACCCACTTCCTCACCCACTCACCCACTAACCCACTCACCCAGTCACTCACTAACGCACTCACCCACTCATGCACTAACCCACTTCCTCACTCACTAAGCCACCCACCCACCAACTCACCCACTAACCCACTAACCCACTCACCCACTAACCCACTCACCCACTAACCCACTCACTCTAACACTCACTAACGCACTCACCCACTCATGCACCAATCCACTTCCTCACTCACTAAGCCACTCACCCACCAACTCACCCACTAACCCACTCACCCAGTCACTCATTAACCGACTGACTCACTAACCCACCCACTAACCCACTCACGGGGACAGAGAGAGAGGGGGGAGATGGGGAGAGAGAGGGGGGAGGAGGGAGAGATGGGGGGAGAGAGAGGGGGGAGAGAGGGGGGGGGGCGCGTGCAGATGAGAGGAGTCGTCAAACGATGAACGGACGCCGGAGTTGTTTTCAGAGAGAGAGAGGGGGAGGGATGAGAGGGAGAGAGAGGCAGGGAGAGAGATGGGGAGAGAGATGGGGGAGAGAGAGATGGGGAGAGAGACGGGGAAGAGAGACGGGGGAGAGAGATGGAGGAGAGAGATGGGGAGAGAGATGGGGATAAGCATAAAAAAAAACAAAAAACCGAAATGATGAACGGATCAAAGTGCCGACTACACCGAGCATCTTCTTGTTTCCTCTGATCGTAAAAAAGAGAGATGGGGAGAGAGATGGGGGGAATGAGATGGAGAGAGAGATGGAGAAAGAGATAGGGAGAGAGATGGGGAGAAAGAGATGGGGAGAGATGGGGAGAGAGATGGGGAGAGAGATGGAGAGAGAGATGGAGAGAGAGATGGGGAGAGAGATGGGGGGAATGAGATGGAGAGAGAGATGGGGAGAGAGATGGAGAGAAAGATGGGGGAGAGCGAGATGGGGAGAGAGATGGGGAGAGAGATGGAGAGAGAGATGGGGAGAGAGATGGGGGAGAGAGATGGGGAAAGAGATGGGGAGAGAGATGGGGGAGAGAGATGGGGAGAGAGATGGGGGAGAGAGAGATGGGGAGAGAGATGGGGGAGAGAGATGGAGAGAGAGATGGGGAGAGAGATGGGGAGAGAGATGGGGAGAGAGATGGGGGAGAGAGATGGAGAGAGAGAGATGGAGAGAGAGATAGGGGGAGAGAGATGGGGAGAAAGATGGGGGAGAGAGATATGGGGAGAGAGATGGGGGAGAGAGATGGAGATGGGGAGAGAGATGGGGAGAGAGATGGGGAGAGAGATGGGGGAGAGAGATGGAGAGAGAGATGGAGAGAGAGATAGGGGGAGAGAGAGATGGGGAGAGAGATGGGGGAGAGAGATGGGGAGAGAGATGGGGAGAGAGATAGGGGAGAGATGGGGAGAGAGATGGAGAGAGATAGGGGGAGAGAGAGATGGGGAGGGAGATGGGGGAGAGAGATGGGGGAGAGAGAGATGGGGAGAGAGATGGGGAGAGAGATGGGGAGAGAGATAGGGAGAGAGATTGGGAGAAAGAGATGGGGGAGAGAGAGATGGGGAGAGAGATGGGGAGAGAGATGGGGAGAGAGATGGAGAGAGAGAGATGGAGAGAGAGATGGGGAGAGAGATGGGGGGAATGAGATGGAGAGAGAGATGGGGAGAGAGATGGAGAGAGATGGGGGAGAGCGAGATGGGGAGAGAGATGGGGAGAGAGATGGGGAGAGAGATGGGGAGAGAGATGGAGAGAGAGATGGGGAGAGAGATGGGGGAGAGAGATGGGGAGAGAGATGGGGAGAGAGATGGGGGAGAGAGATGGGGAGAGAGATGGGGGAGAGAGAGATGGGGAGAGAGATGGGGGAGAGAGATGGAGAGAGAGATGGTGAGAGAGATGGGGAGAGAGATGGGGGAGAGAGATGGAGAGAGAGATGGAGAGAGATAGGGGAGAGAGAGATGGGGAGAGAGATGGGGGAGAGAGATGGGGAGAGAGATGGGGAGAGAGATGGGGGAGAGATGAGGAGAGACATGGAGAGAGATAGGGGGAGAGAGAGATGGGGAGAGAGATGGGGGAGAGAGATAGGGAGAGAGATGGGGAGAAAGAGATGGGGGAGAGAGAGATGGGGAGATAGATGGGGAGAGAGATGGGGAGAGAGATGGAGAGAGAGATGGACAGAGAGATGGGGAGAGAGATGGGGGGAATGAGATGGAGAGAGAGATGGGGAGAGAGATGGAGAGAGAGATGGGGAGAGAGATGGGGGAGAGAGATGGGGAGAGAGATGGGGAGAGAGATGGGGGAGAGAGATGGGGAGAGAGATGGGGGAGAGAGATATGGGGAGAGAGATGGGGGAGAGAGATGGAGAGAGAGATGGGGAGAGAGATGGGGAGAGAGATGGGGAGAGAGATGGGGGAGAGAGATGGAGAGAGAGATGGAGAGAGAGATAGGGGGAGAGAGAGATGGGGAGAGAGATGGGGGAGAGAGATGGGGAGAGAGATGGGGAGAGAGATGGGGGAGAGATGGGGAGAGAGATGGAGAGAGAGAGATAGGGAGAGAGAGATGGGGAGAGAGATGGGGGAGAGAGATGGGGGAGAGAGAGATGGGGAGAGAGATGGGGAGAGAGATGGGGAGAGAGATAGGGGAGAGATGGGGAGAAAGAGATGGGGGAGAGAGAGATTGGGGAGAAAGAGATGGGGGAGAGAGAGAGAGGAGATGGGGGAGCGAACGAGGGTGAGAATCGAGCGAGAGATGAATGAAGGGGCACAAAGACGCCTAGGGAACGAGGAGGGGTATGGGGGGGGGAGCTGATTTCTTTAGCCACGGGAATCCCCGAATGTTTATTTATTTTTCAAGTGCACGGAGAAAGTGGGAGGGTGATCCCCATAGACTCAGCACTGCCATCCATAGACTCAGCACTGCCATCCATAGACTCAGCACTGCCACCCATAGACTCAGCACTGCCCAAAGACTCAACTGTATAGCTGAGGAGATGGAGTCTGCCTCAGTCGCCCGCGTTCACAATTCATCTTTCACTCCATCAAAAAGTAACTTGCAGCGCCACACCTATCACCATCATTAGGGGAAAG